GGTCCTCACGCAGAGCTCTGTCTTCTGCTGGTAACTCCGTTCCCATCGGAGAAGCACCAGCCCAACACCTGGCCCCACAGGGAACACTCAGCCCACAGGGCTCACAGGGCAGGCGGGGACAGCGGGACCCTTGTCGCCGGCAGTGCTAGGTGTGGGAGCTGTGCTGAAACCACAAGGTCTTTGCCATTGGTTCCCGGTTCCTAAAACCCCTGGACGTTCCTGAGAGGAGTGTCCTCATGTTCTGAACACCGAGCCCCCCTTGCCATACCGGAGCTTCTCGCTGAGTGGACTCGCGGTGGGGTCCCTAGAGAGCTTCGGGGCGGGGAGCTGGAGACTGACTTCCATCATGCGGCTAGCATCTGCATCTCGCGACTGCATCCAGAAGCCACGATAAAACCCTGAGCAAGGCTTGGGGTCTTCTGGGCCAGGGCACCCCCGGCCGTGCTAAGCAGGGCGGCGGGGACTGGGGGGACACGCCCACAGGGACAGTCAGCTCTGTGCACGGCTTCTGCTTGCTGCCTCTGAGCTGTGGCTTTCGTACCAAACGGAGGACAGCAACGCCCAGCCCTTCCCCGCAGCAGACCTGAGGCGAGAGGCCGTGGGTCACCCGTGTCCGGAGCTGGCCAGGCAGCAGTGTGGGTGGCCCGGGGGCCCTACACACGGCTCACGTTGGGGTGGGGCAGTCTGTGGGGCTGTCGTGCCAGCTCCAGGTAGGGTCAGAACTGACCGGCCTCGGGACACTCCAGTGCGCAGGAAATGCGCTGAAAATGGAAGGGACACAAGACTATTTGAAATAAACTTCATGAAATTTCTCCTGGTCGGTTGTCCCCGAGCCTCCGTCCACTTCTGTGTTGGGCACAGATTTGCTTTTCCTGCCCAAAGCTCAGCTGTGGACGTCCCAAATTCTCACTCACCATCACGGCTTCTCACAGCAAGTGTGGCACCCGACTCACTAGGAGCTTCCATCCCCGGGGTAGCAGTCGGTGGAAAGGCCCACCTGCTCTCCTGGAGTCATTCCTCCCACAGCCGGGACGGTCAGCCTGGAGCCTGTGGGCAAGACAGGCTCAGCCCGTCGCCGTCATTCATGCCGAAAGACTCCCAGGCAGTTTCTGCTTCCCAACCTAGGACGCTGGGCTCTGCTGTCCCAAGGGAGGACTGCTTCCCCCAGATGACAACGGTCCCTTTGAACAACGAGCGGAGACTGTCCCCAGAATCAGCAGAGACAGGGTTACTGTACTGGCTGGTACGACACCCTCCAGTCAGCACGAGGCAGCTGGGTGGCCAGCTCGCAGGATGACAGGGACATCGGTCTGTAACCCACATACTCACTAGGTACATACTCAGTACTTTCAGGCTCAACAGTGAAAGTAAACGAGCAAAGTCTTCTAAAACCAAGACGATTGAGGTCTCCAATCTTTCTGGAAGGTGCTGGCTGAGGGCCAGGAACCAAGGCCCAGGCGATGGAGGGAGAGGGCCTTGCGACTCCATACAGAATGGGGAGGCGGCAGGCTCCCCCGCGCCCAGTGCCCCCACTTGGTGTGACAAGCCACAGCGCGTCGGCTGCACACGGTCATGAAGGGGAGACCCCGTCCCAGAGAGGGGGTCGGTTTCCCCTGGACAGCAAGGCTGTGTGGGCCGCGGAGAGGTGCAGGGCTTCCTACCACAAGCCCCCCAGGTCAGGCAGGTGCGCTACGTTCCGTCTGGGTCAGGAAATGTGGATGAGGCAGGAGAACCGAAGGGGTGGGTGGTGCTGCCCGCGGGCCTGCAGATCCGTTCCCACCTGCCTGCCCTGCGCCAGGACCATCCCATGCTCCCTAATCGGTCTCGGTGGACAGCCGGGTGGAGATGGATGCTTATTTTTTTTTTTTAAGATTTTATTTATTTATTAGACAGACAGAATCACAAGTAGGCAGAGAGGCAGGCAGAGGGAGAGGAGGGAAGCAGGCTCCCCGCTGAGCAGAGAGCCCGATGCGGGGCTCGATCCCAGGACCCTGAGATCATGACCTGAGCCGAAGTCAGCGGCTTAACCCACTGAGCCACCCAGGCGCCCCATGGCCGCTTATTTTTAACGGTGCCGCACACGGCATCCCTGGAAGCCAACATGTCTCTTCTGTGTGGCCAGTTCCTGCTGGGGGCACCCTGTCCCTGCGACACTGGGACAAATCTCTCAACCCTGCAGCGCCAGGGCCAGCAGCTCCTGACCGGGCTCGTCACGGCTCCTGCACCATCAGAGTAGTCAGACCCTTGCCTTAAATCCCTTCTTTGGGCACCCGGAGGCTCCGTCCCCTGCCCGGGATCCTGGTCTTAGATTAAGGCATCCTGGCCAGACTCTGGTCGCGATATAGTTGTTCATCTTTTGTTGTGAAAATTTTCACACAACAACCACATATGCACTGTATGAGCTAGATTCAACATTTAATGACTCTGCCATGTTACTTAATACATATTCAAGTGTATGAATTTTCTTTTGACTAAAGAACCATTTCAGGGGCGCCTGGGTGGCTCAGTGGGTTAAAGCCTTTGCGTTCGGCTCAGGTCATGATCTCAGGGTCCTGGGATCAAGCCCAGCATCGGGCTCTCTGCTCTGCGGGGAGCCTGCTTCCCCCTCTCTCTCTGCCTGCCTCTCTGCCTACTTGTGATCTCTGACAAATAAGTAAATAAATAAGAAGAAAGTTATTTAAAGAACAAAAAAAAAAAGAACCATTTCAAAGTATACTGTTTATGTTGTGGCTCCTTTTTTAAAATTTTTAAAACAATGTTTAAATTCAATTAACACACAGTGTATTAGTCTCAGAGGTAGAGGTCAGGGAGTCACCAGCTGCATACGACACCCAGTGCTCATCCCATTACGGGCCCTCCTGAATGCCCATCCCCCAGTCACCCCATCCCCCACCCACCTCCTCCCCAGCAGCCCTGTTTGTTTCCTATGGTTGAGTCTCTCATGGTTTGTCTCTGATTTCATCTTGTTTTATTTTTCCCTCCCTTCCCCTACAGTACTCTGTCTTCTTAAATCCCACATGCGAGTGAGATCGTATAATTGTCTTTCTCGGACTGACTGACGTCGCTCAGCATAATCCCCCCCAGTCCCATCCACGCCGATGCAAAGGGCAGGACGTCTCCCTTTCTGACGGCCGAGTCACATTCCGTCGTGTAGACGAGCCCCGTCTTCTCTGTCCGTTTATCTGTCGACAGACATCCGGGCTCTTCCCACAGTCTGGCTGTTGTGGGCGTCGCTGCTGTGAACACGGGGGGGCAGGGGCCCCTTCGGATCACTCTGTCTTCATCTTTGAGGTAAATACCCAGTAGTGCGATCGCTGGGTCGTAGGGCAGCTCTATTGTCAACTTTCTGAGGACCCTCCATGCTGCTCTCCAGAGTGGCTGCCCCAGCTTGGGTTCCACCAACAGTGAGGAGGCTCCCCTTCCTCCGCATCCTCGCCAGCACCTGTCGTTTCCTGACTGGTTCATTTTAGCCGTTCTGACCGGTGTGAGGTGGGATCTCATTGTGGTTTTGATGTGTATTTCCCTGTTGTGGCTCCTTATTCTTAATAATTCTGCGTACAAAGCCTAAGAAAGCATCATTCTGTTACCTGTCAGCACACCCAAGATTTGCAATTAACAACTCCCTTAAAATCTACCATCCAGTACAGATTCACCTGTACCCTCAGTGACCCCCAAAACTACCTTCACAGGTGCTGTCCCTCAACTTAAGGACTAAGCTTCACCACTGCACTGGGTCCTGTCTCCTTGAGAGAACAGGCCCGTGTTTGTCCTCCTGACGGCGTGGTCAGTCTTACACGGTCTCACACACTTTGTTCCTCCTCCTCCAAGTTGGGATCCGCCGCCGGAGACACCCACAGTCCACACAGCAGCACCCGCTGAGACAGGAACACGAGGCTGCCAGCGCCGAGCTCCGCGGTGTCCTCAGGAACCCAGCAGAGGACGCCTCCCCCCACCCCCCTGCCCAGTAAGGGGCCTGCATGTCTCGGTGAACAAGAAGGTTCTCTCCCCCGCGTTTCCTCCGAGGAAGGCAGGGGCATCGGGATTACCTCCCACGGGTACTGAGCTGGCATGATGGTCACTGCCGCTGGGGACTGCCTACGAGCCCGCCACGTGAGGGTCTAGCCATTCAGTATTTGATAACCTACCACTGTGACTCTCCTCCTGGACATGAAACTGAAGAGACCCTGCCTGGGCTCCAGGTCCTGGGGCTGGGATGACCTGGCCTCGGGGACAGCAAGAGGCGGAGTGCACAGCTCAGCAGAAGAGGTGGAAGGGCCACCGGACGGGCCTGACGGTCATGTCCACTGACACTCAGAGAACACAGACTTGCGCCAGGGCCGCGGGTTACAAGGAAAATCGATTGTGGAAATATGCGGTCATTCGAAAAAGTGGTCTGACATCAAAACCTACGCCCAGCAGAATGAACACAGCGTTCCCAAGTCCTAAAACCCCATGGAAATACGAAGAAACCAAGAAAGACCAAGGCAAGCGGCTATCTTTCTGTCTTTACCGGGTGAGGAGGACTTCGCGTTCCACCAAAAACGCTGACGTCCAGTTCAACATAAATTCTAAGTCTGTTCGGGTTTTCCACCAATGATGAGGCAAATCGGATAGAACTAAAAAACAACACAAGGGCCATTCACAAATAAAACAGTGCTTGATTTTATTCTTTTTGTTCTTGGGGTGTTTTTGTTTTTAAACCGAGTTCCCATCTGTACACTTTAAGAAAATCAACAACGAGGAGGCCCGCTGGGCAGCTCTGGCCACACACACGGAGCAGGACGGGTGCCAGTCACCCACGGGCACGCACGTCACCTTCGGAAGCTAAGGAGCTAAAACACACGGCAGTTACACAGAACATACTCCACTGGGCTCTCCAGCACTGCAGGGAGGTGGGGACGCCCAGTGAGCGGCTCTTGGGGCTGGCATCTCAGGCACCGAGCGCAGGCCACGCCACGCCACGCCACGCCACACCACGCCACACCACGAGTCTTTCTTGAGAAAAGGGAAAAAACAAATCTTTTCCTCAAATGGAATTGTCGTGGTAAGAGCCACAGGATTTTATTCATTGTTTAATCTTCTGGCGGCAGGACTTCTTTGAAGCAGAATCTAAAAATAAATAAAAATGACACAGCAATTCATTAGAAGTCTTCCTGTGTCTTTTAAGAAAAATTTCAAAATTTTTAAACCGTGCCCCTGAATTAGGCTCATCTCTGGTAAAGAAGACAACTGAGGTGCACCACGGTCTCAGGGGTGGTGAAGTAACCCAGATAGACCACGTGCCGGCCGGAGCAGGGTCGCTGCGGCCCGAGTGCGTGAGGGAAGGAGTGAACGGTGCCCTTCCTACCAAGCACCCGTCTGAGGCGCCTCCACTCGCGACCGTCCTGAGGCTACTGACGGCGGCTGGTGACAAGACTGAGGCTCACTCAGCCTCCACCACGGGACTGTGCGTGCCTCGGGTACCGCGTCTCACGGAGAGAGAGAACTCGTTACCTGGTGGCGCCCCACCCAGTCTCTGCTGGACCATCTCCAAATGATGAATAAATTCCGTCAAGGAATGTTCGGGGTCCTGAGAAGCAGTCAGGGATCTTTCGGATCTTGAATCCGGGGACGGAGTGGATCTTCAAACAAACACACAGACACACCAAGGAACAGTGAAACTCAAGCGACGGTGAACGCAGGCAGCAGCAGACAGTGGGGACGGGGGCCACAAGGCCGTTTCCTTCAGACGCCGGCTGCACCCCAAAATCAGAGAGTAAAGCGTGTGTGTTTCTGTGTGCGCGTACGTAGGCATGTCCTCTCTCCGCCCACCGTGAGGCTCGAGCCCGACCCTGAGATCAAGAGCCGCACACGCCACCAACGGGGCCAGCCGGGCGCCCCCAAGCCCGGGCGCGGTTTGAAAGTGTCATGTAACGCTTTGAAAACCAACTTCTCGGGGGCGCCTGGGTGGCTCAGTCGGTGAAACGTCTGCCTCCAGCTCAGGTCATGATCCTGGCGTCCTGAGGTCCAGCCCCACCGTCGGGCTCCCTGCTCAGCGGGGAGCCTGCTTCTCTCTCTCCCTCTCTTCCCGCTCATGCTCTCTTGTGCTCACTCACTCTCGCAAATAAATAGATAAAATCTTTAAAAACAAACAAAACCAACTTCTATAAAACGTCTGAGTTAAAATGAATAAAAATTATTGTATATTATTTTATTATTTAAAAAGACTTATTTAGGGGCACCTGGGTGGCTCAGTGGGTTGAAGCCTCTGCCTTCAGCTCAGGTCATGATCCCAGGGTCCTGGGATCGAGCCCCGCATCGGGCTCGCATCGGGCTCTCTGCTCAGCGGGGAGCCTGCTTCCTCCTCTCTCTCTCTGCCTCTCTGCCTGCTTGTGATCTCTGTCAAATAAATAAGTAAAATCTTAAAAAAAAAAAAAAAAAAAGACTTATTTACGTAAGAGAGAAAGAGAGTATGGGGACCCATCAGGCTACAGGTAGAGGGAAACAGAATCCCAAGCAGACTCCATGTGGAGCATCGAATCTGATGCAGGTCTCGAACTCATGACCTTGAGATCATGACCTGAGCAGAAAGCAAGAGTTGGACATTTAACGACTAAACCATCCAGGTGCCCCAAGATATGTTACTTTATTCACAAAAATTTTTTTGTACTTACAAAATTTTCAAGTATAAATGTGTCACCTCAACTGGATTGTGCCGCCCTGTCCCTCAGAACCATCCCCCCCACCAGGTGCCTTGCGGGTGACCCAACTACCCACTGGCCTTTCCCTGATCATCCCATACCGTCCCCTTCGCCCAGGGCACGACCTGCCCGATCCAGTCTCTCACAGCACCGTTCCTCCCGGGCCTCTGCTCTGCGACCCTCACGCTCCTTCGGGCTGTCTCACTCGCCCTCGCACCATCCACACAGGACAGCCGTTGGCTGGCGCGGACTCTCCGTAACCATCACCAACCCAGACCCCAGGGGTGCCACAGCCACAGGGCGTCTCTGCCTTCCTTCCCCACACGGGGCCCCGAGTCCTGCGCACGCCTTGCCTTGCTTGAGGCCAGTCCAAAGCCAGAGCTTCCAAAGCACATCTCCCCGAGGAGCCCCGCGCGTCGGTGGGACGACACCAGCAGGCGATAGGAAGTCAGCCGCACGCCGAGCTGGTGGCGAGCTGGGGCGCGTGTCTGCACCCGGGCGTACGTCCTGTCGCACGTACGTCCTGTCTGTCCTGTCAGGATGGCCCCACCAGAGACGAGCAGTGTGCGGAGAAGCCCCCGTCAGCCAGAGGCAAGGGCTGGAGGCACACACGCCGGCACGTCCTCCCCGTCCAGTCACGGGACCATGCTGCGGAAAGCGCGCGCAGAGAAACGGGGGACCCTGGATGTGCGGACAACCGCGCACAGACTGAACTTGGCTGCATTACAGATCTGGCACCGTCATGGCTGAGAGAAGGGAACACAGGGCCCGTGAGCAGAGGCATCTTGGTGCCTGAGGTAGGCGTTCCCATGGTTTGCTCTGCGGAAACGAAACCCAGGCCCCCCTGCACGGTAACACCCGGAGGGGAAGCCACGGCCACAACCCCTCCCCACCCGGTCGGCACAGTCACGGCTCCGCCCGCTCGCGGTAACATGGAAACAACTTGCATTCCACCGTCCAACCACTGGCCCTCCGCGTGGGAACACTGCTACGGTAACATCTCAACAGCCAAGTGGTACGCAGGGAGGTGACATCACGTGTGCAGAAACCCCAAATGGCACAGAGAGGAGATGAGCTCAAGCCCACGCAGGCCTTGGTGAGCACGGCTCGTCTGGGGAGCCGCCCCGCGCACGGAGCTTGCCCGCAGGCCCACCTACGCCGGAAACGCGGCCCAGAAGCCCACTCACCTTTCCCTCCTGCGTGGGGAGGCCTTGGGCGCACAGTCCCCGGCGTGGCTGGAGGACGCGTCCCGGGTTGGCGGGGACGTGCTGGTTTTGGGTGGAGGCTGCTGGCGTGGAACCGGGACTCCTGCCCCAGCCACCGTTGAACAACAGAGGGGTTAGGAAAAGAGACGAAAGCCTTTTAGCAGGAAGGCCCCTCTACCAAAATTTAAAATTTACGAACTTCTAAGAGTCTGTATGGCAATTTGAAAACATTTAAAATACCCGATTTATAAAAATTACGTTTTAAAAAGCTCTAGAGAAAACGTAGGTTTGATCACTTGTATTGTGCCCCTGGTGGGCTGACCTGACCCCAGGGGAGCCCTCTGTGACCTTGTGGAGCCAGAGGGGCGCTCCCCCCATCCTGGCTTTGAGGAGGGGGCTCTGGAGAAGGGAGAAGCTGAACCGAGACCACCACGTGTACCTGGTAGGGGAACAAACCCTCCTTAAGGCCCGAGGGCCCAAGTACCCATCGGTGGCCGGGGGAGGCCAGCTGTGGAGGGTCTGGCCGCCTCCCCTCCAGATGCCCAAAGCCCTCCCTGCAGGACCGGGGGGCGCGTCCCCCTGCGAGGCGGGGTTCTCTGCACACGGTTACTCTGGGGCAGGGCCCGCGGGAGGCCTGCTCTCAAAAAGCAGAGACGTAGCCCAGCAGCCGACGTCTAATTCGGGGGAGTTACTCGCCTCTACCTCCAGCACCTCCACACCGGTCCTGCTGTAGCTGGTGTGCACCACGCTTCCCAGCACTGAAACCACCCGCCTCCACAAGCCACCATGCTCCGGGGCTTCCTGCGTGCTTTACTGGGCTCCCACCTGGACGGGGTGCTCGGCCTGGCACGATGGCTCCTTTCCGATCTACCTCTTGCCACTTCTTAACCAAGAAACGTAACCTACAAAGGAAAGAAAGGACACAGAACATCGGCAACTAGAGCAAAACCGTTGTGGAAAGAGCAATGAGAGTCCAGGCATGACCGACACCTGGGATCAGACCTGGGCGGGCCCCTGCTGTCTGTGGCGCCACCCTGACACCCACCAGCCTGGGGTCCCACAGACTCAGTTCAAAACCCCGCAACACCTGCTCCCTGACACCGCGAACACCACTCGATGACTCAGGGCAAGAGGAGCAAAGACAGAGGCCTCTGCCCTCAGGCGTTCTCGGTCAGATGGAGAGCAGGACTGTCAGGGTGAGGAGCGCCGGAGGTCGGCCCCCAGAGGTGCACCGCTGCGGGGCTCCTGGCCCCTCCTGGGACGGCCCCTTCGTGGCTCAGCAGACACCCTTCTGGCCTTCCTACCAGCTGCTCCTTCTAGACACCGCTGCCTCTGACCGTGTGCCCTCCCAGATAGCGCCTTCTGATGTGCATCAAAACCACAGCTGCTGGAAATGCTCTGCCCCTTGGCAGGAAGGCTGAAGGCAGGGCCTGGGCCTGGTCACCTGCCCGCATCGCACCCACCAGGCGCCCTGGCCCGGGGCCTTCTCTCCAAACACGCAGAACAGAAGGATGGATAAACAGGTGATGGCTGGGCGGTGTGTGGTCAAAACTCAGAGATGAGGGGACCAAGTGCCCTGAGGCTGAGGGCTGAGAGCAAGAGAGCGAGGAGGCCAGGCAGCCCCCACCCCTGCTGGAGCCGTCTGGCCGGGTGCTGGGTCTCTGCGGGGGCAGGGCTCTGCAGCGCGGTCGGGAGAAGCCAGGGAAGCCAGCCCACCCGGCTGCTGCGCTGGGCGTTTGGCCCACACAGATGACGACGACGGGTAGGGGATGAGGAAGGCACCTCTCGGGCTTCCCACGGCAGACATCGCACTAACAATTGTTAGTGGGACAAACATTTGTGGAAATTCAGCAAATCTTAAAATTATAAAATGGATTTTCATCACTGCTAATTCTAAACAGGTCAAAATTCCCAGTCACACCAGAGACTCACATACCTGCTCCCAAAACAAGCCTGTGTCAACACCTGGGACCCCGAGTGGTGCCTGAGACTGGCGGGACCCCCAGGCCTTGACCTCCCCCGGGGAGTGGGCTTGTAGCCAGGATGACAACACCACACACAGCCACTGCCCCACATGGGTCACATGCTCTGGTGGACCCGGCCCCTTTCACGGAAATACAGGGACAGAGAATGTGAGCCATGAATGCGGTTTCAAACTCTTATCAGCTATGCCTGGTGTCAGAGGAGTCCCAGCATGAGGCCCATCGTGGGGCGAGGTGTTGCTGGGTGACAAGAAGGTCTCCCTGAACCCCAGTGTCAGAAGGAGAGTGACAGCTCTGCACACGGTCTCCTGGAGGCAAGTGTCGCTCAGAAGGGGGCACATTCACGGACACAGCCCGAGCCCCTGCACGCTCCTTCCCTGGGACGCAGCGGCGGCAGGGGCCCCAGTGCTACCTTAGTATCGCGATCACCACCCTGACGGCAGTCCGAAACTTCGTAAAAGGGCGAGAGGGTGTAATTTTCTTATCTGCTTTGGAAGGAAATACTCCCAAATGAGCGATCATGGACAGCGTTTCCTGTTCAGAGTCCTGGAATCCGCCAATCAATAGCAGAAGATACTTCTTTTGATAAATCAGAGCTTTCCTGAAGCTTTCTGCTCTCAAGTAATGCAGGTACAACTTCTCCACCTGAGAGAAAATGAAGTCAAGCGATCAGGGAACAAAGACACCTTCCGCCACGTGCACCACGTGTTTGCACCGCCGGGTGTCAGAGAGAAGCAGACGGCGCCTGGCCGGCTCAGTCAGCGGAGCGGGTGCCTCAGGATCTTGGGCTTGTGAGTTCAAGCCCCACGTGGGGCATAGGGAGGACTTAAAAAGATAAATAAATACATTTTCAAAAAAGTCAAACTGGAAAAACCCTGCTTCTCTGTTCAGCAAACTGTTACATTGTTACAGAAGCCAGCCCTGCAGGACATCTGTCACCAGGGGCAGCCTTGCCGGGCGCTTTGACAAATGACAGATCAGACATCCTTTCCAAGCCTCACAGGAGCCCCCAAAGGCCCCAAGAATCTGACCACGAGGTGAGGTGCACTCCTGGGGCGGGATGGGGTCTCATCCTCAGGCCCATGGGACGCCTCGGGGGCTGTGGGAAACCCCTGAAGCCCTACCCAGAGGCGTACCCACAAACCCTGTTACTCTAACACACAGTTTCCTTCTAGAGAGGCCTCAGAGCTCGTACCACAGAGACAAACACGCTGACCAGCGAATCCCCAGTCTGGGGTGTTTTCAGACTGTGATGACCTAACGCGACCCCAAGTCGGACGCCCTGAACTCGTGCGCACAGACACAAAGTACTCGTGTGGAATGACACCGCAGGGGCAAGTGCATCTGCTGTCACTGCTCTCGTCTGTGACGGCTCCACATCTCCCGACTGCAAACAGGCGCGCGCGTACACGTGTCCGCACCTGTGCTCAGGCAAAGGAGAGCCCCACTGTCACGACAGTGCTTGTGCGGCTACAACGGAGACCCACAGAACGCACTCCACCGAGAGTGAACCCCGACGTTGCCTGTGGACTCGGGGTGATGACCCGTCGGTGCTCGCGCAGGAGTGGGCCATCAACACGGGGGCAAGAACGCACCGGCGCTCTCCACACCTTCGCTCCGACTCTGCTGTCAACCCTACGCTGCTCTAGGAACATAAAGGCCTTTTCCTTTTTAAGAGTATGAGTGAGCGAGCAGGGGAAGAGGCAGGAGAGGGAGAGAGCATCCCAAGCCACTCCCTGCTGAGCACGGAGCCTACCACGGGGTCAATCCCACGACCCCAAGATCATGGCCTGAGCTGAAATCAAGAGTTGGACACTCAACCGACGGCGCTCCCCAGGCACCCCAGAAATACAAAGTCTTAGAGATGGATAAGGGGCACCAAGTGGGTGGCACCGCACACGCCCAGCGCGGCCCAGGCCTGGCCTTACTTGCACACTGCAGCTGTTGGCCTCCTCGCGTGCGGCCGGCGCGGGCAGTGCTGGGTCTGGCTGTCGTGCTGAGCTCTGTGAGCCCGATCCATCCTGCTTCCACACAGACTTGTCCGGCCTCTGTAACAAACCACAGATGACATCGTCTGCACAGTTCCTCCACCAGAAGAACATCTCGCGAGTACGGCCGAGGGCAGAGTCGGCACCCCCACCCCAGGGTCAGGGTCACGTCTCCTGAGTGCCATGTCGTGGGCCGTCCTGGGTCCATCTAGGCAGAGCTGTCACGTATTATCAAGCAGATCGTCAACACTCGGGGTGGTTACTGCATACCAATTATGACTGCACAAAAGGTACATTTTTATTAAAAACAAACTCCAAATATTGGTGAAAGAACACCAGATTCAAAGCATTAAGCCTGTTGAACACACGCACAGTCTCAGGTCCTAGAGAGGCTGACTCCTGACAGGGCTGAGTCCCCGGTCCTATCGCGGGACCGGCAAATCCCAGGCCTGGAAACCTCAGCAGGGGCCCCACGTGGGCGCCGTGGACACTGAGGGGCTGTCATGGCAAGCAGCACCCAAACATGGGTAGCACGGCCTGGATACCACAGTGCGCGGAGGACGCCCAGAGCTCCGTGGGGTGGTCGTTTCCAGAGCATAAGGAACCCCTAGTGAGGACAGCAGAGGGGCTGCCCACACTGATGACCAGAGGGAGCTCCAAGCACTTGGGCCGTGTGCATGGTGACCTTGGTCCCACCATGTGGAACAGGAATCGGAGGTCACCCGGTCACACCAGCCCCAGCGCCAGGGTGCAGCTGAGAGGATGAGCCTGTGTCCAAGGTGACCCTGCGGAAGGGTTGCCACAGGCCCTAGTGAGGAAGGAGGAAAAGGCGAGATGCTGTTTTCTGGTCCTGAAACACAGCCTGGTGGGAAGAGACTCTAGGAATCAAAGCCATCTCAGACATGAAGGAGGAAATGTTCCACAAGTTCACGCTCAGCCTGTGAAGCGTCTGCCTTCAGCTCACATTATGATCCCAGGGTTCTAGGATCGAGCCCCGTGTTGGGGTTGGGGGGGGGGGACCTGCTCAGCAGGGAGCCTGCTTCTCCCTCTCCCTCTGCCCCCATCGCATTCATGCTCACTCTCTCAAATAAAATACTCAGAAGTAAATAAATACTTATTTCCTACAACAAAAGCAAAAATTGACAAGTGGGACTACGTCAGCCTAAAAACCTTCTATGCAGGAAACCGTCAACAAAACAAATGATACAGCCAATAGGAAGTAAACATCCAAAAATACATTAAAAAACCTGTATACGATTCAATATGAAAAAACCACCCATTGAGCAGAAAACCTGGACATTTTCCCAAAAAATACAAATAAATGGCCAACAGACACCTGAAAAAATGCTCCACATCACTCGGCATCAGGGAAATACAAATCAAAACCACAGTGAGATCCCACCTCACACCGGTCAGAACGGCTAAAATGAACCAGTCAGGAAACGACAGGTGCTGGCGAGGATGCGGAGGAAGGGGAGCCTCCTCACTGTTGGTGGAACCCAAGCTGGGGCAGCCACTCTGGAGAGCAGCATGGAGGGTCCTCAGAAAGTTGACAATAGAGCTGCCCTACGACCCAGCGATCGCACTACTGGGTATTTACCTCAAAGAAACTTAAAATACAGATTCAAAGGGACACAGGCACCCTGACGTTTCTGGCAGCCTCAATGACAGCCAGACTGCGGGAAGAGCCTGGGCGTCCACCAACAGACGAGGGGATAGAGAAGCTGCGGGTCATAAGCACGACAGAGTAGGACTCAGACATTACAGAAGGAGGAAGTCTTGCTTTTCTTCTGACAACAGGGACGGACGTCGAGGATATTACATGAAGTGAAAGGAGTCAGACAGAAACAGACCGATACCCTATCACCTCACTCATATGCAGAATCTAAAAAGCCAAACCAAACAAACGCAGAAAACAGACTCACAGAAACAGAGCAAACTGGCTGGTGGTCAGAGGGGAGGAGGGCCAGGGGGCGGACGCCGCAGAGGGAGCAGCCAAGAGCACTGTGACAAGTCTGTGGTGACAGGTGGGAACCAGCCTCACGGTGGTCGAGGGCTCATGATGGATGCAAGTGTCGCATCACCATGTGGTCACCTGAAACTAGTGTCGTACGTCAGTTACTCCTCAATGAAATAATCTGTTTCCCGATTTCCTTGTTAATGTTCACTGAAACATTGTGAACATCAAAGTGTTCTCCTGGCGACTGGGCCTTAGTCCCACAGGGACCTCGTAGCGCTTCTGACAAGTCCCAGAGAAGCGGACAGGGCCGTGAACGGCGCTGACTGCAGCTTTCATCAGGATTAAAACACGGAGCTGTGAGAGCTCACATCAAGGAAAGCAGGTCCTGGCCTGGCCAAGTGGCTCGACCCTCCTTCCCAAGTACAGAGGCCCTTTACCTTACCCACCGACATAGCTCGCAACAGACAAAGCAAGCCTGGACAGAGCTTGAAGACAAATTCCTGATTCCACTTAGAGACAGCAACGTGCCCCTCGCGGGGACCGAGGACGAGGAGGAGGCAGCTCAGTAAGGCTACAGGAGATCGGAATGACCTTTGTGGGACCCTCCACCAGCACCAGAAACACCACGTCCATCACTAAAAACCTTCCCTAGAAGACCCATAACTAGGCCCAGGTGGTTTCACTGGTGAATTTATAAGTATTTAAGGAAGAAATAAATGCCAGCTCTAGGAAACTTTTTCAGAAATTAAGAAGAGGAAGGAACACATTCCAACTCATTTTATGAGGCCAAAACTTGACAATACCCCAAAAAATAAAAAATAAAAAAACAAAAAAACAAAAAACAAAACTCTCCAGGGATACCCGGGTGGCTCAGTCATTGAGCGTCTGCCTTCGGCTCAGGTCATGATCTCAGGGTCCTGGGATCGAGCCCCGCGTCGGGCTCCCCGCTCAGTGGGGAGCCTGCTTCTCCCTCTCCCACTCCCCCTGCTTGTGTTCCCTCTCTCCCTGTGTCTGTCAAATAAATAAAATCTTTAAAAACAAAAACAAAACAACAAAAAAGCCCTCCAGATTAACATCCCTCATGAACCAAGAGTCAAAAACACTCAATTTGCCCAAAATATGGGCAAACTGAACCCAACAACATGTGAAAACAGTAAGATGTCATGACTGCCTGGGGCTTTCCCTGGTACCAGAACTCGGAGCGCATATCCAGAAATCACTGTAAGAGACTATGTTAGCTGAGAAAACAAGGAAACACACATCCCCCCATCAACAGATGAAAAGAAAGCATTACAAAGTTAAACACCCATTCACAAACAAAAAGTCTTTGCAAACTAAGACTCAGAAGGAACTTTCCTTAGCTGCAGGGCCTTTGCACAAACACTTGACAAATAGAAGCTCCGCCCCCAGGACTGGGAACCGGGCCTGCTCGACCCCGTCCGGAAGTCCAGCCTGTGCCACCGCCAAGAGATGGAAATGAAAGCTATTCACACTGGAAAGAAAATAAACCCCTGTTCACAGATGACAGAACTGTGTCCACATGAAATCCTATGGAAGGGCTCACGGGATTAAAAAGCGCTGTCAGCAAGGGTCCCAGCACCAGGGGGACCCGGGAGTATGGATGTGCTTCCAGGCGTGAGCCAGGCGCAACGGGAGCACAAGAGGGTCTGGGCAGCACCTTTCACAACACTCCCGAGAAACGAAGTATCTAGGGTATCAATGTCACGTTTTCAGGGTCTGAACACAGACGCGACAACGCGTTTAGGAGACAGAAACAGATGAGCGGACGTGCGAGTTCCCAGATGGGAAGATCCCACGACGCTACATTCAAATGCAGGTACGGCGGCCCAAGGAGCCAAGATGTCCATTCTCGCCTAAAACCTTCATGACGGCCTCACTGAGAGGTGATTCACACCCGTGAGCTTTATGCTCTGAAAATGTGCAATTCAACGGGCTTGGAGTGTGTCTACAGAGGATCGCGCCCCACATCAGGCTCCCTGCTCAGCAGGAAGCCTGCTTCTCCCTCCCCCACTACCCCTGCTTGCGTTCCCGCTCTCGCTGAGTCTTTGTGAAATGAATAAAATCTTAAAAAGAAAAATTTAAAATAACCTTTTTTTCTTTGTAAAAAAAGAAAAGCAAATCACAAACACACGAATCTAAGTATAAAAGAAAAAAAAACTAGGCTTTCTAGGAATAAAGTCTATCAACCTATGTGATCAGGTAAAGTGAAATAGATTTCCTGCCCCAAGCCGGCGGGGAACGTGATCTCACGCGTGTCCACGCAGGCGCTCGCGTCTGGGAACAGCGCGCATGCGGGGCTGGAGGGCGCACGCGGGGGGCTCAGAGGCCCCGGCCGGAGGGAGCCCCGCCGGCCCGCATCCCACACGGAGGTGCGTACGTACGCTGCACACACCGCGCCGCAGCAGGTGCTGCTTCAGTGACTTCTCCAGCTGCGAAACCGCCCGGCACAGCTCTGCCTTCTCCTGCGTCACCGTGCGCAAGGCTGTGGTCAGGGAGTCGTTGTCCTTCAGGAGGACGTCCACCAGCTGGGTCTGCAGCTCCGCTGTCATCTTTCTCTTAACAAGGAGAAAACAAATTAGTAAACAAATCTGTCTGTTAAAAGGTATCTATGAGGGCGCCTGGGGGGCTCAGTGGGTTAAGCCTCTGCCTTCGGCTCAGGTCATGATCTCAGGGTCCTGGGATCGAGCCCCGCATTGGGCTCTCTGCTCAGCGGGGAACCTACTTCCTCCTCTCTCTCTGCCTGCCTGTGATCTCTGTCTGTCAAATAAACAAATAAAATCTTTAATAAATAAATAAATAAATAAATAAATAAAATCTTTAAAAAAAAAAAAAAAGTTATCTATGAGCAGAGCCTGGGGGGCTGAGTCGGCGACGCGTCTGCCTGCGGCTCAGGTCATGATCTCGAGGTCCTGAGATGGAGTCCCGCGTCGGGGAGGGGACTGCTCAGCAGGGCGCCTGCTTCTCCCCGTCCCTCTGCCGCGCCCCCTGCTTGTGAGCACTCACTCTCTCTCCCTCTCTCTCAAATAAGTGAATAAAATCTTTGTTAAAAAAAGTGTACTTGCTACCTGTGTTTTTTACTGTTGGTTACTTTCACGAATCACAGTTTTATACATGTTCGGGGTTCAGTGGGAGCTTGTGGGGCTGGGCAGACGTCTCCATCTATGGGACTGAAGGTAACAAGTCCTAACTCACATCGCCATGCCTCTGTGCACGAGACGCCGCCCAGCGCTGGGCCGCACTAACAAAGCCAGCGTGCGACAGAACCCCGCGCGGACGGCTCCCAGCTCCGTGAGCAGCACACACGGGGAACAGGGAATGCCGTGTGCTCGTCCGGGAGGGGCCCAGCACGCACGTCCCTTAAAACAGGTTTGTTATCTCCAAACCTGGAGTCGTGCAGCCTGCAGCGGACTCGGGACACGGACACAGGCACGGCCTCCTCAGACAGCACGCCCCACACGGCCCGGGCGGCCCCACAGGCACGCGGTCCGCTCTCCTGCTGCCTACATGTGTGCCACCTTCACGAGACGTGGCAGGATTTCACAGGGTCATCTACCCAGAACCTGCATCAGCCTCGGGGCTTCTGAACCCTCCAGGCGCCGCTGCCAGGGAGCGTGGACTCGGCCCTCAGGAGCTCACTTCTGGCTCAGGCTTTCAACCCAGGTGTACATGGAGCAGCCTGGGTCCGCAGGGGCCCTGGGACACCTGCCCTGAGCACCACAGCCCAGCCAGTGCCCGGTGGAGGGTGCACCAGGGCACTTGGCAAGGTCATGCCTGTGGGAGGGGGTGTCAGACTGCGCAACCACGCGGAGGGCGAGGGGAGCCGCCCTCACCTGGGAGGGACCGGGTGTGCTCAGCTCAGACTTGAGCTCCTCTAACGTGCGCAGTAAGGAGGTCACGGCTTTCTCGTTCGAGGACGTCCAGTCGCTAATTGTCCTGTGAACACAGAGAGACACTGGAAGGGCTGGCGCAGGCCATGACGCCGCCCCTGGAGGTGCGCTTCGGATCACCCTCTGCCCACAGCGGCCGCAGGGACGGGACGCAGCCCTCGTGCGCACAGTCCATGAGGCCCAGAGACGTCTGGCTGCTGAGCACAGACCACAGACTGCCCGAGCGCGGCTCTCCGCTGGCATCCGGTCTGGGTGTCAAGCACCGTCTGGAAGGAAAGCGGCTCGGAGATCACGGCGCTCTCCATACTGAACCGATTCCCGACGGGGGAGCCGTGCAGACAGGAGAGGGCGAGTGCCAACTCTTTTGTTCAGAGAAACACTCCCTTCGGGCCCTCAAACACAGAGGGGCACCCTGCTTGTGTGAGCCACGGTCCTGAGGGCCGTGGGCAAGGCACACACCGTGCGGATCTGCCGCACCACCCAACCCCAGCGGGCCCCAGTGGGCCGGGCCTGTATCCCCGCCCAGAACCTCGGGATGGGGACTGGTTGCAAAGGGACATGAGGAGACCAGATCTAAGAGAAACCTGGGCTCTACTCTTCCACCGCCACACCCACACACACAGTCCTGTCGCCATCCTTCAGGAAGGTCCAGCCCAGAAATCCATCAAACCCGTGGGAATCCATCCACATTAACACGGGGACCGGGAACCAAAGCCCGGCCCGCAGCGCCCACTCGGCTCGGCTCGGGGGACAGCCTGTCCGGACGGGCTCACCTGTCCACCATCCGGCTGACGAAGCTGGTCAGGAGCCCAGCGGCGTACAGCAGCTGCTGACGGACCTTCTCCAGGCCGAGCCGCTCCTCCTGCAGCCGCTCCGCCTCTGGGGCCTGGCGGGCCGCCTCCTTCGCCTCCAGGGCCTGCACGGTCCGCTGAAGCTGCTGGATCTTGTGCTCGTCTCGCTGGCGCTGCAGCTCCAGCTCTCGCTGTTGTTGGTGGCAAAACAACAGGAAAGTCCTTCACATGCCTGTTCCCAAAGCAGAAGCCTGAAGCCCAGCTGTCACGGTGGGGGGGTGGTGCAGGCAGCACAGCAACACCCTCCACGGGGCGCAGCGACCCAGAGGCAGAGCCAAGCTCCGCAGCGTGGGTGCGGACGGCCTCATCGCCGCCTCTGAGAACGGTCGGGGTTTTACAAGCGCGCGCAGGGGGCGGCGGGACACGGAAACAGGAGTCCTCACAGGCCCAAGTCCCGGCTTCCACCGTGGGCGCCCGCGCCCACGCCCACACACACCCACACACGGACCCGCCGGGCACGGAGGAAGGTCCACGTGCACCTGGTGGAAACGGCCTCACTTGCAAAATGCCCTTCACCACGGAGGTGCCAGGCATGGCCGGACAGCCCCCGGCTCCCAGCCCAGCACGGGGATCTGCACCCCCATCGGGGACGCAGAGCTGGTCACCGGGCGGAAACCCGCCCAGCAGCCAAAAATGACAGAAGGCCGCTTTAGAGGAGCTTCCGCAGGTGAGGACGCCTCGGGAAGGGCCAGAGAGGCGGTGTGTCCGGTAGAAGCTGGGTCGCCCGGAACCCAGCCCAGGCCTCCCGCCGCCGTGTGGCCCACGCGGCGCAGACCACGGTGCCAGCTCGATCGACACAACAGCGTCGTGAGGACGGGGGCATCGCTACTTGGCTATTTTCCAGGCGAGGAAAGCAAGACACCGAGGGACCTACAGAGTTACTGTGTGCGGAAGGGACGGGACCGACCGCGAGCAACCACCTCGGGAGGCCACCGCGCGCCGAAGGAAGTCCACAGTCCGGGACAAACTAACCGTCTACAGACCACAACACCCAAAGGGCTGTGTCAATTACTGAAAACTCCGTTCCACGACATGCTGTGAAGAACAATTTATTAACTTGAAAAACATTTTTGTTGCATTTTTTTAAGCAAAAACAAATCAAAGTTAAGGGGTTTGGCTGAAGATTTTGGAGGTGGTTTGAGGAAGTTCTTCAGAAGCACGTGGAGGCCACAGACACGCTTCCCAGGGGGAAAAGGCAAACACGCGCACACACGCGCACGCGCACACACACGTGCACATACACACGTGCGCGCACACACGCACACACACGCGCACACGTGTGCACAAGATACTGAAGACATTCGGGGGCTCCGCGCCAGCAAGGCCACCCTGGGGCGTGACTCGACTCGTCTCTTTCACAGAGCAGCACAGGGTCCGCACAGCACACACCACCCGCTCCTTGCAACACCTCCAAACTAGTCCGTGTTTCGGGGTGGGTGTGCGGTAAACACGACCGTGACCGTGAAGCCTGCGTCCCTCAGCACGGCACACACACGGGCCTTGGAAACACTGGGAAAGGAGCTGGACAGGGAGGCCCCGCACTGCCCGATTCCTTCCCAGGAACCGTGCACCACAGGCCGGCGCACACACAGGAAGGTGACTCGTGGAGGCCAGGGCTGAGCACTAACGGTGTGACTTCCATGTGGGGCGATGGACGTGTACTAACACGCGTGGTGGCGACAGGCGTAAGGTTCCGAAGGTTCTGAAACCCCTGACGCGCGGAAGCGAGGCTGGTGAACTCGGGTGTGAGCCGGGTCTCAGCAAACCGTCCGACGCACTGATCACACCCGCCGTGAACTTCCCAAACTAACCAGTCTCATGGCGTTTGGGGAGCGGACTTATCCTTGTAACACAGAGAAATCTAGTTTTCAGAAACATATCCATTTCTCAAATATTTCAGGGCAGCCTAACCACGGAGAAGACCAGGCTACTGGTTTTCCTCATGTGTTTTTAAAAACTTATTTGGATTTTCACAATTTAAAAAAATTACGCTTAAAAATATTTTTAAAAAAATATTTAAAAAACATTTTTTAAGAAAGCAACACAAGTGTCCACCCGTGCAAAGACACAGAGTTCAATTTTCTCAGAAACAAAGGTTTCTGATTGACATAAAACGTATCTAAAAGTAACATTTTATTCAAAACATAGAAACACTTCCCAACCTGTGAGGCAAAAATCATCCAGGTATCAAGGTCAAAAACACCACAACTTGAAAAAAACCAATGTCCCCTACGAATACAGATGCAGAACCCTAACCAAACGCGGCAGGCCGAGCCAGCGCCGTACAGAAAAGCACCACAGAGCGGGGTTCGGCCGGGAACGCACAGCGAGCTCTACAGACAGGAAACTCCACGTCAACAGAATAAAGGGCAAAAACATCAATTCCAAGACACCAAAAATGTAATCCAAACTCTCACGACTGAAGACACGGCACACGCGGGCTGAGCAAACCAGGAAGAGAGAGCCTCCTGCGACAGCGGGAGACCGTGATGGTGGCCCCGGGTCGGGCAGGGGCCGTGGGAAAGTCACCTGCGCAGGGACTGAAGAAGCCGCCGTGGGCATGCAGGAGACGTGATCTCATGCGTGGAAAACTACACGTACGTTAAGAAGCTGGGAGTAACGGGCAGGTCTGAGGTTGTAAGAACCACCTGCACTGCTGAGGGCCAGCGGGGACGATCAAAGTCCAATTAAGAAACTGGGTCCACAGACCACAGCACCAGACATCGCTGACACCTGCGGACACCCGGACGATGGCGCCCACTCATCACCTGGAAGCCGCAGCACCCGAAGATCAGGCCTAGCTGTGCGGAGGGACCGCCTCCTTCACCCTCCGCAGAGCTGACACCACCAAAGGAACCACCCCCCAGAGCTGCCCGCAGAGTCTACGTGAGCCCCCGAGTGCCCAGACGATCCCGAGAGACCTGCCACGGAGCGGTGGCGACCGGAGGGCGGCGGACGGACGGACCAGCGGGACGGAGGAGCGGGGGACCCGGCCCCATGGTGGGCAGCGGGGCAGCGACGCGGCCGGCGCGCGCTCACCCGTTTCTCCTTGTCTCCTGATGGCCGCAGCTCCGCGTTGGCCCGGCCCGGCCCCGTCTCCGCTCGCCTCCTCGCGTCCTTGCGTCCTTCCCGCGCGGCCGGCCTCGCCTGTGCACACTCTAGTCCCGCCGGCGGCCGCGCGGCTCTGAGCCGTGGCTCCTGGGCCGGGGGCGGCTCCGCGCCAGGGCTGTGCGCCGCCCTTACCTCCTTGTCCCGCTCCAGCTCCGCCGCCCGCCGCCGCTGCATCTGCTCCAGCCGGGCCTGCGGCTCCGGTGCGCGCGCCCGCTCGTCCCTCGGCCTCCGCGGCGGGGCGTGCTGCGCGGGGGGCTCGCGGGCACCGCGGCTCAGCTGCTCCGTCAGCAGCCGCTCGTGCCGCAGGGCGGCCGCCAGCTCCCGCGAGCGGCCCTTCTCGGCCTCCAGGCTGCGTCGCAGCTCGCACAGCTGGCCCTGCTCCTGCGCCAGCAGCGCCTCGCAGCGCGAGGCCTCGATCTGCAGCTCCCGCCGCAGGTTGTCCGCGGCCGTCTGCTCGTGCTCCAGGGCCACACGCAGCTGGCTGCTCTGGGCACACTGCTGCTCCAGGGCCGTCCTCAGCTCCTGCCGGGGAGTGGACGGCACGCGGTGACCCGAGGGGAAGGATGGTGCTGTTCTGCCGCGGCTGCCGCGCCCCCCACCTCCACGGACACAGCCGTCCCGCCGACCGCCGCCGGAGCCTCGCAGCGGAAAGTCTGGAGGCCACAACCCCGGCTCGGCTCACCGTCCCGCCCGTCCAACCCTAGCACCCGTGGGTCACGACGAAGATGCCGTCGTTCTGCCCGGCTGCCGGGCACATGCCGTGGGGAGAGGACGAGAGGGGCCCCGCCGCCCAGGCACCTCCAGGGTCTTGGAGCTCTGGCCCTCCTCATGCAGGTGCCGTAGCCGCTGCTCCTCGAGCCGGCTCCGCAGGGCGCGCTCCTTCCCGCGCTCGCACTCCAGCTCCTGCAGCGCAGCCTTCAGGCTGCTCTCCTTGCCGTCCAGCACGGACCTGCGCGGGAGACGGGGACAGAGCCCGCGGCCTCATCCGCCCTGCATGTGCGCCTGCGCTGGGTGCCCCCCCCCCCCGCACACCCAGCGCCCCCATCACAGCCTGAGCACAAACCGCAGCCCGCCAGGGCCGCCCTCCCCTGGCCACACCAAGGGAAGGGCGTGGACGCCTGCCAGGCCTCTGCGCCTCCCTCGACAGAGTCTGCGGACGGACGGGACCGGGGCCCAGAGGCGCGTGTGGGGCAGGGCCGCGGCCCTACCTTAGCTGCAGGACCTCCTTCTGCGCCTCACTGAGAGACGCCAGCAGCCTCTCGTTGTCCTGTTTGCACTCGCGGAGCTCAGCTCTCAAGTCTCGGACGGCGGTCTGCTCCACTGCCAAGAGCTTCCGCGTGCTGCCGGCTTTCTCCTGCTCTTCCTTCAGGGTTTTCTGCACGTCACTGGCTATCCGCTTCTCCTGCTCGACCTTATACGCCAGTAGCTCCACTGAGAAAGACACGGAGGACAGGAGACAGCCTCGCCCACAAATCCAGGGCGAGCTGTGCCTGTGACCTCAGAAATTAAACACAAACCAGTATAGGGACGGGACATACTCACTCTTGGGGAAAACGACACTTCCAGGCCTACAGCCGGGACGCTGGCCTCCACCCCACACCCCCCGGGCCTCGGGGCACCTAGAGGTGGATGGGCAGAGTGACCCCACAGGCCAGCGGACAGGACAAGGCTCCCCAGGGCAAGTGGCTCAGGTCTGGGGTCTGCCTGGAGGCTCAGGACGGAGATGGGCCGTCCCCTGGTCATCCTGGATCACCACTTCCCTGTGACTCCTACACTGTGCACTCCCCAGCAGAGACGGCCCTGACCCCAACAGTGTCACTGCCCCAAACCCTAGAGAGGAAATGGCCCTGGTTCTCTGTAGACCCGTCCGGAACCCAGAAGGAAAGGGACACCTGCACACCCTCCACGAGGCTGGCGTAACTCCAGCACCAGAGCCGAAGACAAAACCACAGCCCCTCACGCATGCAGAAGAGAAAAACCAGCAGCCCGGCCCAGAAACGCTCCCAAGACAACGCAACACGACGCAAACGCAAGGCCACATGGTGGACAGCTCTGGCCCGCCATTCAGCACCCAGAACCAGGAGGAGAAGGGGCCCTGAGAGCCGCCGGCACGCGTGGGCAAGGACCACAGCTGGCACCACGTGTCAGAGCAGGAGGTGGGGCACTGCCCCCGTGGCCAGACCTGCTCCTGCCCTCACTCACCAATGCTCAAGGCCTAACCAGAGCGATTGATAACAAGAGGCAGGCGGGAAAAAAAATAAAATGTTTTTTATTCAGAGATGATGTGACCATCTATTAAAAAAAACCCAGAAGAACCAAAATTAAACACAGAAATGTGACATGGGCTGTTTAAAGCCAGCACAAGCCCCAGAGAATCCCAGGCACGGTCCCGTGGCGCCCGGCGCTCACACCGACGCAGGCCCCCCACGGCCCGCCGGGACCCTGGGCAAAGCCTCGCCCCGCGCCCTGCACCGTCCCCTCACTGGCAGTTCCGTGAACCGAGAAATGCCAAGGCTGACGATCCCCGTGCCCAGGGACCTGGAGAGACCGGGCCGTGGCTCCCCGTGTCCCACCGGCCCAGCAGACGCAAGCGCGACACTCACCCTGCCTGCGCAGCTGGTGCTCCTGCCGGCTCCCGCGGGCCTCCGCGCTGGTCAGCGCCCCGCACAGCTGCTGCAGCTTCTCCTGGTTCTGCAGGTGCGTCATGCGCAGCTGGGCGCGCAGGGCCTGGATCTCCGCCAGCAAGCGGCTCCTGTCCGACAGACGGAGGCGTTCCAAGGACTTCTCCTGCAGACGGCCCGAGAGATGGGAAAGGAGGGGAGCAGGGTCACAGACTCGGCCACTGGACGGCCCTGTGGAGGAGCACCCCCTGAATGGAGAAACGGGAGCACGGAGCGCGCCCCAGGGCAGGGGAGGCCGGGCCTGGCAGTGTGCTGGAGGCTCCACACAAGCAGCCCACCCTCCGCAAATTCGTGCCTCCAGCTCCGTGGGCACGAGCCTGGGGACGGAGCCTCGTCCCTGACAGAGTAAGAACAGGCTCGCAGGAGGGTTCGGTGACAAACACGTAGTATGGAACAGAGGCCCCAGGGGACATTCTGACCTCACATGGCTCCCCGCAGGTCCATGCCTCAGGCCACTTGACCTACCATGGGCCTGCCTCTAGACTCCGGTGCCCTCACCTCCAAGGGACTCGGTGGAGACCGTGCTGACCCCTCTGGCTCTCTGACCCTCCCCGCCCGGGCTCAGCGCTCACGGCCTGGGTCAGGATACTTAGCGCTGCTCTGTCTTTAGGAAAAGGCCAGTTACTTCCAGAACACAGAGAGACCGAGAAGCAGAATAAACGTGCAGACATCTGCACTGGGCAAAATCGCGATTAAACAGTGTTACAGATGTGGACACTGCCACGTTCCAAGGTCAAATTCACATGAACCCATTCCATCACCCTCTCCGCCGCGGGGATCCAGGAACCGGATCACGGCACGCGCTCACCTGCTCCTGGACCACCTTCTCCAGCCGCTGCAGCACGGAGTTGTGGTCCCCGGGGTCAGGAGCGCAGGGCTGCGGTTGCAACTCGGCCCTCAGCACCTCCCACTCTTTTCCAAATGCCTCCTGCACAACCTGGAGAAATTCTCCTCTCCAGTCAAGACACATGTCGGGGGGTTCCTAAAATATTGGGACAAGAAGCTCGGTGTTCTTATGAACACACCCTGCGGGTTACCCCGGAAGAGCCCCTACCAGTGCACCCACGACCGCCCTGGGGCACACGAAGCCAACCCTGCTGACGGAGGAGACACGACCTAAGGCGAGAGCACGTGAGACTGGGCCAACGGTGGGCAAACTTCCTCCTTTCCCACCGCCACGCCAGGCCCAGCGCGGGTGCTGCTGGCTGGCTACCTTGTCCGCCAGCAGGCCTGGGCCTGGCACGGGGGTATTGCTTCCCTGCACACCCTGTGGTTGGTAGGTCCCTTGGGTGTGGCTCAGCACCTGGCCTTCACCCAGCTGCCCTGGTTCCCCAGTCACAGAGCAGACACTGGGATCCCACAGGCTCAGGCCTGGCCCCCATACCCGGCCCCCGTCACCCACCTCCAGCTCCACCACATGTCCTCCTCCCACGGCCTTTCCTGCCCTAAAGGGGCCTGGAATGTGCCAGCAAACATGACTGAGAGGGCAGCTGGCCAGGACCAAGGCCCCTGTGCCCAGCGCTGACCACCCTCCTTCCCTTGATCCCACTCATCTAGCCAAGCGTCCGCCACCAAGTGCTCCTTGCCCACACCTTACCCTCTCTCAGGTGGAATGCCCCGTACCTTCTCTCCCTTTTGGAGTGCTAGGGTCGCATGTCTCCGCAGAGCCGGCACCGCCTCCAAAAGGCCGGAGCCCTCTCTCGGGAAGCAGTCAAGGGGGGCACTCGGCTCGCCCTTGCTCAGGGTGCTGGGTGGCCCGTGGCGCTCGGACAAGGCCAGTATGTGGTGGCTCTCGTCACATACCATCTGCAGCAGAGCCTGCAACGGGACGGGCCTCTCAGGAAGAAGGAAAAGCTGCCGGAAGCCACTCATCCGTCTAGTCCCTGGCCCATCACCCAGGAACGCTCACCAGGGCTGCACACACAGCTCTCTACAACCTCTGAACCCAAGAACGAGTTCTGTGGTTCCGCGAGATTCTTCAACAACCCCCCTGCGACCTTCAGACCCCACTAGGAAACCAGCTGGAAAGAGGATGTCGGTGTGCGCAGCCCCCCGAGACGGCCGCCCCACCAGCGCCTGCATGAGAGACAGCGTCCCCTACCACCCCTTCCATAAGCCTGGGCGGGGCGCAGGACAGGGCCTTGGGCCAACTTCCCAGGCCCCGTCATGGAGACGCCCTGCGACTCCCCAGCTCTCCTGGGACGGCAGCCACTGCGCTCTGAGGAGGCTGTCGGGACCCACACAGGGGCCTGGGCTTCCCTAGGGGAGAGGCGCCTGCACACAGCACCCAACCCGCTGCACGCCACTCTGGCCCTCGCTGCCTACAGCAGGGCCCGGACACGGGCAGCAGGGAGAGGGTCGCCCAATGCCCAGACAAGTCCCTGCACACATGCAGGGACTGTGAGCGCAGGAACGGGTCCTTCACGGCACCAGGACTCTGGGACACACACTGGCCAGGTCTCCTGCCCAAAGACACGGACAAAGGAACCAAGTGGCTTCCCCAGAGCTGCCCCCAGGTTAGGACCGACACAGGGTCCGAAGTAACCCGAGCGGCCCTCGCTGCACACGAAGGGTCATTCAAGGGGCGTGTTCTTGTGTCCGTCTCTGTGGAACAAAGACTAACAGGTGCTTTAAACAGGGAAGAACGAAAGCAGCAATGAAGCGGGGGTGGCTGGGTCGGCTCGGTGTCCGCTCCTTGATTTCAGCCCGTGTCATGGTCTCGGGGTCCTCGGATCGAGCCCCACATTGGGCTCCAGGCTCCGTGCAGGGTCTGCTGGCGGTTCTCTCTCCCTCTTGCATGCCTGCTCTCGCCCAAGTAATCGAAAAAAAACCCCACAAAAACAAGAACAAAAACCAAGAAACCCAAGTTCAACACCCAAAAAACAAACCAGTTAAGAAATGGACAGAAGGCAGGAAGAGACACTTTTCCGAAGAAGACGTCTGGATGGCGAAGAAATACATGAAAAGATGCTCAACGTCACTCATCATCGGGGAAATACGGACCGACAGCACAGCCAGGGGTGCCTGGTGGCTCGTGGGGTGAGCCTCTGCCTTCGGCGCAGGTCGAGATCTCAGGGTCCTGGGATCGAGCCCCGCATCGGGCTCTCTGCTCAGTGGGGAGCCTGCTTCCCCCACCCTCTCTCCCTGCCTCTCTGCCTACCTGTGATCTCCGTCTGTCAAATAAATAAATAAATAAATAATTTTTTTAAGCGAGTAAGTAAGTAAATGCGCATTAAAACTCCTTTGCGGGGGAAGCAGACGTGAAGAGGCTTAGGACGGAGAAGGACCAGTTCCCCAGAAACAGGTCTCGCTAAGGTTCTAACGACGGAGCAGAGCAGCGGGTACCGACACAGAAAGGACTAAAAGGCCAACCACACGCCACGTTCAGGTTCACACTTCCCGTGCCGCAGCCCAGTGCAGACAGCGGCCGCTATGGGGAGACGAGAGGCCGCCCCTGAGTCTGCAGCCCCACGCACGGCAGGAACGACTCCGCGACAGACGACCCCACCCCTCCTCCGGGAGCACTCGCCCCTGCTAGGCATTCCACAGAGCGTCTGTGAGGATGAAGGACCGCGGCCTGCACCATCCAGCGAGCAAAGCTGCCTGTCAGGCCACCGCAGCCCTCTGGGCACGTCGCAGGACCCCAGGTCTGCTGCTGAGCCCTACCCTCGGGACTGCCCCTCCACGCGCGGTGTCGCCACGGCCTGCGAGCCTGCCCACCCGTCCTGCGGAGCCCGTGTTAGCTCCCGCCAGTGCACAGCGCCCCCCAGCACCGCGGCACCAAGGCCCGTCCCACGGCCCCGCTCACGGCTGCTTCCGGAGAGGCCCCGGAGATGTCCGAGCCCGGCCTGCCACGGCCTCCAGCACCCGCTGGGCCTCCCCCCAGTACTCCTGGCGGCAGGGCACCCAGAGCCGGGTCCACACCGGCTCACAGCTGCCGCGTCGGGAGGCCCGGTGGGGCCAGTTCGGACGGGAGCACAGGCTTCTCTTGACGCTGCCGTCCCCCGCAGTGCATGCGGCGGCCTCATCCTCCAAAAACCTTGTAGAAACTTCAAGGAAAACGCGCCGAGAAACCTACCGGCAGGTAACTCTGTCCTCTCCTCTATTCATGCGGGAGCGGACGAGCTCGCGGAGGGCAGCGGGAGAATCTCAAGCAGACGGTGGCTGAGCAGGAGGAGCCGGGGTGGGGCTCGGTCCCGTGACCCTGAGATCACCAGGCTCAGCTGACCTCGCCGCCCGGCGCCCCTCCTGTCCACTGTCACTCGGAAACGCGGAAGTGGCAGGTTCTGAGGGGCCGGAGAAGAGCCACACTCACAGGTGCTGACGCTCGCCCGCGCCCACGCGGCTCCCCTGCAGACACACGGCTCCCTCCGCGTCCACGCGGCTCCCCTGCAGACACGCGGCTCCCTCCGCGTCCACGCGGCTCCCCTGCAGACACGCGGCTCCCTCCGCGTCCACGCGGCTCCCTCCGCGTCCACGCGGCTCCCCTACAGACAGTCTCAGCCACTTCCTGGGCTCCAGGGCCTTCACTGGGCTTCTGTGTTTTCTTCACTAATCACGCACCGAACATTAAACCTCAAAGCCCAAGTATACAGAATTGTCCAAACAACTGAATCCATTCCTTAAAATTACAAGTTCTTCCATCATTAGGTTGCTTGGATTAGAGCTGCTAAGAAATGTGCCTTTAATATTTTATGCCACATAAAAAACTGAGGAGTGCAAGGGCGCCCGGGTGGCTCAGGTCACGATCCCAGCGTCCCGGGATCGAGCCCCACGGCAGGCTCTCTGCTCAGCGGGGGGCCTGCTTCTCCCTCTGCCTCTGCCCCTCCCCCACACCGCTCACACTGGCGCACGCACTCTCTCTCTCAAATAATGCTTTAAAAAGAATCCTTTTCTTTGGATGGCACCCTAAGAGCAACGTCACAGGCCACGTGGCCCGTGGGGGCAGCATGTGTGACACACAAACTTGTCAAGCCACCGAGTTGTGCACCTGAAACTGCAGGAACACTGGCGTCAACGATACTCACGTTAAAAGAAAACCAATGAGCTGTCTGTGGAAATGCTCTCAGGGTCTGAGCACGATGCTGACCCTGCATCACTTACTTATTCAGCCACGTCTGTGTCCGTGGTGTGACATGAAACGGTTTGCTAATCCGGCGAGGGAAAAGAGAACTTGTTGGAAGTGCCACAGACTTTCTGGCCAGGTGGCAGATGTGCTAACTGACCGCACTGTGGGGTCACTGTACCACGTGCACACGTCGTACACCTCAGACTCACACCCGGTCGCGCATCAATTCCAGCGAGAACACAGCATTTTTACACGTCGGCTCCGAGTGGAACCGTGGCTGACGGTGGCTTCCCTCCTCCGGCAACGCCCTGGCTCTGAGCCCGGAGCACCAAGTCCTCCCACCGTGACCGTGAGTGGAGGAAGGGCCCCCCCTCTGTCACCAGGTGGCCGCGTGACCGGGTCCTCGGGGGAGACACATGCAGGCCCGGCAGAGCCGCGGCAGGCAGCTCACACCACAGACGGGTCAGAAAGGAGCCCAGCGCGCCGACGGGGCTGGTCTGGCGGGTGGATGAGCAGGTCTGCAACGGCAGGCAAGAAAGGTCTTGTTGGGGGGCGGGGAGGGCGGGGATGCTGCTGGAAAACAGGCTTGAAGGAAGCCTTGGGCCCGTCCTCTGCAGACAGGCCCCCCGCCATGCTGAGGAGAGCCAGCGGATGGCGGAAGGGACGGGACAAGCGAGTGTGGGCTCACTGGGGGCCCCCCAGGTGTGCACTTGGAGCTGCCCCAGAGGAAGCTTCCAGTCTGGTACAGGAACACAAGTGAGCTGGTGGAGCCGCTGGGCCGGGCCGGAGGCTGCCCGTCTGCAATGCCCGCACCGCTACCCAAGTCCAGACAAGCTCCCTTCTCAAGAGCCACCGCCGGGAAGACGGAGACAAGCAGGGCAGAGTGCTCTACTCAACTCTGACGGGACAGAGCCTCCCTCTCGAGCAGCAGCTCCCGCGGCAAAGCCGGCTGGGCTCTCCACCGTGGCACGGCGGCCCTGTGCCCGCAGACAGCCCCACTGCCCGTGCCCTGCAGCTCGGTTCCCTGCGGGTGCCGGGCAGAGGGCGGCCCAGTCATGAGCACAGGCCACAGCTGTCTCAGGAAAGGCGAGAGGTCCATCTCCAGAACCAGACAAAACCCACAACCACTTCCCCACAGAGGGTCATGCGTTCTGATTCCTAAACTCAGTTCAGGAACCTGGGCTGACCCTAATTTTGTTTTTTGTGATTTATTACAATCCCGGCACCTGCAGACCCCCAGCAGGTGCAGGAAGAGCTGGCCCTCCTCTGGGGACCCCGGAGCCTGAGTCTCCTGAAGCCCCCTCAGCCCGCTGTACCAGGATCTCACCTGGGACACCTGTCCCCACGCCCCCCCAGGACAGTAGCTGGCTCCGTCTGGAAACACTCACAGGAGATGTCGGTTAGAGCGCAGCTAGAACCAATGCAGAGGCCTGGGTGGTAGGACGCACACCGCCCAACACCGCACCGCCACGCAGCAGTCATGGCAGCCGCAGACGGAGGCCCATGGACACCGCACACCCTGCTCCTGCCGGCCCTCACCTTCACTTGTTTCGGATGGATTTCCTTCTCCTTCATGGCTTCCGGCGGCCGTTGGAACCTTCCAGAGGTGGGAGGAGGCCCTGTAGGACTAGCAGGGGGGGTTTCGAGTCTTCCAGAACCTCGGTTTAGTATCTCTCCAAACCCTGAGCCATCACCTAAAAACACGGCACAAAGTCAAAGTCAAACCATAATCCTCTGGTGGCCTTCCTGGTCGGGGGTCCCCGGGGGGCAGACGCTCGGCAATGACAGGGGTGTGGCCAGACCCCCGCTTCCTGGTGCTGCGTGAGGCCCCAAAACACCCGGGAGAGCTACGGCCGGGACGCCCCTTCCTGAAGACATCCGCAGAGCACCAAAGAGAGCAAAAATGTTTTTATAAATCTGTACGATGACATAATTACATACATTAAGAAAAAGCGTATTTTGCATGTTTGGCATGTAAACCCATGACTCCAACATAAGCCTTAACAGTCTCTCAGCTCATCTGTAAACAGATGCACGAGTGGGTTTCCTCATCCCCCAAAGACAGGACCCCAAGCCCACAGGGCTCCCGCAGGAAGCACCTGGGCTGACACACATGTGTGGGATCCGTATCTCCACACCCAAGGGAGGGATGAGGACAGGGCAGGATTCCGCTCGGGCACATGGAGAGGAGACGGGGGACAGGAGACGCACGGTACCAAACACAGGGCCGTGTGCGGGCAGCAGGTCAAGCAGCAAGGATCTGGCCAGGAAAAGGGGAGCACGCCTGCTGGGGGTGTTTGGAGACCAGCCCTGAGACCAGCCGGGCTGGATGGGAGAGCCCTCTGGTGCCGAGGGTTCCAGATGCCAGAAACCCCACGGTGGGGCCTCAAAGAGGAGCTGCAAATGTGTCTGACGGATGCGGCACGTTCCTGAGCCTTGCAGAGGCTTGGAAAGCAGAGGGAGGCATCCAGGGAAAAGCAAGCTCAGCGTTTGCAGCTGCTTCTCTGACCGGCCTGGAGCGCCTCGCACAGACCGGGGAGAAAAGCTGCCGACGTGCACCCGCTGAGGGGTGTGTTCTCAAACACGCCAAGGGCTGCACAGAAGACAGTGTGGAACAGGGACTCGGAGACGGCTGGAGGAGCCAACAAAGCAAACACCAGGAAACCTTAGAAAATCAGAACATCTTCCGAGAAGTCAGTCTTGACGCAACAAGGAATTTTCAAGGAAAAGGACCAGAGAATACGAAAGAAGAGCTCTTTGAAGTTAAGACACAGCAGAATGAAAACATTTACTTCCAAGCTCAAGAAATTTCTTAAAAGCTTCTTTTAAGAACCTTTATTATCAAACAAAAGTACAAAGAAATGGAAACAAAGTGAGAAAGTAAGAAAATCAGTCCAGTGGTCGACAGAAGTACAGCAAGATGAGAGCCACAGGCAGGACCCAAGGAGCGATGAAGACCAATTCAGGGTGAAGGCTGCGCCCAGGCATGTGGAGTCACGCGGTGGCCACCGTGCTTCGCGACGCCAGGCTCTGGGACACTGGTCCGACATGCTGGGGCCTGAGGGAACCTGACTTCTCCCCTGCAAGTCTGCACCAAGCCCAAACTATCCACACTCGCTGGGAAGATGCAGAAGTTCTCAGAAAACCCACCTCACACACGCTTTCTCTGCGAATGCTTCTAGAGAGCAGAGTATCTAAATGAGAAGCACGAAGGAGGGACAAGGGGTCTGACCCGGAGAGCGGAGGCCGCACGTTCAGAAGGGGACGGCCGCATGGGTAGCACACACCCATGCTCGTGGACAGTGTGGCGGGACCCATGACGGAGAACAGGAGGGAGGCCACGAGAAAGGAAAACCAGCTGTCTGCGAGAGGACTCAGTCCCCGAGGTTCTGCGGGAATGTGACCAGTGCACTCGAAACACAAACACTCTGGGCTGTGGGGACAGGCCGGGACGATGGGGCACCTTACAAAGACACAGAAGGAACGTATAAGGAGAACTGGCAGCCAGAAATTTACACATGTTGCTGTAACTAGCAAATGTAATTTAGAAATAAATACCACAACACATTTCCCGAAATTAAATATGGGTGTCCTCAGGGAATGGTGGTTTGTCCGGGGGGCTGGGAGGCACCTTGCAGAACCACTTGATTCTTAGACCAGGAACTCACCACGTGGAATAACTCAAAACTAAAATTCAGACGTTGCTGGCCCCACTCAGCACAGCGGAAACGCCCATGAACTTTACTTTGTGGTCTCGTTTTCAAAAGCACTGAGTTGAGTCAATGATGACTTTCTTATAAAAGGTGGAAACATCTGAGGAGGTGACGGACTTGTGAAAAACCAGTTAGAGAAGGACAAAATTAGGAGGTCATGGTTTGGCAACCATCCTAATGATGGCTCAGGCGACAATCACTCCTGGAGACTAACGTAAGCGGGTCCGAGTCAGAAACAAGAGATCACAGTCATGAGCTCCACGCAGCCTCCTGCCCAACACCAAGCAATCAAAAACGGGAAATCAGAACAAAGCCTGGCAGACACCAAGGGGTCCAAGCGGACACAGGCCTCGTGCCGTGGTGCCCTGGGAAGACCACGGCACTGGTGTGCACACTCTCCGGACACCTGGGGACACCCACGCTGACGACGTTGCCACAGACCCCGACAAGATGCAAGACCTGCTGGCAAGGCAAAGGGCTTCCTCTCTGGCCCACATGGCACAGCCTCCGTCCCACACTGCGGTAGCCAGCAAGGGACACCCAAATGCCTCGTACCCGCGCAGCACCCCTCCCGTGAAGGGCACCAACGGGGCGAGTGGCAAAATCTGAGGAGGGTCTGTAGTTGAGATGCTGCCATGGGCCACAAGGAGGTCTGGGTACGGAGTGCAGGTTTTGAAGGTGCACAGTCGGGTTTTCCAGAAGAACAAGACCTCAGGCCTTCAAGTGCCACTCAGCACAGAGAGGAGACGGAGGCAGGCACGGCCAGGGTGCACCAGCAGGTGTAGCAAACGCCAGCCTGGAGGGCCTGAGGTTCCCTGAAACCTTAACAGTTAAAATAAATAAATAAAAAAATAAAGACGGACTCACTGTTTTCACTTCCATTGTTCTTCCCTTCAAACCCGAGAGGACAGGTTCTGGGCTTTTCTTGAGCATCAAGAGATGTTACGATAAAATCTTCAACATCTTTCTCCTGTTCAAACAGGCAAGTTTTTAAATGGTCATAAAGTAACAACTTATCGCATCAAGGAGCTGAACTAGCAGACGGAAACTTTCCAAGGCCTGAACTGATCATTTTCCCACACAGAACCCAAGTAAAAGTGTTTCACGCTTGGGAACGCACTGAAATCCTGTGCTTCTAAGAAGTTAAACAAACCCGGCCACAGTTCTTTAGGACTATTTTAAAGGAGTCACCAGCAAACATCTCAGATTAAAAATCAGTTCCGTGGTAGTGTGCGTACGGGTATCTCAGATATCCTGTTCCCTGTAACTTGTTTTTTATTTTATCTAATCCAGGACGTGCAAAATCTCAATATTATTCTCTAAGAAAAGACACAGTCCAACTCAAAAATAACTTTTTGAGATTAATTAGCATTAGATGTAGAACTTAGTAAGAAATACAACCGAAACCAATCTAGAAAACACACCCTAGACAAAGAACCTGAATGACAACTACACACGCAGGCGGGTTTGGGGCCGCGCTGCTTGAGTCCGCGCTAGTGAGCGCATGGAGGCCTGGCACATCTGAGCAGGACTCGCGCATCGCACATACTTTCAGGAATACCTCAAGTCCTCTAATTATTCATATTACAACCGACTGGGGCTGGGGCTGCAGAAAGCTGGCTGTCCCTAAACATGGCTGACCAGGGGACTGCCGTGCACACCCACGCTGGGGCCGCTGGCCCCGTCAGGAGATGAGCCAACAATGGCTGCAGCTATGATACCGCAGATGCTGTGGACACACCCCCATGGGAACACTCTGGGGCCTGGGCAACCCGCGGACGCCAAACCAGGGCAGCGGCCCCGGAAGACCACTTACCACGGACATCCACGGCACATGGCGGTCAGCGGAGGGCGCCTTGTCTGCAGCCAAGGGAGACACTGCCCATCTGGAGGCCTTTCCTGCAGCTGACCCACCCAGGTACCCAAGCAGCTCCACCTGGTCTGCCTGCAGCGAGGCACTGGTCCTGTCCTGCAGGGAGGCGTCCAAGCTCAGGGCGTCCGAGCACGGCGTCGGGGGCAGGCTTGGTGCAGGCTCAAGGGTCGAGTCCTTCCTGACAACCTCCGGCGAGCTCCAGGAGGACAGATCCATTGCCCGGAGTGTGTTCTTCAAGGGCACGGGCCTCTCAGGATGGGCCAGGGCACGGGAGCCACTGTGGAAGCCTGCTTGTAAACAAGGTGACCCGTCCTGCAAATCAACCTGGTCTTGCTTGGGAACATCCGACATTTCATTTTTTATCAGTGGATCCGGACTTCTACTGAGGTCAATTAGGTCACACATGGTTTTCTCGATATGAGACGCATCAACAAGAGATTTATCTGTTTCTTCACCATTATCAGAACGATCACTCCAACTGTTTTCTAGAGCACGTGGAGACGCCACTGGCTGAAGTCTGAAATCCTCTGTCTCGGTGTTCTGGAAGCTCACAGAATACAGCAAATGGTTCAACTTTTCTTGAAGTTCTTTCACCTGACTTAGGAGACCAACTTTCCACAGCTGACAATCTTCCAGGAGTTTTCCCTTATTCTGCATGTAAAAAGGAACAGGCATAAAGTGAAATAACTGAATTACACCTAGTCTTCTCTGTCTGGTTTCTGTAAGCCAGTTTCAGAACTTCCTGAGCACTTATGAAGAAGCCTCCACGATGAGCCCTTGGGTGGAGATTTCAAGCTTTTTTAATTCCACGAAAGACAGAATCACAGCTGAGAGCTCCTTGCCTGTGAGCTGACTGCTACAAAGGACTCTGGGAAGGTGGTAGAGCCGGAAGCAGCAGGAATCGGTCTCCTGCCCAGGCACCTGCACTGGCAGAACCCTGCCTGCTGTGTATTTAACTCTGGAGGCTGTCCAAGGCTTGCACCTTCCAGGGGGAGGCTTAGAGGGTAAGCTGAGTCAGTCTGGGTCAGTTCCAGCTCCTAGCACAGCAGCGGCTACCCATCCCTGGACATCCAGCCCCTCGGCAGGCTGGGGTGCGCCTACTCCCGGAGCATCTCACACACAGCCTGCAGCACCTGGGTGGGCAAAAAGGACCCTGTCCTCCAAACACTGGGCATCTGTGCTCCGCTTCGGCTTCTGATCGCAGCCCAGAGGCAAAGTGGTGGGAAGCCATTGTTGTGGCCCCTCCCCCTCCGGCTGAAGTGACCGCTAGAGGATTTAAAGGGCCATTGTCCTTCTTCCCCACCACAGCATTTTTCTTTTTGAGGAAAAACTAAACACTAGAACATTCAAAAAACAACTGCATATAGAGAGGAAATGAGAAAGTGACTGCGTGTGCCCAGGCGAAGGTGCAAACTAAGAAAATATCTGAACAGACCTGAAGTTTAAACTTCAAGCTGATCCTCAGCACAGAGACAGTCTACAACAATTAAAAAAAAAAAAAAAAAAACAAACAAAAAATAGCAAATTATGAGTAAGTAGGAGATTCAGATTTCCAAATATATAGTAGACTCAAATGTTCACTGTGCAAACACATACGAAAAAAAAGTATCCCAAGGCATATAAGGAAACAGGAAAGTATGGCCTATTCAAAGGAAGAAAACAAACCCAAAAGAACTGTCCCTGAAAAAGACCCAATGTCGGGTCTACTAGTCAAAACCATTAAGACAACAGTCATGAAGACATTTGAGAAACTAAAGGAAGATGTGGAGACGATCAAGAAAGTGATGTGTAAACAAAGTAGAAATATCAAAGGAGAGAAGGAAAATCTAAAGAAACCGAAAAGAAATTACAAAGCAGAAAAGTAGAATAATTAAAATAAAAAATTTACTAACGGGATTAAAGACAGATTTGAGGAAGAGAAAGAACTGAACTTAAAGACAGAATACTGGAAATGATCATGGCTGAGGAAAAAAAGAGAAGATTGACAAAAGTGAATTCAGACTAAGGGACCTGTGGGACAGCAGCAAGCAAACCAAAATACGCATTGTGGGAGTCCCAGAGGGCGAAAGAAAGGTGGCTGAGAGAATACCTGAGGACATACTGATGAAAAATTCCCAGAACTGATGAAAGACACAAATATAAACATCCAAGAAACTCAACATACCCCAAAAAAGATGAATTCAAAGAGAGACACACCAAGCTAGATGATAACCAGATGCATAAAAGCTAAAGGCACTGACTTGTCACACACAAGGATCCTCAGTAACACCACCAGCAGGTTTTTCCTCAGAGACTCTGGCGGCCGGAGAGCAGCAACTCGGTATATCCCGAGTGCAGAAAGAAAAAACCCTGTCAACGAAAACTCCAACATCCAGCGAAACTGTCCTTGAGAGTGAGGAAGAAATTAAGATATTCCCAGGTAAATAAAAGCAGGAGTTTGTGACCACTCCACCTGCCCTACAAGGGTGTCTGTACGGCAAAACACAAGGTCACCAGATGGTGGGAACTCAAGGTCACATGGCAAAGTAAAGACCTCAGTAAAGGTAAGTGCAAGCACAAGAAGAAAAGCCAGTGTATACGCTGTATGCCTGAAACAGAACACTGTTTGTTCAAATACATGAATTTCTTAAAAAGCTTGTGCTGTTATGACAGTGGTTTGCAACTCCACATTTTGTTTTCACTGTGATTTAAAAGACACATTTTTAAAAAGTTAATGGTCTAAAAGTCAGTATTATTAACTTCAGTTTGTAACTCCACATTTTTTCTACATAACTTAAAAAATTAATGAATATAAGACAATCATTAGTTTATGCTTTGCGGCACACAGGTATAAAAATGTACTTGGTCACAACAAAAACCAAAAAGGGTGGGGCAGAGCCAAAAAGGAACAGTTTTCAATAGTTAGGCTGGTATAAATTCAAACCACAGCGTTATAATGCTGGACTCTGAATGTAATGCCTAACGGAACCACACACACACACACACACACACACACACACAGCTGTTGTATATACATAAAGAAATGAAAAAGAACTTAAAGATTTCAGTATAAAATGTCAACTAAGCACAAGAGAATACAGTAATGCAGGAAATCAGAACAAAAAAAAGCTATATAAGGCATATAGGAAACAGCAAAATGACAAAAATACATGCTTCCTTATCCATAATTACTTTAAATATAAGTGGATTAATCTCTTCCTATCAAAGACAGAGACCGGCAGAAAGGATAAAAACACATGATCCTGGGGCGCCTGGGTGGCCTAGTCGGTTGGGAGTCTGACTCCTGATTTCAGCTCAGGTCATGATCCTGGAGGGCTAATGGCGGGCTCCTTGCTCAGCAGGGGGTCTGATTCTCCCTAACCCTCCCACGCCTACTCCTCCCCCTATAACCCCCTCCCCTGGCTCCTGCTCTTTCACTCGCTAATACATAAAAACTTAAAAAAAAAAAAAAAAGGTTAAGATGGGGGGCACCCAGCTGGCTCAGTGGGTGGAGTGTGTAACTGCTGGTCTTGGGGTTCTAAGCAAGCCCCAGGTTGGGTGTAGAGATCACTTACCAAAAAATAAAATCTTTTTTAAGATTTATTTTTCAGGAGTGCCTGGGGGGCTCTGTGGGTTAAGCCTCTGCCTTCAGCTGAGGTCATGATCTCAGGGTCCTGGGATCGAGCCCCGCATCGGGCTCTCTGCTCAGCAGGGAGCCTGCTTCCCCTCCTCTCTCTGCCTGCCTCTCTGCCTGCTTGTGATCTCTGTCTGTCAAATAAAATCTTAAAAAAAAAAAAAAAAGATTTTTCAAAAAGTAATTTATTTTTCCCAATGAGAGAGAAAAAACATGCACGAGTGAGAGGGGCAGAGGGAGAGGAAGAGGGAATCCAAGCAAACTCCCAGTGAGCCCGACACGGGGCTCGATCTCACCACCCCGAGATCATGACCTGAGCCGAAACCAAGAGTCAGACGCTCAAACAACTGAGCCACCCGGGGACCCCAAAAATAAGTCTTTCTTTTTAAAAAAGTGGTTAAAATAGAACTCTTAGGTTGCATGTATCTTACTACATACACTAAAAAGGCAACTGTCCTAACCTACTTCTGTGGTAGTTTACTTAAAACAATAGCATTTTTCCTTTTTTTTTTTTTTTTTAAGGGAAAAAGGGCCTGGAAGATTCTAGATGCAAACACTGAAAAATGTAAAATTGCAGGGGGCCCGGCTGGCTCAGCTGGAAGAGAGTGGGGCTCTTGATGTCAGGGTCACAAGTTCAAGCCCCACATTGGATGTACCGATCACTTAAAAACTAAAAGATAAGAAAAAAGAAAGAAAAATATAAAATTGTGACTTATGGAGTGAATTTGCAATTTCCCCATCTGTGTGTAACTGCTAAGAATCTGGCAACCAGCTCATAATCACACAGCTGAGCTTTCCCGTAAGAATTCAAACAAATGTTCTTATCCCAAGGGCAATGAGACGCTTGTTGGGCAGAGTCAGAAAGTCCTCTCCAAACGGAATTAAATGTCCTGCGGAGATCTGATAAACATAGACAAACCCAAGCATCTTCTATCAAAACCGCAGGCACATGCCACACACCCACTCTGAGACCACTGGACCGATCCCTGCAGAATTCAGAACCTCCCCATTTTACAGTAGGACTGTGGTGCATACGGCACGTCCCAGAAGAGTTCCCGGGCAGGGAGAGTGGGAACATCCTTGTCAAACTGTGCAGTGTCTACACCAATGCAGTGTCTACACCAGCAGGTTTACGGGAGGCTCAGGAGATCCTGGGCCAGAGCAGGCCGCAGATCGAAGCACACTTTGCACTTAGGAAAACCTCCAAACCAGCCAGCCACTTCCCATGTTCAGAACATCTCAACCCTGCGACACCTGACGCGGCCAGCGTGCAGCCTTCCCCACAGGAAAAGAAAAGTCAGCTCTCCTGGGGCAGCCCTCGCGGTGACCAGGACCCCAAACGGTTGCATTCTTGATCACTGCGCTCTTCTCTGCTGGGAGCACGAACCAAAGTACGTAGGAAAAAACCCTGAGGTTCAAAAAATAAACATGAGCCTTTTGAAGTAACCAACGCTGGTGATAAAGGCCTTGGGCCACGGAGCAGCTGCGTGGGCAACCTGTCCTCACGGGAACACCCTAGAGACAGGCCTCACAGCACAATAAAGTCCTACTTGCATCATTGCTGGAGAAGTACACGATTGCTTGTCTCCACAGGCTGAAAAAACCACGGGAAAGGAGAGCGTCTAGAGGGTTTCTGAAGCGAAGTTACAGAAGTTCAGAACCAATCTGAACAGACGAGCGGAAGAACCCGAGAGGGCAGCCGTCTTGTGTAACACGCATGTCCCCTCCGCAAAAGCGCCAGGGACGTCTCTGCCCACGCAGCAGCACGGCTATGTGCCACGTACCTGCACCCCTCCTGGCCCTCGGTTGCGGTCCTCCGTCCTCACATGCATCTCGTTCTCTGCCAAGAGCAGCTCCGACTGCAGCTGCTTCTGGCAGGCAGCCAGCACCGACATCACGCTGTCCTGTCTGTGCAGAGCCGGGTGGCGGAAGCACCCTGGGGCCTTGGCCAGCTGCACGTCCTCAGGAGCTGCACGCTACAGCAAGCAGAGAAAACATCGACAATGATGCTAAAGGCACCAGAGTCCGACGTGCTCTGAGCCCCGTCCCTGGGCTCCCTCGGGCTCTCGGAGCTGTGGAGTGGAGGCATCAGCCGGCAGGACCCCGAGGGAACGTCCCCGTCTCCTATGCATCTCCTAAATCAGACCAGAGCCATGCCCCACAGTCCTGCTGCTTGGTCACGGCCACTGCTGGTCAGGACACAGCCCCAGCTGGGCCACCCCACGATGCCTGCAGAGCGGCTCTGGAGTGGCACGGGGCAGCAGGCAGTGAACCGTGACTTCTACTCAAAAGCCAAGTGCAGCTCGTCCCAACATGACGTGAGCTTGACTAGAGAGCCCAGGAAGGAAAACCCAGGGACCCTGTGCAAGCCACAGCCATCTCCGTCTCATCAGATGCTCCCAACCACGGGCTCCGAAAGCCTTGAGTGACAACAACGGTAGGTTTAGAGCTGTATGAAACAGGGAACCCTCCGGTCCGATTTCACCGTCTAACCACGGTCTGAAACCCAAGCTCCTGTGGCGCCTAACCACACCCAGGAGCCCCGAGCCTCAGCTCCACTCGACGCGTCAGGAGCTGCCCACGAACCACCACCCGCGCTGCCACAGAAAGGACACCCGCTCCAGCTTACAGACAGAAGAAGACCAGCAACGGGAGGTTCTTCAGAGAACCTGTAGCCCCCTCTGGTCCAGCCCCAGTGCTTGGCCACCCGCGGCCTGTGTCAGGGCCTCTCACAGGCGCCAAGGGCCTGCTGGCTCTGCGTGTGCGCCCTTACCCCCGCCCCCCACACCCCTGTGCCCGCCCCCACGTGCCCCTGCTTCCCCCTGTGCCCCCAAATCCCCCGCACACCCCCGTACCCATGTGCCCCCGCACGCCCGTGTCCCCCGCGCCCCCCACACAGACAACAGGCCTCCGGCACACCGGCAGGAGGGAGCGCAGCCCACCTGTGTGTCCCCAGCCTGGCCAGGCGGGTCTGTGGGCAGCTTTGACTCTTCGTCCCACGAGGCCCCTGCAGCCCTGGGGCCCCGTCCCCGGGGGTGGCCCTCCACACGTGGGTGCCGGTGGGGCCCCTGCGCCTGCTGCCCGTCCGGCTCCCCCTGGCAGCTGAGGAAGCGGAGGTGCAGCAGCTGCAGCTGGCGGCCGAGGCGGACACACTGGGCCCGCAGCCGCCGCAGCTCGGGGGGCTCGCCCTCGCCCTCGGCCTCCGCGGCCAGCGGCTGCTGCTCCAGCGCCAGGCGGAAGCGGGAGAAGGCTGCCAGGAGGGTCTCCAGCTCCGCCGACTGGGCCAGTTTCTGCCGCTTCATAGCGTCGATCTCGGAGTCCCTTTCCGCGATCCTGGCTTCCTTTGCCTCCAGGGCGGCTTCGAAGGCCTGGATCTGGGAGGCCAGGCCCCGGACCTCCGCCTCCCCGCGGGCCGCGCAGCGCTCCAGTTCCGCCAGCTGCGTCGCGGCGGCCTCCTCTGCAGCCCGTAGCCGCTGCTGCAGGGCCTCCAGGGCCTGGCCGTGCCTGCGCTCCTGCTCCGCGAGCAGATGGCCCGTGGCCCCCGCCGCCGCCGCCAGCGCCTCGGGCCCCACGGCGGGGACGGCCGGCAGCTGGCCGCCCTCAGCCCCGGGCCCCGCGGGGCCCCCGAGCGAGAGCTCTCTCTGCAGCCTCTCGATGACCTCGTGCAGCCGCTCCGTCTCCTCCGCCTTCTCTCTCTGCAGGCGCTGCTGGTTCTCCCGCAGGTTCTCGATGATGGATCTCAGCTCCTCGACCTCGGAGCTCCTGTCACGCGGGACCTGGGGAGGAAGCACAGTCAGAGGGCAAAGCCAGGCTCCCCCTTCAGAGCGTCTCTCCTCAGCCTGCAGACGACTTCGCCGCTGTGGGAACGGTTACGACCCCCAGGAACTGCCGCGGTGCCGCACTCTGGCACGTCAGGTGCACCGGGCCACTCGGAGTCACACAGTGGCTGCCCAACCACCTGCTCGGACACTTGCCGTGTCCGACACGTACTGTGCCACCCCCGCTGCAGGCAGGGCGCAGACCGGCCACTTTTTCACCTTCGGCATGTGTGTTCTTTGTATCTAAACTTTATAAATCATGAGTAAATTCGCTGGGCCCGTCTAACCCTAGAAGAACCAAGCAAGGAAATGGGCTTGGGAACGAGCACTACTGACGGCCAGGACCAAGCCAGGTGCACGGATGGGGCCACGGGGCCTCGGTCACGGCTGCCCTGGCTGCTCCAGGCCAGGGGCTGGGCCCCTCACGTGTCAGAGCAAGCTTTTCCTCATGCCGCTGAGTGCCGGCCTCCACACCCGTAAGGTAGGAACTGTTCTCATGCGCGCTCTGGAGTTAACACAATTCAAACTCAGACGCTCCATATCCTGCCAAGATCACGAAGATGGAAAGTGGGAAGTCAGGTGGAAACGGTCATCAGTAAAGCTCCAAGCCCCGTCCTCGTGAGGCTGAACCACCACTGACACTGACCGACTCAGGCTCGGTGGACGAGCCTCAGCCAACTTCTTACACTCCAGTGTCTGCTTCCCAAAAATCGAGGGTTTCATAACAATTCTTGGTTTCACAAGTACCACCTCGTGCCTTTCAAATTCAAGATCAAACCTGGCCCATACTGAACACAGAAGTAAGAAAACAGATGGCTTTCTGGTTGTGACTTCGATCGCGTGAGCGGTCCCTGGGACACACACCTATGCATCTCCATGCGGGGTTGTGATCAGTCCAGTTAGCCAAGGACACTCTGGCGGCTCAGGCGAGACTCACGGCCAGCCCCAGGGCGCCCGGCACTTCTGGAGCACCAACGGGGGTCTCAGGAGTGACATAGTCCGCTCACAACGTGGGGTACCACTCACCGCACCAGGCACACGCCACAGAGCAGCCCCACCACAACACACACAGAAACCAGCACGGGAGGTGGTTGTAACCCCAAAACCAAGATGACTCCTCCAGGGTTCCGGACAGATGGGGCAGGCAAGGCCAGTGAGGGGCAACACTGGTTGCCCAAAAACAGGAAACCGCGCAGGCTGGGAACGGAGAACACGGGCGGACATGTGGGCCAAGAGCATGCATGTCTGGTCTCCGGGATCTCTGGCTCTGGCTGAGGCAGCTCCTTTCCAAGTGGGGCCCTACAGAGGGCCGAGGCCTGAGAGCCCCCCACCCCAGGGCGGTCAGCAGGGGCGCTCATCCCTCGACGACTGAGGTTCTGGCGCAGGACCGTGGTCTGGGTGTGCGGTGCAGGGAAAGGCCTACCTCGCCAAGCACGCCACCTCCCACGCCGGCCAGCTGTGCCCCGAGCTGCTCGCTCGCACGCACAATCTCCTCCTCTTTGTTCTGTAGAAACACAGTAACCGGCCATAACCGTGCCGACGAAACAGGGCCTGTGCACGGGAAGCACCCTGCCTGCCCGCAGCTCAGCCTGAGAACGGTCTCCTGTTCCCACTGACGAAGCAGGAATCCCCCGGAGAGATGCCTGCTGCCTGCGACTGGCCCATAACCCCGCTGCCACGGACGTCACACACGTGGCCTGGGAGCACCCACACAAACCACAGGTCTTCCGGCGCCTTCCGCTCATGCCGACAGCTGCTGGGCACCACAGGCAAGGGCTCAGCACTAAGGCCGTTTCTTTACAACTTGACTCTTCACTAAAGCACGTTACGTTAAGATGACAAAGAAGATTTAAGAACCGTTTTATAGGAGAGTGCCTGGGCGGCTTGGGTGGTTAAGCGCCTGACTCTTGATTCCTGCTCAGGTCGTGGTGCTGGGGGTGAGAGATGAAGCCCCGTGTGGGAGTCTGAGACTCTCCTGATGCCCACACGCCCACCCCACGACCAGCCAACCAACCAACCAATCTCTTTCTCATCCCACTCTTATGAGAGATTAACAGCGAACAACTACTTAGGAAAAGTCACCTCTTCTACAACAGGGTAACCCTTTCATGACCCAAATCAGGCCAACGCTGATGGTTTATTTCTTTACAGCGTCCGCCATCGGACAGGTGCGTCTCTCCTCTAAAAGACAGACTCTCAGAGCCGTAAGCAGGATGCAGAGGATGCGCAGGAGGGACGCAGGCTACTGTCCCCTTTGGTGGCTCTGGGCTCCACCCTGGCTGCCGACCTCAATACAGAAGGTCAGCGCCTCCTAAACACGGACAGTGCGTGCGTCCTTAAGCCTTGGCCCTGGCAGGCCACAGCGCTGGGGTGAGCAGCACCCCCGCAGGCGTCCGGGCGGTGCCCCAGTTTACCTTCAGGCTGGCGCTCTCCTCCTGAAGCTCCCACGTGAGGGTGGCTCGGCTGCTCTGCGCCTCCAGCTTCGAGCTCAGATGCAGCACCTCGTCGCTCTTACACGCTAAGTCATCTTTAATCTTTTCCAACTGCTCTTTTAGGTCCAACACCTTTCAACAGAACAGAAAACATTTGAGAGGATCTCATATTCTGCCACTCCGTCGTTACTAAAATTACTTTAAAATATTTAAAAGTACATGCCACAAAGAGTCATCATTGTTCTATAACTGTTAAAATTACGGAGCTCTCCAGCAGTCACAAACCGCTCGCAGACCAGGTGGGGGTCCGGCCCCACCAGCAGCCCCGAGCGGGCAGAGCCCCAGAGCCCCCACACTTGCCTCGTGCTCTCGCTGCCGGAGCGCCCTCTGCACAGCGTCTGACTGGACTTCGGGGCCCTCGGGACGGCTGCCTGCGGGAGGCACAGGTTGCAGAGTGGACACCAGAAGCAACTGGCTCCTCTGCTGCTCCTCCAGCGCCTCCTTATCCTGAGGAAGAAGAAAAGGAGGTTTATTCTCAGTAAGTATCTCAGGAATCGGGGGCCTCGAACTGTGATGTGAGTGCACAGTGCCCTCAGACCTTCCCGGCGTGCCGCTGAGCACGCCTGTGCACACCAGCCGTGACAGCCACACGCCAGCTGCGCTCCAGAGAGCGCGCCCCTGGTGAAGACGGGGTGCCAATCAGAGCTGTAGCGTGTGCCCGGGATGCCACCGCTAATTATTCAGGTAGGTGCAAAACAGTCTCTAGACTACCGGCTATCACCAAAAAAAAAAAAAAAAAAAAAGTAAAGAACTTGTCCGAGAACAGGACAATGACTGACAATGACATTGTACATCTGTATGATGCACATTAACATCTCATCAAGAAGTTTCCAAAGAACATTTACTAGGGAGAAATTAGTCACAAGAAGTGAAAAAGTTACATAAGTAGTTCAACTTTGTAGAAGGAAAAAGGGCATTGTCTCTACCTGTAGCATCTGATAAGCTCAGGAAATGTTTGCTAAGGGAAGGAGAAAGGAGATGGAAGAGGGAGCAAAGATGAAGGGAGCAGAGATGGAGGAAGAGGGAAGAGAGGTGAAGGGAGGAGGGATGGAGGGAGCAGAGGTGGAGGGAAGAGGGTGGAGGGATGGAGGGAGCAGAGGTGGAGGGAAGAGGGAGGAGGGATGGAGGGAGCAGAGGTGGGGGGAGGAAGGATGGAGGGAGCAGAGGTGGAGGGAAGAGGGAGGAGGGATGGAGTGAGGAGGAAGGAGAGATCAGAAGGGGTCTTTCAGCTCCGCTGCCACCCCCCACCTCTGGGGAGTGAAGCCCCAGAAGAACCCCGAAGACTGGGTTTAGGGAGCTCCTGGCCTGGGAAACGTGCAGGTGGCGCGCCTGGAGGGGGCACAGGGGCCCCACTGCCCTCCCCCCGCGGCCTGCCCCCTCCACCTGGCTTTTCCCGAGTTCCACCCTTTCACAGTAAGTCCACAGTTTCTCTGGGATCTGTAGCCGCTCTAGCAAGTCAGCTGAACCTGAGGTCGTCACGGGAACCCCAAGTGATCCAACCGGATGTGGGAACGACCCCGGAAGGGACGGAGCCCCTCGGCCACGGGGGCTGACGCCACCTTCCAGGTGCACGGTGTGTGAACAAGGGAGCCCAAGAACAGGCGGTCCGCGGGCGCGTGAGGCCTGGTGGCTGGAAGGATGGGCTGGGAGTGACGCGAAGCACGGGGGGGCGCGAGGAGACTCTCCCCTCGGAGGCCGTCAGGCCAGGGGCGCAGGGCAGGGGTGCTGCTACACCTGCTGCAAGGCTTTCACAGCGTCCCTCTGCCTCTCCAGCTCCTCCCGCAGCGTGGCCACCTCTCTCCTGCAGCTGGCATTGGTCTCCTCCAGACGCCGGATCTCCTCTTCCTGGACTAACATCTGTCTGTCCGCCAACTCCTTCTTCGCAGCCAACTCATTAAACCCATCTGATTTCTCTCGCAACTTTTCTTGTAACAATTTAACCTAAAACAACAAAAACGCTAAGAAATGCAGGAGTGAAAACAGCGATCTTTGCAGAGGAAAGCGCGGCCCGCGGCGGAGCAAACACTGACCCCTGCAAGCTTGTCTGCGGGGAGGGGCTCTAGGAGCCAAGAGACAGTGTGGGGAAGCCGTGACGCGGGCATTCTCTCAGAAAGACGCAGAAAAACACAAGCCCAAAATGTATCCGTAAAATAAGGTTAATTTTGTCGGGAGAGACACTACTGGGCAAGAAGGGAGAAAAACGCCAGGCAGGGCGGCCCCCAGGGGGGGCTCCAGACTGGGACCGGGGGCAGGTCAGTCCCCGACGGCTCACACCACTTGGTCCCCTTGTGTAACTGTGTGGATGACACAACCAGCACCGAGGGCAGGGGCGTGGGTGGGAGGGGCCCCCATGCCCAGCGGTGGGCTCCGTCTCTCTGGGCGTCACCCTGAGGAACTGGGTGAAGGCGTCACCGGGCGTCCGTCCTACTGCTCACACCCAAACCTGAGGCCACGACTGTCTCAAAACGTGCTCAGTGTTTGAAAAGAATAGAGCGGATCAATGACAGCCACGCCGGCAGGTCCGGCTCGGAGCCAGAAACAGGCCAGCCCGTAGCAGCTCTCCCTCCCCATTGGCCACGCAGGGGTGAGGCGGGAAGGCAGCAGACCACGACGCACCGTACCTCCTCATCCAGCTGCTCCTGCTGCCGTTTTCACATGGAAAAAAAAAAAAGTCATTCAAAAGGTTAAGTCTTTAAAATGCTCCAGAGACGGTGGCCGGACGGGTACTGCACGTGGTGGGCTGACTTACGTCGCTGACGCAGGAGCCCCGGGGCCGCGGCCGGGCCGCCTGTCGGAGCTGCTCCTCCAGCCTCTGGATCTCCCGCTGGAACTCCTCCCGCTCGTGCTCCCTCTCAACAGCCTGCTCCTGTGGGGGGAGAGGCAGGCGGCCTGGAGACGTCCGATGCCCTGACGGGACACAGCACTTCTCCCCCCGGACGAAAGGGGGACGGCGTGGGGTCAGGAGAGAAGGCTGCCCGCTCAGACGCGGACCGTCCGGGGGCCTCCCACACCGCACCTGGCCTTCCCCTTCCCACACATGTCCACTGGCCAGGCTGGGGGCTCCCTGTCACGGGACTCTGTGAACGGAGCTAAGGGAAGAGGCAGCCCGGCAGGTACAATGACAGGGACTTGCAGAACACGGACAGAAGGGCATCCCCGGGGCGCCACGTCGCTGAGCCATCTGTCCTCGGCTCGGGACAGGGTCTCGGGTCCTGGGATCAAGCCTCGCACGGGGCTCCCTGCTCAGCGGGGGGCCTGCCTCTCCCCCTCCCCGCTTGTGCGTTTGCCCTCTCCCCCCTCAAATAAATAAAACCAGAAGGAGGGACAGAGGGAGAACGAACAGCCACGGACAGCAGACAGCTTGGGCCCGACCAGGGGAGTGCTGGGCACGCGGGGCCTGCCAGGGGGGCGGTCGGAGAGCCCCCTGCACCCCGCACGGGCCCACGGCAACAACCGCCAGGACACGCACGGAGAAGCAAAGGGACCACGACAACGGGGCTGTGCACGGGCCCTAACGTCGTGTCCTCGCGGTGCACGCTACGGAGGAGACCTCTGGGGACGCCCATCTAGCGCGTTCCAGACGCTCACGTCCATGAAGTGGCGCTGGCTCCGCAGGTGCTTGTCCAGAGCCGCCAGCTGCTGCCTCAGCGCGCAGAGCTCCTCGGCCTGCTGGGCGCTGGCTTCCTGCCGAGCAAGCTGCTCCTCCAGCTCCGCCTCAAACACCTTCATCTGGGAAAGCAGCGCGGCGCGGTCCCTCTCCGACTGCCTCCTGGCCTCCGCCTGCTCCTGGGTCAGACCGTCCACTTCCCTACGAAGAGCTGAAGGCACGAAACAAGCCGGGAGGAGAGCCCCACAGGGCGGATCAGGACGGGCACGCGGACGGGAGCAGAAGCACGAAACGTGCGCGGGCGCCCCGCAGACCCAGGGCCGCCCGAGGACAGAGCACACCCAGGTCCAGCCTCCCTGGCAGCCCAGCCCAAAGCCCGGCCAGGACGCAGCATTGCCGAGGCTCCCAGACCCCACCCCGAGGAAACAACAGGACGCCCCTGGGGGAGGTCATGCACTCGCAAGCCAGCGTGAGCCCGTGTCTGGCCAGACACTAACCCTAACCCTAACAGCCACCACTTAGCCAAACGCCCACGGAAAATAGTCGAGTACCTCAGAAAAAAGAAAAAAAATTACATCTTTTAAAGTAAGACCGGCTAGAATAAACAACTTTAAAGCCTGAGAAAACTCTATCCTGGTTATTTCCAAGTGACACATTGGTTAATTTTCGAGAAAGTACGATGCTACATAGTGTCCCGTGTAGAAAAAGAACAGTCACTTCAGACGTCCACGAGAGGGCGCACGAGCCCCGATGCAGGACGTGCTCCCTGTGCTCCCATGGCATGAAGCCATTTCCGAGGAAAGGGGTCCTGCCGTCGAGCACCAAAAGCCAATCTAGGAGCCCCTGCGTAGCCCAGGGGGTTAAGCCTCTGCCTTCGGCTCAGGTCATGATCTCAGGGTCCCCGGATCGAGCCCCGCATCGGGCTCTCTGCTCAGCGGGGAGCCTGCTTCCCCCTCTCTCTCTGCCTGCCTCTCTGCCTACTTGTGAGCTCTGTCAAATAAATAAATAAAATCTTCAAAAAAAAAAATTAAAAAGCCGATCTAAAATTAACTGGATGATAAGGCCATAATCCAAGTGGAAACTGTAAATTCGTAAGCATCCATAATAAAAGGAGGCTTGCCTCTGATGAATCCTTGAGTGTTCAACCTGTCCCCAAACTGAAATTTTAATCTCATAAGTTTCACTACGTTTTACTAGCTTTCTAAACTCCTTTTGTTTTATATAAACCTGCCAGTCTTTTACGCCAAACTAGCATGACCAAGAACAGAACATTCCCAATCAACTCCATGCTAATAAGTCAGCACCTCGGGTGAGAGCCGCCTTCCACATGCAGTTAGGACAAGGTGCTCCCCCACCCCTGCAGCCCGGCCGGACAGCACCATTCCCAGGGGCCACGTGCTGGAGGAAGGACCCCAGCCACGGCACAAGTAGCCCCATGCAGGTGGTGCTGCAGGGAAGGTGTCCTGTGGCCGTTCAGGCCATGCTGAGGGCCACCCACGACATCGGAGCAGCCCAGGAGCTCCACTCGGGTTCCCCGAACTCCTCCCTCGAGACCTCCCAGGACAACACATCTCCCAGCAGCCGTGGTTCCCGCACAGCAGTGCCGGCCGCTGCTCAGGGCCGCAGTGGGCGTCACTGGACAGATGCTCGTGCACTGTCACGGGTCAGTTCAGAAGGTAACACTGGCATTTTTGTTAACAGTTTGCCACAAAAGCCTTGAAGTACTTTTCCTCTTTAGTAAAAAACTGGGGCAATCTGGTGCAGACATAGCTCATCTCACACAGCAGTCACCAGACTGGTTTACAAACCCGAGTCCTCGTGGGCTAGGGGACCAGGAGTGCCTATGAAGGAAAACACAGCATCTTCAGATGTGGAAACGGACGGTCAGTCAGCAGGAATCCAGGGCACATCCGTGGTCCTGGGCAGTCCCTAAAAGCCACGCTTTTCCGTAACGCCACCGCGACGGTCTGAACATCCGTGTCCCCCCAACATCCATACGTCGAGCCTCACGGTTGGGATCGGAGCCTTCCCAGAGGCTCCAGAGAGCACCAGGGCCTTCTGCATGTGGGACACAGCCCAGAGGCGGGCACTCATCCTTTACCATGGACTTCCACCCTCCAGAACCGAGGGCACAGCGTCAGTCAGTTGTACCCGTCCGCACTGTTCCAGGACCACAGCCTGGGCAGACTAGTTGCCTTTGGGCTGCAGCAGCTCCTGGATGCCAACGGATCTGGACTGTTAAAGGGGACAGAAGGCACGGCCCTGGGCGCAGCCACGAAACACACCTCACGCCTGCACAAAGGCAAGGCCGACCTGAGTTTCTCCACAAGGTGCACCGACCGCCAAAAGCTCTTAGAAGTGGGTCAGCCTTCAGGAAGGCCCCAGGCAGAACCAGGACCACATACTGGACTGTGCAGGGGCAGGGGCGTGGTCAGGGATGGTCAGGCGGTGCTGTGTAGACAGCAGCATTTTATTTATAAAGATTTACTTCTTTGAAGAGAGAAGGGAGGAAAAGAAAGTGTGCGCACACACGCATGAGTGTGAACGGGGGAGGGGCAGAGGGAGAAAAGCGGACTCAGCGCTGTGCATGGAGTCCAGTGTGGGGCTGGGTCTCACCACCCTGACATCATGACCAAGAGTCTGGCGTCCAACCGACGGAGCCACCAGGTGCCCCGGACAGTGTGTTAAACGACATAAGCATCTGCGAGTCCCAAACTGTGCAAATGGGTGAACGGAAAGGAAGAGAGCTCAGAGAAGAAATTCAGGGGGCGCTAACAATGTAAGAGGAAAGCCAGCCAAGGACCCCAGAGGATCCCAGAGGAGCGACAAAGGAAGGTGCAAAGACTGGCCCCACTCTCCCTTCTGCTAAGGAGTGTCAGGGCTCTGGGCGCAGGGGTGACCAGAGACGCAGAAGGGCAGCTGTGGGCACAGCCTTGGGACATGTGCAGGAGCTGCCAGGCCCAGGCATGGCAGAGCCACAGCAGATGGACCTCACGGAGCCGGGGCCACTCGGGCCTCAGGCAGGGAGCACAAGCCTGCTCCCCAGCTCAAGCCCTAGCTCTGAAGTCCTGACACCCTGGAAGTACACACATTCACGGGGGTAAACTCGGTGGACAGGGTGCGGGCCTGGCCACCCCGCAGACCCGGAGGCTGGGCCAGGAACACCTGAGAACGAGCAGGAGGGGCCCTGCACAGGCACTGGATCCACAGAGCACACGTGCTCGCTCCCCCTCCCCCCACCGCCACGTGCCTCCTCTCACACAGGTGCACCCCCACACACACGTGTGCTCATACAGGCTCACACGCAGGCTTGCTCTCCGGTGCACAGGCACAGGTGCATACCCCAGCTCACAGGCTTGCTCACGCACACGCTTGCTAACATGCCTGCCCACATGCACACACGGTCTCACGCATGAATGGAACCTCGCTGGACACCAGCAGGGCTGGGCACCGGGCAGAGATGGGAACGGGGGAGAATGGGACAGGCTCAGCGCTGGGGAGCACAAGACAGTGGCCTGAAGGAGGAAGAAGCGAAGCCCAAAGGAGAACGGGACGCACAGCTTCTGGGCAGCCGAGGAAGGTCCCTTCCACCCAGAGAGACACAGGAAGGAGAACAGGTCACCAGAAGAGCACAGGCAGACGGAGAGGCCGTGGGCACAGCCACGAGACACAGCAGTGGATCCCTCCTCGGAAGTCATGCTAATGTGAGATCCGCAGGAGACACACTTGAAGGTGGAAAAAGACTTAACGGGTGGAAATGACATTCAAGAGAAAAAACAAAGCTCGGTTAAGTTTTCAACATCAGAAACTTACCTCAAAGAGTGGAAAGGGACAGAGATACAGGTGGACAGCCGAGCAGGGAGAGGTGGGCACGATCACACACAGACCTTCCAGAACATCCCACGTGGGGGGAACCACGAGCCCCCGACAACTCCCTCCGCCTCAAGCGACCACGGCTCGTGGGACCTGCCTCTCAGCACGAGTAAGCCCGCGGCCCGGAGAGCTCACGGGACGAAGCAGGCCAGAAAGAATAAAGACAAGGCCGGAAACCCATGAGCGGAAGACACAGGACACAGCAACGACCAGCACCCCCGACAGCTGGTCGCGTACTGAAGGACGCCAAACGGAAAGGAAAAGTGACTTTCCCGAGCTGTTCGGGGTGCAAGAACAACGGCTGAGCCGGTCCCACCAAGCAGACCTGTGCACCAGGACCCAACCGCCCCAGAACCCAGGCTGACCGGGGCCCCGGCGGGCGCACACAAACGGGGACGCGCGCCGCAGTCGGCTGGTGGGGAGAAAAGCGCGGGAGAAGCCCAGCGAGCGAGACGCGCGGGCCTGGGGAAGGCCGGAGCCACGCGGGCTGCTTCTCACCACTCGGCCCGGACGCCGCCCCCGCCCACGCAACCGTCGGAACACTCCAACTGTTCATACTTGAAATATTTTAAATACGAAAACTCTGATCCCCTGAAATCACAACTTTCACGACCACTGCGTTTTCCTACTTCAGGTTCACATTACACGATTTTTAAAAAAATTTTAAATAAAAATTTACAGTAGCCCACATTTCCCCCCAGACTTGGTTATTTGCCTCAAACAGTCCAAAGCTCTTTTACTGGGAACAGCGACATTTCCGTTAGGCTCGTGCTGGCCAGAGGCGACACAGGCCTCACACAGGCGTCCACCCAGCCTGTGGCCAGCAGGACGACCCTGCCTCCCCGACAGGGCAGCAGCAGCAGCAGGGCCGCTGCACCAGCCCGCACGGGAAGGCCCTCGGCCCGGGGCTCCCACCGTCTTCCCCGGCCCTCCGCCACACTGAGCATCAGTAAACGGCGGCCACCCCCGCTCCCGCCCTGCGCCGTGTCCGTCTCTGACCCCGGGGCCAGCAACTCTTACCGGCTTCTCTCTCTTCCGCTTCCGCGGCCAAGGCCTCCTTCTGGGCGCACAGGGTAGAGTTCTCCTCCTCCAGCTCTGCCTGCTGCCGGGCTGCCCGCTGCAGCTGCTGCTTCAGGCTCTCCAGCTGGACCGCGAGGCCCCGCTCAGCCGCCTCCTTCTGGCCCAGCACCTCCTGCAGGCTGGCCTTCTCCACCTTGAACCCTTCGATGATGCCTGCGGAGACGCGGAGAGACCCAGCTCCTGAGGCTTTGCTGGCAGAGCAGAAGGATCGGTGTCCCCGTGAGGGCATCCCAGCCCCAGAGAGATGCGGCCAGGGGACACGAGAGCTGCACGGTCACGCCTGCGTTCCTGGAAGGACGGCACAGGGCTGGCGCACCAGGAGGACAGGGTGACACGCCCGGGAGCAGCCGCGTGCAAGACACCCCCACACCATGCGCCCAGCACACGAGACACTGTGACCACCACAAACCAGAAGTGTGGGGGCCTGTGGGGTCACGAATGTCGCTTCCTGGGGCAGGGAGGACCGACATGCATCTCCGCCCAGGAGGCCACTCAGGGGCTGGCAGCCTGGGGAGCAGCTTGATGGCACCTTGTTTCACGGACGAAAGTCAGAGGCCTTCCCCCACATTATTTTAGTTCTACATTTTGCCTGTAAGACCTCTGTTAACACTGCCCTTCCCCACGTGCCTCGGGCCTGTGTGCCCCACCGCCCTCCCCCGCCCACGACCGGGGCTCACCCTGAGCCTGGTGCAGCTCCAGCACCAGCTGCGTCCGGGCCGTGCTCGCCTCCTCCAGGCGCTCCAGTAACTCCTGGTGCTTTCTAACCACCTGCGCGGTCTCCTCGTTCTTACAGCTGAATTCCTTCTCAAAACGGGAATGGATCTGACGTGCTTCCTCCAGCTGTTAACACACACGGGGAAAATGAAACTGCACGTCAAAACAGAGCTTTCGTTACCACCAACGGGACCAGGATTCTGGCACAGTAGAAATCTGACAAAACCACAAATATTCTGTAAGCAACGATATGATCTTCAGTACTGTGTCAATCACTAGATAAGTGACTCATTCAACAGTTTTTAAAACAGACAACTTCAAACACACACATTCAATGCAGCACAAAAAATTCACGTTAATGAACTACTGATACATCTGCCCAGCAATGCTGTTAAGGGAAAGGGCACTCCAAAGGTCACAAAAACTGTCCCTCAGGACCCCAGAATCCAAGCAGGGGTAACCACCTGGCACTCCACAGGGAGGGTAGGATGTGGAGGCCGTGGGTGGGAGGAAAGGCTCCTTGGGCCGGTCACCACGGTGGGCCGGGCGCCTGACAGGTCTCTACCGCCCACACCACCACCCCCGACTCAGTCACACCAGGGCCCTCTGGGGCTCCTCTGACGCCACCCAGGCCTGGCTCAGTCCCAGACCCCAATCTCCCCTTCCTCCCCTGCCCAGCCTGAGGCTCCCAGGCCACCTTCAGGCTTGGGGGTGGGGGGTGCCCAGACTAACCTCTGAATTCAGACGCCTACGCCCAGCTGTGCCGAGACACCCCTGGGCAGCTAGCTGGGGCCTCCCTCCACCTCCTCCACACTAACCCTAACTCCAGCTTCCCTAGACCCTGCCTCTGAGGGCATCCACTGGCGTCCCCCTGAAAAGAGCCCCAAGGCTCCCTCTTCTCACACCTTCCCCAAGTGGGGAGAACTTACTCAAGGCCTTCTGGGATGTAAACAGCAATGTTTTGGCTAAAAATGCTTATTTTCTAATTGGGCTGAACGGAAGAAAGGAACTCTATATAGCTTTTCATAATTCATATTTAATGTCTTTCCTGTCTAAAGTGTTCCGAAAGGTTAATGAACATAATTTCCTTTGCTAGTGATAAGCTCTAAACACACATCCAATGTAACGTTAAATACTGCTGAAGGTAGAACAGAGTAAAGGCGAGAGATCGAACCATCTGTCCTTGGCCTAACACTCAGCTCTGACTTCCCATTCGCAGCAAGCCTACGGCTTCCAGAATTTCAGTTCAGAAAAGACTTCTGCTTAGGAAAAACAGGAGAAAATCGTTGGTAGAAACAGAAGACCAAAACAATATGAGAGGAAGGCAGGTGCACACCCAGCAGTGAGTTTCTGCTCTCAAACGCCCAGAGGAGTGACCAGCAAGAGAGGCCAGACCCACCTGGAAAGCGCCACGGCCCCTTCTCACCCTGCAGGTGCCGCTCGAGAATGACCAACACGCGTGTTCTGTGCCCAGCAGAGCACCTGGGAGCTGTGCTACCCTCGCCTATCAAGCTCATGTCACCGAAACATTCAACTTGCCCACTGAGTCAGCCTGTCACCCTTCTCAGAGGATGAGCAATGCCGGGAGCCAACACAGGGCCGCGGGCGGACGGCAGGCAGACGGCAGGCGGACGGCGGGCGGACGGCATGCGCAGCCGTGTCTTACCTGCCGGGTGGAATCCAGAGCCAGCTCCAGCAGGCCATCCACCGCCAGGCCAAGGCTCCGGTACAGCTTCCTAATTGGCTGCTCACACTCCAGCGAACTTTCTGGGCTCATGAAAAAGCTTTCGCAGATGTGACTGCTAATTTCAGCCTCTGAAGACACCTCCGCATAGTCAGGCAAAGTTCGGTCCAGCTCCAACAGGGCTGCCTCGGACGCAGGCCACGTCTCATCGAGCACCGGTGCTGCAAAGTGAGGAAACACAGAAACCTGCACACACACTGCGTGGCAAGCAAGCTCGCACGACCAGTGCTACGGCAGCACGAGCACACCCACGTCCCAAAGACAACGATCCGTCTCGAGCCTCAGGAGCTCATCCAGCCCAGCCCCAGCAGGGAAGGAGGACAGCACTCAGCGCCCCTGCCCAGGGGCTGCAGGCACAGGGCTGTCCGGGCGCTCACCTGCAAACAGGGCCTGGCCACTGGGCCGCGCATCAGGTAGGCCCTCGTCCTCCAGACAGAGCCCCACACGCTCACCAATCCGGCTCTTCAGGGTGACGGCAGCCCTCAGCGTCTCTCCAAACAAAGTGAGCAGCCTCCGCAGAGCGTCCCGGAGAGCTCTCCTGAACGAAGCACGGAGCGGACAGCAGGCTGTCAGCCACAACCCTAAGCCGGTCTGACTCAGACAAGAGGGGCACAGCCCAGGGGGCAGCTCTGCCAACAAGACCAAACCCTTGGGCTGCTGCTCTTGACTTTAAAAAGACATCATCTCATCGCCAGTTTTACCAGGCTCCTGTCCCTACTCACCGCCTTTCTAACCCTCAGGAGGAGAGCAGAGCACCAACACGGCCCTCTGTCCAGAGCACCGTGACCCCGTCCAGGACACGGCTGGAGCCGAGGCGGGGTCCTCACCGCTGGGAGATGCCAGGGCCCAGTGGGCGGGAGGCAGGCTCCTCCGCCTCCAAACATTCACAGACTTCCATCCCCACCACGGGCCTGGAACTAGGTCTGCTCCCAACACGGGGACATGCGACTGAACGAAACACAGGGAGAGCTGCCCCTTACAGAGCTGAAGGGCAGGGGAGAGACACGGGAAGGGCGGGAAAGAAGCAGCGGGACAGACGAGGGAGCGCAGGAACAGCCAGGGCCCCATGGCTCCCCGCGCTGGCCAGGCCACCACAGCGGACTGCGGAGACCTTGCGGACAGAGGGTGGCGCCTGCCCACCAAAAGGCACTGTCGGGGAGCAGGCGGGGGCAGGCACGGGGTGACCGCGGACAGGGCGGGTCCGGGAGCTCAAGCAGAAACTCAAGTCAGCGTCAAAGCTGCCCCCTCCTCCCCAGGCCCGGTGCAGGCCCGGATGGCTGTGGTGCCCGCGGCGAACCCCGAGTGCGGAGCACGTGGGTGCTGGGGAGCGACACGGCAACGACATGGCGCGAACACGGGGAACCCTGTGCTCTCGCCGGTTTTGAGCTTAGAAACGACGCGCATTGGGGCGCCTGGGTGGCTCAGTTGGTTGGGCGGCTGCCTTCGGCTCAGGTCATGATCCCAGCGTCCTGGGATCGAGTCCCATGTCGGGCTCCTTGCTCGGCGGGGAGCCTGCTTCTCCCCTGCCTCTGCCTGCCTGTGCTCACTCGCTCCCCCCCTCTCTCTCTGACAAATAAACAAAATCTTTAAAAAGAAAAAGAACGAAACGACGCGCGTCTGTAAGTCAGCGGACTGGCTGGGGCAGAAGCGACGTAGGACTCCGACGGTTACCAGGAACTGCGGATCCCCTCGACCTGCTCTACGTGGCTAAACCAGAAGCCACGGGTCCTTCAGGGCAGAGGAGAAACCTGCCCCAGCCCGGCCGCCGACTGTAAATGTCCAGGGTCCCGGAGTCTCCAGATTCCGCCTCTTCACAAAGCATTAAACTAACTAAACTGAGGCGAACCGGAGCGCCTCTGCCTCCGGGTCAGGGCGCGACCTCAGGGACCCAGGATCCAGCCCCGCATCGGGCTCCCCACGCCCTCTCCTCCGCCGGCAGCCCCCTGCCTGTGCGCGCTCTCGCTCATGAATAAATTTAAAAATCTTTAAAAAATACAGATTAAAAAATAAAGCAACTGAGGCTTCTGAGGCCCCGACCTGCCCCCAACCCCTCCACAGACACTCGGAACCGCCCAGTACCGGGTCCTGCCCCAGGGCTATCTTCGGCTCTTCTCTCGGCCCAGCTGCCCTCCTCCTCTGACCACCGAACCCGCCTCTGCAGGCCTCCCGAGGCCCCGCACAACCCCCAAGCTTCCGTGTTCTCCGCACCCAGAACGAGCTGCGAGCCCCAGTTCAAGAGCGTCCTGAAGCGGCTGAGGGCCGACGGGCCGGCTGCGGAGCTCGGTCGCCCGCACTCACACGGTCCGCCGGCGCGCCTGTGGGCGCCTGCCACGCCGGCTCGGGATGCGACCGGCCCAGAGGACGCGGCCCAAGGGGGTTTCGGAGAACCCAGCCCTTCACCTTCTGTCAGGGCGCTACCACACGCTCGGGAAATCACGGAGCCGATACCACAGCTTTTTCTAAGCCCGCTCACTGGAACAACACTCAGGCTTGTACACAAAAGCCTCACAGACCTCTTCATGACCACGACAGCGAATGAGACCATTCTACCTTCTAGCTGAATCCACTTGGGTAGCATTTAACTCTCTATACTTTTTAACAAGCTGAACTAGGATCTTTCCCTTTTAGTTGAAAAGGACCAGGACAGGGGCGCCTGGTGACTCAGTGGGTTAAGCCTCTGCCTTCGGCTCAGGTCATAATCTCAGGGTCCTGGGATCAAGCCCGGCATCGGGGCTCTCTACTCAGCAGGGAGCCTGCTTCCTCCTCTCTCTCTGCCTGCCTCTCTGCCTACTTGTGATCTCTGTCAAATAAATAAATAAAATCTTTAAAAAAAAAAAAAAAGGACCAGGACAGAATGAGAAAGTGGCCAGATTTACTGACGACAGCAAACCAGCTGCTTATATCCTACACGAGTAACCAAAAACCTGCTAAAATCCTCAATTTTCAAATCTAACAAGTAAAGGCCCCTAAACAAAACCAAAAAACTTACAGTTTCTGCTATTGCAAAGAGCCAGGATGCTGGGCCGGGCAGGGAGTGGGGCGATCTATTACAAATGTAAGCACTCCAGTCACCTCCAGCCCTCTAGCCGGCCTTTTCTGTTGTTATTGTTTTTTTTTTTTAAGATTTTATTTAAGAGAGAGAGAGCGAGCGAGCGTGCGAGCGCGCATGAGTGAGGGGAGAGGCAGAGGGAGTAGGCTTCCCACTGAGCAGGGAGCCTAACCAGCCCCTCTAGCCAGTCTTTTCTGAGGTAGGACAGGACAACCAGGAAAGTCCTTCCTGGCAGTGAAGGACAAGACCATTAAATAGGAAACACTTGACTCTTGACCAACAATGCTTTTAAGGAAAGATCTTGATCAAAAGGGAGAAGTGTAACAATTAATAAAAGAAAACCTCGACTAGAATGGGGTCAGGATGGGGCGCCTGGGTGGCACCTGAGCATCTGCCTCAGGCTCAGGTCATGATCTCAGGGTCCTGGGATCGAGCGCCACATCAGGCTCCCTGCTCGGCGGAAAGCCTGCTTCTCCCTCTCCCTCTGCCCCTGCTTGTGTTCCTTTCTCACTGTGTGTCTCCCTCTGTCAAATAAAAAAAGATCTTTAAGGGGAAAAAAAAAAAAAAGAAAAAGAACGGGGTCAGGAAGCTGGGTGGAGGAGGTGGGGGCATGGGAAACTCTCAAGCCCTTCCAGCTGCGTATCTCTCAGGAAGAGGGGCACGTTGACTATACACGACATTAAGATCCCAGCAGGAGGAAGGAGGGTTTCCTTCTGCCCAGCAACAACTCAGCCAATGGGAGCCAATCACAACTCAGCCAATGAGAAACCACTACACTTTCAATACAGTTTCCTCCAATGGACTTTCTGTTTACAACAGTCCTAGCCCTCCTTCCATCTATAAAAGAGCTTCCTCTGTTCCCCAGACTTGTTTATGGTGATGCACTAGCTAGCTTGTCCTGGACTGCAATTCTGTTATTCCAGAATAAACCTACCATTTAAAGATTCCTTAAGAAATTAAAAATGGAACTACCCTACGACCCTATAATTGCACTACTGGGTATTTACCCGAAAGACACAGATGCAGGGAAAAGAAGGGCCATCTGTACCCCAATGTTTATAGCAGCAATGGCCACAGTCATCAAACTGTGGAAAGAACCAAGATGCCCTTCAACGGATGAATGGATAAGGAAGATGTGGTCCATATACACTATGGAGTATGATGCCTCCATCAGAAAGGATGAGTACCCAACTTTTGTATCAACATGGACGGGTCTGGAGGAGATTGTGCTGAGTGAAATAAGTCAAGCAGAGAGAGTCAATTATCATATGGTTTCACTTACTTGTGGAGCATAAGGAATAACATAGAAGACATGGGGAGATGGAGAGGAGAAGGGAGTTGAGGGAGATTGGAGAGGGAGATGAACCACGAGAGACTGTGGACTCTGAGAAACAAACGGAGGGTTTTGGAGGGGAGATGGTGAGGGGTTCGGTGAGCCTGGTGGTGGGTACTAAGGAGGGCAAGTATTACATGGATGTGGGTGTGGTGCATAAACAGTGAATCTTGGAACACTGAAAAAATTAAAAAATAGAAAAAAAATTAAAGTTTTATTAGTTTAAAAAAAAAAAAAAGAAAAAGAAAACAAACCAAAAAACCTGACAATTTAATTTTAAGGTTAACTCCACATTACAGCATCAAATTTTGTAATCTGGCAAAATGTGAAAATTTGGCAAAGTGAGTGGTAGGTATATGGGTATCGTACATTACTCAGTACTTTTCTTGATGTTTAAAGTGTTTTTAAATGAGAAGAATAATGTGACACAGGGTTCCATCCTGCCAGGTATTACCATGCACTTGGGCGGCTCTGACAGAGGAATGTGTGACTGACCTTTCACGGTCAGACAGATCAATGTCGGACTTCAGCATCGAGATGAGATTTGTGCCTTCCTGGTTCTCCCTTTCACGCCTTTGCTGGAGCTGCTCCACTTCAGAATGGCACTCTTCTACTTCTTGACTTAAGGATAAAATTTGGTCTTTCAGCTGTTGAGGAAAAATTGTTACAGCTTTATTTAGAACAATTTAGTCAGGAATAAACTTCTGTAAGAAACACTCATCATCCTAGTTAATAGTGATTAAAGGTGAAAATTAATAATTTTCTAGTTACTAATTTTACTAATTACAGGGGTTCCCCCCCAACCCCGCCATTATTCACTGCCTACAAAAACAGAACACATAAACATTCTAGCCTGCCCCAGGCACCGAGGGAAGGGGCAAACTCACCAGAGATTACTCTCACAAGTAAGAACTCAAAATCTCTTTTATATTCATTCAGAATAAATACCAGTTTCTAGACAAGTGAAGATCATTCTTATTTATTTCTACTTGAAAAAGGAGCCAACAAAGGTGCCTGGGAGGCCCAGTCAGCTGAGCATCCAACTCTGGGTTCTGGCTCAGGTCGTCATCTCGGGGTCCTGGGACAGAGCCCCAGTTAGGCTGAGCTCAGAAGAGAGTTTGCTTGCGATTCTCTCTCTCCCTCTGCCCCTCCTACTTGTGCACACGCACACTCTAAGTTAAATAAATAAGTCTTTAAAAAAAAAACCAGTCAACTATCATGGGGTCTCAGTGAGCCGGTGGGGTGGGTGGCACCAGCTACCCTGGGCACCCCTGGCTACTGTGGGCTCCCCAGGTTGCCCGAGCACTGAGCACAGGTCACTGCAGTTTTGTTGTGCAGCTTAGTGAAATGACAAGTATGTCTTCCCAGCAATGCAGTGACCTGAGCCCAGAGCCAACCACAGTGATTACTCAGGGCTGGCTGAGTTGATGGTCAAGAACTCGGGCATCGTCCCCACAGAGAACGTGACAGAGCGTGACTATGCACACAGAGCCAGGCAGACCGCGGGCCTGTCCTCCACTGCTACCAACAATCAGGAACAATGGGTGTCCACAGCGGCCGATGCGTGACACGCCTAGTGTCTCGAGCTCTAGAATCAGACGCGTGGAGCCCGGAAGCAAGTGGACTCCAGGTGCAGAACCCAGCTGGCGAGGACAGCTCTGCAGCCAGGAGTAGGAAAAGAAGGTTTGCGTGGAGTAGGAAATGGGTAAGAGAACCCCAGGTCGGACCCATAAAATGCTAGCAAGTACAAAAAGGAAACCAAAACCAGATAAAAGAAGAGTGTAGTTTTGAAACCCCGTACCAGGAGCGAAAGAAAACTGTAAAAACAATTTCAATGCTGTGCTTGTAGGGAAATTAGAAAAAAATAGTTCCATAAACCACTGATGACATCACACGAAGATGGCAAACGATGACCAGAAACAAACAAAAGAGAAGAGAGGATGCTGCCAGCTCACGAAACCGGTGCCCGGACGGCTCCAGGCCTGGCTTGGCCCCCGCTGTGGGGTGTGAAGAGAAGGCAGACGCCCGCCAGACGTGCAGCACGGAGCTCTAGTCCCACGGGCGGCTGCGGGCTGAGGCAGCAGCACCGCGAGGGCCAGCGGCACAGGCCTCCACAGAGGCTGGGTCCACTTTTGAGCCTACGGTACACAGACTTTTCCCTCTGCCGGTCCTGCTCCCTCCTTTTCAAAAAAACTGTATGGTGACTGGAAAAACCTAACAGATACATCTCTAGTGACACTGATCAAAAAAGAGGAAAGTACAAATAAACATCCTAACAAAACTTTTTCTGGGGCACCTGGGTGGCTCAGTCAGTTAAGCGTCTGCCTCCAGTTCAGGTCATGATCCTGGGGTCCTGGGATCGAGTCCTGCCTCAGGCTTCCCGCTCACTGGGGAGCCTGCTTCTCCCTCTCCCTCTGCTTGTGCTCTCTGTCAAAAAAGTAAATAAAATCTTAAAAAAAAAAAAAGGTAAAAAAAAAAGAAAAACAATATTATTACACTCCTGAAAGGTCTACATTGTGAGACTATCTCAAAAAATAGTACAAATAGGGGCACCTGGCTGCTAGAGTATGTGACTCCTGATCTCAGGGTCCTGCGTTCAAGCCCCACGCTGTGTGTGGAGCATACTTAAAAAAAAAGAAAAGAAAACAGTAAAACTGCACATACTAAACTTACAAAGGAATAACAAAAAACCAAATCCAATTCAAAAACCATCAAAGAACCTGAACAGACATTTCTCCGAAGACAAATGAATGGCCAATAAGCTCCTGAAAAGATGCTCGTCACTCACCACCAAGGACACACACATCAGAACCACGATGTGGTCCCACCTCACGCCCGCTGTGACGTGATCATAAACAGAGAGAAGACGGTGAACAAATGATGGCTGTGGAGAAACCGGAGCCCCGGGCGCAGCTGGCAGGGACACGTGATGGGGCAGCACCAGGAAGACAGCACAGCGGCTCCTCAAGACAAAAACAGAGTCACCAGGACCCGGCAATCCTGTTCCTAGATGCACACAGCCCGAACCGACGGCAGGGACCGGGACAAGACTTGTACACATGGGGACATTATTCACAGCAGCCAAGACGGAGAAACCACCATCTAGAGGTCTGTCAGCAGCCAAATCCATGAAGAGAGCAGCACGACGCGCATCTCTATGTAACAGAATTATCACTGCCACAAAACACCGAGACGCTCTGACCCACACTGCACACGGCGGGCCCCGCGGACGTTGCACGGAGTCACTAAACCAGACACAGGAGGACTAATGCTGTTGACCCCATCACAGGAGGCCCCGGAAGCGGTCAGATTCAGCGCACAAGGCAGAAGAATGGGTGCCAGGGGCTGGAGGGAGGGAAAGGGGAGCCTGTGGGCAGTGGGGGTAGTTTCTGCTTGTGGTGAGGATGAGCAGTTCCGGAAACGGACAGCGGTGATAGCTGCACAACCCTGTGAACGGGGTTTAATGCCCCTGAACTGTACCACTTAAAAATGATTAAAATGGTAAATTTTATGGTATGCACATTTTACCACACACACAAAAAATAAAAACAAAGAAAAGACACTTGCCACGTACCCGTAGAATTTGGTCATTCTTCTCCTGAAGCTGCAGAATCAAAGACTCTTCCTCTTTTCGGTGAAGAGACTGTGCCTGCTCACGCTCCAGCCTAGGGCTCTCCTCCTGTTCACGCGAAGCAGCTCTCCTTTCACCTTCAAATTCACCCTGTTAACAAAAACAACAAAAATGTCACTCTAAGCTCTAAAAGTTATGCTTGTTCCATTTCCTCGTTGTTTGCTAAAACACAGTTCATTGAACAAGTATTTATTGAGTCCACCCTGTGCCAAGAGCAGTGATCAAAAGGGACGAAGCCGCTACCCACAGTGAACACGTATTCAATGTGCTTCCCACGGAGAACATCAGCTCGTTTCTTTTCCCAAACGATCACATTAAGAAATTACCCATCACCACGATACCACGACCATCAGAATCCAAGATATTTAGAAACAAACTTCCTTTGGTTTCAAAACATAAACCCTATTTCTTCCTAAATAATAAACATTGTTCTTCATAAGGTTCACCTAACAAATTATATTAATGAAATAAGCTTTTTTTTTTTAAGGCCATCGTTAAAAAAAAAAAAAAATATATATATATATATATATATATAAACCCTATATATATATATTATTTATTTATTTATTTGAGAGAGAGAATGAGAGAGCGCAAGCACGAGATGGGGGAAGTCAGAGGGAGAAGCAGACTCTCCGCCAAGCAGGGAGCCTGATGCGGAACTCCATTCCCTGGACTCCAGGATTATGACCTGAGCTGAAGGCAGTGGCTCGACCAACTGAGCCACCCAGGCATCCTTAATGAAATAAGCTTTAAACAAACAACCAAACAAACAAAACAACAACTACAGAGGCAGCACTTTCAAAATGGCAGAATAAGGACATTCAAGAAGACATTCCTCTATAACAGCACTGAGAACACTGACAGAAACTGTCAAAACGCAACTTCTTCAGAGCTCTGGAAATTAAGAAAGACTTGTAACAATCCAGAGTTTACTAAAAACAAAGTTTGAGTCTCCATCCAAACAGCAGCTATGAGGTACTTAAAACTTGCCCTAATCCCATCCCTCCCACCTCTGGTAGAGCTCTGCAAACAGCCTCCCGCAGTCATAAGGGTTGGGGGGGACCAGAGGGGTTCAGAGCTCCTCAAGAGCACCAGCCCGCCAACTATCACCAACTGACCTATCCTGCAGCTCACTAAGCAGCTCCATTCTCAAGGATGAGCTCACAGAGCTCACTCTGTCAACAACCCTACTGCCAGGCCACTTATCACAATCAACCAACAGCTACTGCTTAACATCATAGTGGCCTGAAACCCATTAACTTGTCGCAGCTGGGGCCAATAAGAGGTAAACGAAAAAAGCTTAAAAGGAAACACTATAGAGAATGAGGTGTCAACAGGGAGCTCTGAAAGGCTCCAGCATATTCCTGGGAATTTAGGAAGCAAGTATAGGGCTATGTACCTATCAAGGAAAAGCTGAGAAGGCTCTAACACTCCTTGTTGACCTCACACTCACACAAAGTCAAAGCTAAGGAAGAAACCGCCCACCAGGGCACTGGAAGCATGCCCCAGCCAGAGCCCCTCGGTAAAGAGACAGATTAGAAAGTGGAACTGTAGAGCTATTCTGGAGCTGAGAGGTACAATTACTGAAACGAAAAATTCACTAGAGAGGCTCAACAGTAAATTCAAATGGGCAGAAGAATCAGCAAATATGAAGATAGATCAAATAGGACTATTTGGTCTGAAGAATAAAAAGAAAAAAGAATAAAGAAAAGTAAATAGAAAAATGCCTTGGGTGTCCAACTCTTGATTTCAGCTCAGGCCATAATCTCAGAGATTCTCTCTCTCTATCCCTCTCACCCTCCCCCTGCTCACGTGCTCACTCTCTCGCTCTCTCTTTAAATAAATAAATAAGTAAAATCTCTAAAAAGAAGAAAGAAAGAAAAGTAAACAGAGCTCCCAAGGCCTGTGGGACACTCTCAAAGCCCAACATACACGTGATGGGAGTCGCAGAGGAGAGGAGAAAGGAACAAGGTAGAAAGCCTGCTTTATGATATAATGGCCCAAAACCACAACTTGGATGAAAAAATATTAATCTACAAACACAAGAAGCCCAATTAACCCCAGGTAGGATAGATTCAAAGAGATCCACACCAAGAGACATCCCAATTAAACTGTGAAAGACTAAGGAAAAGAATCTTGAAAGCAGAAAGATGACGGAGGAGTAGGGCACCCTCTTTCAACCGGTCCCCTGAACTGAGCTGGATATCTGCCAGGCCACTCTGAGCACCCACGAAATCAGCCTGAGATGCAAGAAGGTACATCTGGATTCCTACAAATGGAGTGTCTCAGGCAGCTGGTCTCGAGGTCTGAAGCGGGGAGCTGAGACTCTATGCGTAGACATCGGAAGATAATCAGAAGGGGGAGGGAGTGGGATCCAGCACCACTGGAGCAGTGCCTGGACCTGGAAGCAAAGGGAGGGAATGCTGCCGTGGGGCCCACAACCCAGGAAGCTAAGGTGTTTAACAGAACAGATAGTAATGGAGACAGTGCGGCCTGGAGAGCTCACCGGAGAACAGACGGCGATCTCAGTCTTCTGAGACAGGAGCCTGGACATAGTCACTTCAGCTCTCTCAGAAGAGATGGGAAAGCCACCTGCGGAAAGCCGCCAGAGAACAAAAGCCCCCCAAAACTGGTTTTCACTGAGCCCACTCCCACCTCCGGGCATGGCAACTCTGCCCAAACAGGGTTGCCTGAGTAACAGCACAGCAGGTCCCTCCCCCAGAAGACAGGCTGGAAGACCAAGAGGCCGACAACCCTAAGGTCCCTATAAAACAGGTGCATCTTGCTTGGGTCGTGGTCAATACTTTGGACCTCGTGCATTCCCTCAACCACCACTCAACAGAATGACTACGAGGAGGAACCCCCAACACAGGAATAATTCAGAGACTGTGGCTTCTGTCACAGAACTAATGGATATGGACATCACCAAATGTCAGAAACTGGCATCAGAGTAACATTATGAAGGCGAGCTCTAGGCTTGAGAAAAATATGGACAATATAGAATCTCTAAGGGCAGAAATGAGATCTAATCAGGCCGAACTTAAAAATGCTATAAATGAAATGCAGCCTAAACTGAATACTCCGACTGCCAGGGTAAAATAGGCAGAAGAATGAATTAGTGACCTAGAGGACAAGATGACAGGAAAGAAGGAAGCCAAGGAGGCCTGGAAAAATAGCTTAAAGCCCAAGAGATCAGACTAAGAGAGATTAATGACCATGAAACGTCCCAATGTCAGAACTGTTGGGATCCCTGAAGGGGTGGAGAGAGGTCCAGAAAATAAATCTGAGCATATCGTAGCTGAGAACTTCCCTAATCTGGGAAAGGAAACAAGCAATCGTATCCAAGAGGCGGAGAGGACCCGTCCCAAGATCAATGAGACCAGACCAACACCACAACATATAATAGTACAATTTGCAAATCTTAGATCCAAGGAAAAAACCTTAAAAGCAGTGACGGGGAAGAGCTTTCTTACGTACAGAGTGAGGAACATCAGAAGAACATCAGACCTGTCGACAGAGACCTGGCAAGCCAGAAAGGGCTGGCAAGACATATCAAGGGCACTAAATGAGAAGAACATGCAGCCAAGAAGTCTTTCTTCAGCAAGGCTGGCACTCAGAATGGATGCACAGACAAGGAACGTCCAAGACCGGCAAAAACTCAAAGAGTATGTGACCACCAAGCCGGCCCTGCCAGAAATATTAAGGGGGGCGTCTATAAAAGGAGAAAGGCCCCAAGAGTGATACAGAACAGAAATTTACAGAGACAACCTATAGAAACAAGGACTTCACAGGCAACCTAATGACAATAAAATCATGTCTTTCAATAACCACTCTCAACGGGAACAGCCTAACTGCTCCCACGAAACAGCATGGGGTTGTAACTGGATGAAAAGACATGACCCGTCCACACGCCGTCTACAAGAGCCTCATTCTGAACCTAAAGATACATCCAGACTGAAAGTGAAGGGATGAAAACCATCTTTCATGCCAATAGGCCTCAAAAGAAAACTGGGGTAGCAATTCTCGTATCAGACAAATTAGACTTCAAACTAAAGACTGTAGTCAGAGATGCAGAGGGACACTACATCATACTTAAAGGGCCTATCCAACAAGAGGATCTAACAACTGTGAATATCTGTGCCCCTACAGTGGGGAGCAGCCAACTACATAAGCCAACTGTTAACCGAAACAGACATATTGATGATGATATGCTAAGAGAAGGGGACCACAACACTCCACTCACAGCAACACACAGGTCATCTAAGTAGAAGATCTGCAAACAAGAGCTTAGAATGACACACAGGACCAGAGGGACCTCATAGATACACACAGAACATTCCATCATAAAACAACAGAACACTCATTCTTCTCGAGCGGCACATGGAACTTTCTCTAGACCACATCCTGGGTCACAAATCAGGGCTCAACCGTTACCAAAAGACTGAGACTACTCCCGGCATATTCTCAGACCACAATGCTTTAAAACTGGAACTCACTCACAAGAAAAAATTTGGAAGGAACACAAACACTTGGAAGCAAAAGACCACCTTGCTCAAGAACATGCAGATCAGGGCACCTGGGGGGCTCAGTGGGTTAAGCAGCTGCCTTCAGCTCAGGTCATGATCCCAGCATCCTGGGATCGAGTCCATCAGGCTCCTTGCTCAGCAGGGAGCCTGCTTCTCCCTCTGCCTCTACCTGCCACTCTGTCTGCCTGTGCTCGCTCTCGCTCGCTCTCTGACAAATAAATAAATAAAATCTTTAAAAAAAAAAAAAAAGAATGTTCGGATCAACCAGGAAATCAAAGAACTTAAACAATTCCTGGGAACCAATGAGAATGAAAACACATTAGTCCAAAACCTATGGGATATAGCAAAGGCAGTCTTAGGGGGGAAATACATAGCCATCCAAGCCTCACTCACACAAGTAGAAAAATCCCAAATGCAGAAGCTAAACTTACACCTAAAGGAACTGGAGGAAAAACAACAAAGAAAACTTAAACCAAGCAGAAGAGGAATTATAAAGATTAGAGCAGAGATCAATAAAATAGACACCAGAAAAACAGTAGAGCAGATCAATGAAACTAGAAGCTGGTTCTTTTTTTTTTTTTTTTTTTAAAGATTTTATTTATTTATTTGATAGAGAGATCACAAGCAGGCAGAGAGGCAGGCAGAGAGAGAGAGGAGGAAGCAGGCTCCCTGCTGAGCAGAGAGCCCGATGCGGGGCTCGATCCCAGGACTCCGAGATCATGACCTGAGCCGAAGGCAGCGGCTTAACCCACTGAGCCACCCAGGCGCCCCTAGAAGCTGGTTCTTTGAAAGATTAATAAGATCAATAAACCTCTGGCCAGACTTACCCAAAAGAACAGAGAGAGGACCCAAATTAATAAAACCATGAATGAAAGGAGAGAGATCATGACTAACACCAAGGAAATAGAAAAAATTATTAGAAATTATTATCAGCAACAATGTGCCAATACGTTAAGCAAACTGGAAGAAATGGATATCTTCCTGGAAACTTATAAACTGCCAAAACTGAAGCAGGAAGCAATACACAATCTGAATAGACCAATAACCAGTAACAAAATTAAAGCAGTAAATCAAAAAACTCCCAAAAAACAAGAATCCAGGGCCAGATGGATTCCCAGGGGACTTCTACCAAATTCTTAAAGAAGAAATAATACGGGGCGCCTGGGTGGCTCAGTGGGTTAAGCCGCTGCCTTCGGCTCAGGTCATGATCTCAGGGTCCTGGGATCGAGTCCCGCATCGGGCTCTCTGCTCAGCAGGGAGCCTGCTTCTCTCTCTCTGCCTGCCTCTCTGTCTACTTGTGATCTCTCTCTGTCAAATAAATAAATAAAATCTTTAAAAAAAAAAAAAAGAAGAAATAATACCTATTCTTCTAAAGCTGTTTCAAAAAAGAGAAACAGAAGGAAAACTCCCCAATTCATTCTATGAGGCCAGCATTATCTTGATCCCAAAACCAGACAAAGACCTTATCCAAAAGGAGAATTACAGACCAATATCCCTGATGAACATGGTTGCCAAAATACTCAACAAGATCCTAGCCAACAAAATTCAACAGTATATTAAAAGGATTATCCAACACGACCAGGTGGGATTTATTCCTGGGATGCAAGGATGGTTCAACATTTGCAAATCAATCAACATGACAGAGCACATTAATAAAAGACAAGAACCATATGATACTTTGAATTGATGCAGAAAAATCATTTGACAAAATACAGCATATTTTCCTGATTAAAACTCTTCAGAGTGTAGGGATAAAGGGAACAGTTCTTAAAAAAAAACATCTATGAGGGGCGCCTGGGTGGCTCAGTGGGTTAAAGCCTCTGCCTTCGGCTCAGGTCATGATCCCAGGGTCCTGGGATCGAGGCCCGCATCGGGTTCTCTGCTCAGCAAGGAGACTGCTTCCTCCTCTCTCTCTGCCTGCCTCTCTGCCTACTTGTGATCTCTGTCTGTCAAATAAATAAATAAAATCTTAAAAAAAAAAATCTTAAAAAAAAAAAAAAAAACCATCTATGAAAGCCCACAGTGAATATCATTCTCAATGGGGAAAAGCCGACAGCCTTCCCTTAAGATCAGGAACACGACAAGGATGCCCCCCCTCTTGCCACTGTTGTTCAACAATGTACTATAAGTCCTAACATCCTCAATCAGACAACAAAAGGAGAAAGAGGTATTCAAATTAGCAATGAAGAAGTCAAACTCTCTCTCTTCGCAGATGACATGATAACTTTATACGGAAAACCCAGAAGACTATACTACCGAACTACCAGAACTCACACAGCAATTCAGTAATGTGCCAGGATACAAAATCAATGTACAGAAATCAGTGGCTTTCTTTTTCTTTTTTTAAGATTTTATTTATTTATTTGACAGAGATCACAAGCAGGCAGAGAGGCAGGCAGAGAGAGAGGAGGAAGCAGTCTCCCCGCTGAGCAGAGAGCCCGATGCGGGGCTCGATCCCAGGACCCTGGGATCATGACCTGAGCCGAAGGCAGAGGCTTTAACCCACTGAGCCACCCAGGCGCCCCATCAGTGGTTTTCTTATATACTAACAGTGAAAATATAGAAAGGGAAATTAGAGAACCAATTCTATTTACTGTAACACCAAAAAACCGTAAGATACCTGGGAATAAACCTAACCGAAGATGTAAAGGATCTGTACTCGAGGAACTACAGAACACTCATGAAAGAATTGAAGAAGACACAAAAAGATGGAAGACCAGTCCATGCTCACGTACTGGAAGAATAAACATTGTTAAAATATCTGTACTGCCTAGAGCAATCTATACTTTCAATGCCATTCCGATCAAAATTCCACTGGCATTTTTCAAAGAGGTGGAACAAACAATCCTAACATTTGTATAGAACCAGAAAAGACCCTGAATTGCTAAGGAAATGTTGAAAAAGGAAAACAAAGCTGGGGGCATCACACTGCCTGATTTCAAGCTGTATTACAAAGCTGTGGTCACCAAGACAAGCACAGTATTGGCCAAAAAAACCCAGACACATAGATCAAAGGAACAGAATAGAGAGCACCGATATGGACACTCAACTCTGTGGTCAAATAATCTTGGACAAAGCAAGAAAAAATATCCAGTGGAAAAAAGACAGTCTCTTCAATAAATGGTGCTGGGAAAACTGGACAGCTATGTGCAGAAGAATGAAACTCGACCATTCTCTTACACCATACACGAAGATAAACTCGAAATGGATAAAATACCTCAACGTGAGGCAGGAATCCATCAGAATCCTAGAGGAGAACATAGGCAGTAACCTCTTCCGATAACAGCCACAGCAACTTTTTTCAAGATATGTCTCCAAAGGCAAAGGAAACAAAAGTGAAGATGAACTTTTGGGACTTCATCAAGATCAAAAGCTTCTGCACAGCAAAGGAAACAGTCCACAAAACAAAAAGGCAACCCACAGAATGGGAGAAGATATTCATAAATGACGGTACAGACAAAGGGCTAATATCCAAAATCTACAAAAAACTCCTCAAACTCTACACCACAAAACAGGTAATCATGTCAAAAAATGGGCAGAAGATATGAACAGGCACTTCTCCAATGAAGACATACACATGGCTAACAGACACATGAAAAAATGTTCATCATCACTGGCCATCAGGGAGATTCAAATCAAAACCACACTGAGACACCACCTTATACCAGTTAGAATGGCCAAAATTAACAAGGCAAGAAACAATAAGTGTTGGAGAGGATGTGGAGAAAGGGGAACGCTTTCTCTTACACTGTTGGTGGGAATGCAAGTTGGTGCAGCCACTTTGGAGAACAGTGTGGAGATTCCTTAAGAAATTAAAAATAGAGATTCCCTATGACACTGCAATTGCACTACTGGGTACTTACCTCAAAGATACAGATGGAGTGAAAAGAAGGGCCATTTGTACCCCAGTGTTCATAGCAGCAATGGCCACAGTTGCCAAATTGTGGAAAGAACCAAGATGTCCTTCAACAGACGAACGGATAAGGAAGATGTGATCCATATACACTATGGAGTATGATGCCTCCATCAGAAAGGATGAATACCCAAGTTTTGTAGCAACTTGGACGGGACTGGAAGAGATTATGCTGAGTGAAATAAGTCAAGCAGAGAGAGTCAATTATCATATGGTTTCATGTATTTGCGGAGCATAAGGAATAACACGGAGGATATTAGAAGTGAAAAATGACTGGGGGACATAGTGCATCTCTATGAGAGATTATGGACTCTGGGACTCAACTGAGGGTTTTGGGGGGGGGTGGTGAGCCTGGAGATGGGTATTAAGGAGGGCAAATACTGCAGGGGGCACTGGGGGCTAACACACAAGCAACGAATCACAGACACGACATCAAAAACTAATGATGGGGGCACCTGGGTGGCTCAGTGGATTAAGCCGCTGCCTTCGGCGCAGGTCATGATCTCAGGGTCCTGGGATCGAGCCCCGCATCGGGCTCTCTGCTCAGCAGGGAGCCTGCTTTCCCCTCTCTCTCTGCCGGCCTCTCTGCCTACTTGTGATCTCTCTCCCTCTGTCAAATAAATAAATAAAATCTTAAAACAACAACAACAACAACAACTAATGACGTACTATATGGTGACCAACACAATAAAAAACAAATCTTGAAAGCAGCAAGAAAAGTGACTCAACACAAGCCATCCTCAACAGCAGGTCAACAGCTAGCCGGCTGCTCAGACCACAGAGGCCCAAAGGCAGCAGGGTGCTATCATCAGTGCTGAAAGAAAAAGACTTAACCAAGAATTAGATATCCAGGAAACTATCTTTCCAAAATGAGGGAGAAACTAAAACATTCCTAGGTAAACGAAAAGTGAGAGAATTCACTACTAACAGGCCTGCCCTGAAGATACACTGAAGGGCATCCTCAGGCCAAAGCGAAAGGACACTGGGCATGACCTTGAAACCACACAAAGAAACGAAGAACGTGGTAAAGGTGACTGAACGAGTAAATGGAAAGACAAAATAAACATAACTGTGGTCATTTTTTTCTTCTATCTGATTTAGAAGAAACTGAGTAAATCAGTGAGCATGAATTGTAGATAACGGTAGTTTGTTTGATGGTATTAGGGACGGAGAAGGGAATGAAGCTACAAAGGAGAGGAGATCCGAGAACTATTAAAGTTGAGATGGTACTAATCTGGGGCGCCTGGGGGGCTCAGTGGGTTAAGCCTCTGCCTTCAGCTCGGGTCGTGATCTCAGGTGCTGGGATCGAGCCCCGCATCAGGCCTGCTCCGCGGGGAGCCTGCTTCCTCCTCTCTCTGCCTCTCTGCCTGCCTGTGATCTCTGTCAAATGAATAACAAACAAAATCTTCTAAAAATTAAAAAAAAGTAAAAATAAAATAAAAAGCTAAAAGCTACAGGAAAACTCCTCAGAGTAGGTGTTCGAGTGTCCACACATCCTGCACTTTGCCCCACGACGACAGACGACGGAAGCAAGAGGAGTGGTGATGTGGCTTCTGGGTCACCAAAGCAAGAAGACCCAAACTTTCTCAGATTTAAAATACTCGGGGGTAATTTCCTAGTGGAAAAGGTATGATAACCATCCTATTTAAAGAGAAAAAAAATGAATGAAAAAGTTGCCTAAAAAGTCTAACACAATGCAAGTATTTCTATTCACTTTGCAGATCACCATTGACTTAAGAGTAAAATTTCTCATTGATTTTGCAGCCGGGAAAGGGGAGCAGTAGCACAGATCCCTCTTCACCCCTGCGCCCCAGCTGTGTGACCTGCTGCTCCGCTAAGGCCTCCGACGGGCTCTTCTGCGGCTCCATCTCCTACCACGTCTCCTTCCCTTGCAGCTCGGCCGGAAGAGCTGGGCGCTGGCCCCAACCACTGCACGAGCCAGGGTGACCCCGGGAACAGGGAGGAAGACTCAGCACTGAGCTCTTCTGCATAGGCACGGCCCGGTCCATACCGGGTCCCCTTCATTCCACATTCTCACTGTGACGACACACAGGAGTCAGGCTACAGCTCCTAGAAAACTCCGGACCACTGTGTAGGCTCTGGATTCTCACCTCGATCACAATCATCGGAAAATGGGACATGCGTGGCACAACACTAAAATTATACTTTCTTAATTTTTTTTAAGATTTTATTTATTTATTTGACAGAGATCACAAGCAGGCAGAGAGGCAGGCAGAGAAGAGGGAAGCAGGCTCCCCGCTGAGCAGAGAGCCCGATGTGGGGCTCGATCCCAGGACCCTGGGATCATGACCTGAGCCGAAGGCAGAGGCTTTAACCCACTGAGCCACCCGGGTGCCCCTAAAATTATACTTTCAAGTTACAGAGATAACATAAATTATTCCTATAAACTTTGTCTCCTGAAATAAAGAGGAGGTTTTTAAAGGTTTTAACTCCAAAACCTTTAAAAAGAAGCATCAAATCTCACTGACATGAAAAATCTGAGAAACAAGGCAGGGATCATAGGGAAAGCGAAGAAAAAATGAAAGAAGATGAAACCAGAGAGGGAGACAAACCCTAAGAGACTCTTAATCTCTGGAAATAGACTGTGAGGGGAGAGGGGTGGGAGGACAGGGTGGCTGGGGGAGGGACACTGGGGAGGGCGTGTGCTACGGTGAGCGCTGTGAACCGTGTAAGACTGATGGACCGCAGACCTGCAGCCCCGAAACAGTAACACATTCTGTGTTAATAAAAAAAAAAAGCATCAAGTGCAAATTCCAAGTTATCACACGTTTCAAAGTTTCTGAAGTACTTTAATGACACGTTTAGGCCACAATTCCCCTTCTAGGGAACGAAGGGGCTGAGCCCCACCACTCGCAGCTAGGAAGGAAGCCGCAGCCCGGAGAGCAGTCAGGGTTGACGAGGCCCACTGACTGCGCGAGTGACAACCACAAAATGCGGGTTAATACAGGGAAAAACCTGAACGCCAACAGGCACCACAGACCGGCAAGGCCAAGGCCAAGGCCAAGGGACAGGAACCATACTGCCTTTTCCCTGAAAAGACACAGCTCAGGAAACACTGCCACCACTGTGAAGGACACTGGGAAACAGAAAACCACCGACATCGAGGAAGAGGCAACCACTGCCCCGCCTTACCCCCAGCACATGAGAAACTGACTGATGTGGGAAACAAAGGCAGAAAAAAATTATTAAATTTCCTTACTACCTACAGCCCACTGACAAGTCCTTGAAACAGGCAACGTGACCTTCCTCTAGGGACTCAACTGCCCCCACGTGATTACTTTGCTGAGGGCAAAGGCAGTGCCAGCCTGACCCCCGCTCCCCAGTCAGGACCCTGTGAGTCTACTTCAACATACAGAAATTCCTTTGGAAACTTCCTTTATCTCTAAACCCCCCAAGAGAGGTGTTGGTCATCACCCCCCAAGCATACGACCCACTGTTATGCATCTGAAGGGTCTCATGACAATAGCCCCCCAAGATCCCGGGAACCTTGCTTCCGAATTCCTTAGACTCCTGCGATCCCTAGCCCCTCCCAACTTGGAAGTATGGAATGGGACACTCCTCATGACCCCAGTGCAGCATTTCCCACTCAGGGGTCCTGTCCCTGTGCTTGAATAAATCCTCCTTTTTGCACCAAAGACGTCTTAAGAATTCTTTCCTGACGTTCGTCGCGATTAACAACGCGACAGGAAAGGGAAATCGCACTTCTTCGGGCCCTGGGACCCTGGTACAGGCCCAGGGGTGCTTCCCTCCCCGCGCCCTCAGGGAGTGGTCACGACGGCAGACCCCACATGCTCACCCTGCCCGTTAAACGCTCTCCTGCAGACACAGGAGGATTAAATACATGGTTCTTGGGAAACTTTGAGCCACAGATTGCTTTCTTCCGGCAACAATCCTTCATAGAAGCCAACTTCTGTGTGAGGTCAGGGTAGGAGTCCAAGAGCTCCGCACGCGCCCACATGCCCTTGAGGAACCCCCGCCCTCCAGTCCTGGGGCACCTGGACCTGGTACCATGGCAGCAGTGATCAGCAGGCTCCAGGCCCCTCTCTCTGGCCACCTGGTCCTTCTGGATCTCAGCGTCCCTGCCACAGGGAGTGCAGCCCCTCACGTGCCTGAGGGACCCACGGCCACACGGCACAGAGCTGCACTTGCTAAAAGACGGTGGATGCTAAGCGTATCTCTTGTCACCCATCGCTCTGTTTCGGGATCTTATGACACACACGCAGCATGACAAGAGCATAAACGTAACGAAGCCAGTAGCAAACAAAAGCACCCACCCCACATGCACTGGGCGTAGGAGGAATGGCTCTACAAGGGGGCAGCGGACCCGCTTCACGCCTGTCCTGCCCAGTGCATGCCCAGGCCCACAGCGGGAACTTGCCGAAAAAGTGCACCACCGCCATAACCAAGGCAAAGGCCAAATGGCAGCATCGTATGGCAGGATGGTCTCCGGGAAACACTCAGGAGTCCGGTGAGGCAGGAAAGGTGCAGGATAGCATCCAGCCATTGGACCTTGAAGGCCCAGTGGCTGCGGGATGGTTGCGGACATCCAGCGGGACGCATTCTCAGGCCACCCCCTCGAACTGACTGGAGAGGCTCCAAGTCCCCTTTGACTCATGCAACCCCACCCCCATCCATAAGGCCTCCTCACAGATAATCGTTTCTATTTCCAGCCTTGAGTGAAACTCCATTTAATTTTCCAGGTTCTAAACAGTAAGGTCCATGTAACAAAGAGATGCTTTTTGAAGTTTATTCTCCATTTTTTCTAAAGACACGGCAGAAAAACGTCAAATATATCTTTTTAACCATTAAGAAAACATGACAGATGTGCCCGGGAAAAAAAAGTAGTATTACACAAAAAATACCAACACAGTCAGGAGCCAGGGGTGGTTCAGGTTATGAACTCAGAGTCCTGGGATCGAGCCCCGCATCGGGCTCCCTGCTCAGCAGGATGCCTGCTTCTCCCTCCACCCCGCCCCTCACCACCCCCCAGCACCCCCGTGCACACTCCTGCTCTTTCTCTTATAAATAAAATCTTTAAAAAAAGTAATATAAATTCAGCTGGTAATGAATTAAAAACATTCAAACTATATCTAAAATGACCTTACTGTTTTCAAAAATTATGTGTATAGAATTTTTTTTTTAATTGAAGAAAAGATGAAATTGCCTTGAGTAACTGACACTGGGCACACTGTGGTCTGCTCCTGTGTTCCAGAACTCTGCTGAGTGGTCTCGCCACAAGGGACAGTGTTCGAGGGGATGCACATCTCTAAGAAAAGGAAATCAAGCTTACGGTTTCAGAGAACTTTCCTCAGAAGTAACTCCAAAAGGAAGTAACCTGGAAAGTAATCCAATTAGCTCACAAGCGCAAGTGAAATTACTCTTCTGGGAAGTGACCCTGCTTGACAAACAGGTGCAAAGTTATTTGTGGCCCAGAGAAAACCTGTCAGAGGAGGAACAGTGTGTCCGTGCTATTTTGGGGACAATGTCCCTGGCAGCCCAGAAAATGCCCAGTTAAGCTTTCTGCAGGATCTGCCTGTGGGCCAGAGCCTGAGGGAAGGCCACAGCGGGAACACCCAGTAGTCCACACCAAGACCCAATGGGACGGCCTTTGCAGCGGTGTGGACAGGTCAGCCAGCATCACAGCAGGCAGGAAAACCAGACTCCGAGCACATGTGCCCCGTGTGGACCCTGAACTGAACCACCGCAGGAAGAGACCGGAACTTGGGCTGGATATAGGATGATATCAAGGAATTCCCGACCATTTTTAAGTTAGAACGGATCGCAGTTATGTTCTCTTGCGGGAAGAGAAACACGCTACTTGGTAGAGACATAGTGAAGTATTTATAGATGAAAACACACGCTACCTGGGATTTGCTGTAAATACGTGGGGAGTGGGGGAGCCCTGAGGCACGAAGACTGGCACGTAGCCTCCTGCGCAGCCAGATAGAGCCTCACCCAACTATCCTATTTCTGCCCATGTCAAAATGTTCTCCAGCAAAAGCTAAAATAGGGTCAGAAACAGCTTCCCACCTTCCCACAAGTCCAGCTGTTTCTGAGAAACCAGCCAGACAACAAAGGTCCGTTAAAAAGTATCTCATGTTCACCTCCTTGGTGGCAGAGTAAAGGGATCTTTTGCTTGAGCAAGAACTCACTCGTACGACTGGAAACACTCACGAAATGCCGTGGGACACCCAGACGGCAGTCGACACAGAAATACAAGAAGGCTCGGCCCAAGCACAGACCTGACACGCGGCTCCAGTAAGCACATGGCTGTGTCCCCACACACAACAACGTGGCGGGAGGAGAGCATCGGCAACCACAGTCCGCAGAGGCAGGGCCGTAGCCCGTGAGACACAGGAGAAAGGCGACAACCGGACCTCATCTTTCCAAGGTGAGAAGACAGCCGCCGCCCATGCGCGGGGACCGCCACTCACCCGCAGGCACATGCGCGGGCCGCATCCCGACCTGCCGAGCTCAGCAGCGCGCCAGACCCAGGCCGGGGTGCGCCCGTCTCCCAGGGGGCCGTCCCACGCAGCCTGCTCACGAGACTCACAGAGCCCGCCGGCACCCCGCTGCTACCAAGGACCACAGCGACGACGGAGCTGATGGCCACTGCGCCTGAGGGGCCTGGGGGACACCGCAGGGGCGAAGGGGGCAGTGCGGGGGGGAAGGGGGCACTGCGGGGACACTGAGATGGCTAAGGGGACACTGGAGGACACTATGGGGACTCTGAGAGGGTTAAGGGGACATGGGGGGACACAGAGGATTACGGGGACACCGAAGGACACTATGGGAACAATGAGAAGGCTAAAAGGACACTACAGGGGACACTAAGAAGATTAAGGGGACACTGGGGGGACACTGAGAGGGTTAAGGGGACATGGGGGGACACTGAGAGGATTACGGGGACACCGAAGGACACTATGGGAACAATGAGAAGGCCAAAAGGACACTACGGGGGACACTAAGAAGATTAAGGGGACACTGGGGGGACACTGAGAGGGTTAAGGGGACACTTGGGGGACACTGAGAGGGTTAAGGGGACATGGCGGGTGACACGGAAAGGGCTTCATCCTCCCTTAGTGAAAGGTGAGTGGGAGCACAGTGTGAAGAAGAGCCCATTCACGTGACCGCGTCACTCACCAGCTACATCCCTGGCTCCCAGCAGGGGTCCCACTGCGCCTCTCTAAGCCACCCTGAGGACACAGGCTTGTGTGCGTGCCTCCTCCGTCTTCTCCTCCCTCGGAGATGAGAAACCCACCCAGAGGGGCCAGAGTCAAGGCAACTTACGAGTCCAAGAACCAAATCTCAAGAAAAGTGCCGATTCCCAGACTTTTCAGCCAAACCAATGGGGGTAAACCTCATTTTTATGCCTCCCTTTTTGTAATCTCCCGTAATTCCCCTGCTGGCAGACGTCGCGGAGGAAACGGCTGAACCATTAATTTCTCCGACCGACCGATGGCCACACACAACTGCGCACACGAACCAGCAACCCAGGAGACGCAGACAGCACCAGGCCTTATTTCGTGGTTAGAGAAAAGGGACTGATGCGTCCTTTATAAAAGCCCCACAGGAACACGGACAAAAGTCTGTAACCTCAAGGGAACGGGACACGACCGCTTCACAGAAACGCCCGGAGTGTGTGAAGCACGACGACGTGCGTCCTCAGCCCCCGGGCCTGGGAGAGGCGGGACACACGAGCATTTCCCACCCGAAGACGCCGGGTCCCAACCCACACGCCCCTCCCCACGGCAGCCTCGCGTGTTCCAGAGAATTCCACCGCTCTGCAGACGTCTGCCAACGACCACGAGGCCCGCGGACACTCGGCCTCGTGAAGAACCCGCACAGGGGACCGGGGTGCACCGCCGTAGCGCACGTGTTCCGTGTGGACACGAGGCAGCAGCACTGCCGCAGCAGCCGCCCCGCACGGTCCTCCCCTTCCTGTGGGGACGGCTCCTCCGCCTCAGCCCCCGCCGCCTCCGCGAGCCCAGCGCCAGCCGTCCCCCCCCCGGCCGTCCCCCAGCCTCTCCACGACCCCGGAAGCACCATGGTCAGTCTTACCCCAGCACACCCTGTGGGGCACCAGGAACCCCTGCGGGGGTCCTGGGCCTGCCTCTGCACCCTCCCATCCCAGCTTCCTGAGGGCCACGGCCAACACTTGCCCCACGTGGCCCCATCACCGCCAGCCCTTCTTCCGTCCCGCCGTCCGACGGATGCTGCTGGAACAGAGTTGTGCCTCTGCCGCTGCCTGCGAGGTCAGGCCCAGCCCTGCAAGGACACCACCCTCCAGGTTCACCCCCTGTGAATCCTGCCGACACTCCTCCCCACCCTGACCCCCGAGGTCACACCAACACAGGTCGGCCGGGCCACAGGGGTGGCCCCTGAAGGCGTCTGCAAAGACGAGCGCGGTCGGCCCGGGGCACCGAGCCCTTCTCGCAGGCTCCCTGGAGGCCCGGCGGCTCCAGCCCCAGGACACAACGGAGAGCGCAGGCAGTGCGAGAACAGGGACGACGGGCACGACCCCTCACGCTCTGCTCCTGCTGGGCCCTGTGCAGGGCCCGGCCTAGACGTCCTGGACGGAAGAGGAGGGTCCGCGCCGGACAGGAGGGGACACGCTGGTTGGGGAGGCGATCTGACAGGAACGGTGAGTACATGAGGAGAAGCTCACAGCACAGAGCGGCCAGCACCCGACAGGTAACAAGGGACAGGACGGCGGGAGACGTGGTCTGCGCGCACCAGCAGCAAGAGCTTGTGCAGAGCTGTGCCCTGGACCAGAGGGAGCCGCCTGGGGTGCACGCGCGGGACCAACGTGCATAAGAGACTACGGAGGGAGCCGCCTTGCACGATGACGGTAGCCGGGCCAGACCGTGCGCGCTGGGACACGTTCTCCCCCAGTACGCCGCCCCGGCCGCAGCTCCATGCACCCGTCCGACCACCGCGCACACCCCCATCCCTGTCCGCCCACCGTGCGGCCACCTGCGAGGTAGCCCCCCCAGGCACAGCGGCGGCAGGAGGAGACACGCCCCGAGCCCGGCCTCACCTGCTGCGTGGCCGGCAGTTCGGGGTAGAGCAGCGTGACCCCTGCGGCCCCCGGATCTGCGTCCGTCTGCGCCGTCAGGCTGCGGTCCGCGGGCGGGAGCTCCTGACCCTGCTCCCCAGTCAGCGCCGCGGGGTGAGACGCGTCCTCGTGCCGCCGCTGCTTCCCCAGCTCTGTGCTCAGCTGCTCCAGAGCCCGGCGGTGCTGCTCCCGCAGGGCCTGCACCTCCGACCGGTGGCGCGACTCCAGAGAGTCCAGGTGGGACGAGTGTCTGGCCTCCAGAGCCCGGAGCGCGGCCGCGTGCCCCGCCTGCAGCTCGGCCTCTCGGGCCTGCGCCAGGGCCCGCAGCTCCCCCTCCACGGAGGCTCTCAGCTCCTCCTGCTCCGAGCGGCGCACGGCCTCCAGCTCTGCCGTCAGGGACAGCACGTGCTGCTGGTGTCTCTCCTGGAGCAGCTGGAGCTCGCGGCTGTGCTTCTCCTGGGCCTCCCGAAGGAGCGCGTCTTGCTCGGCTGCGAACTTCTCCGTGATCTCCTTCCGTTCGTTCAGGAACCTGCGAGGACCCGCAGCGTGAACACAGGCCGCGGAAGGGCCGTCGTACACGCACCCCCGCCCCTTCCCACACGAAACACGACGTCGCTGCCGTGTTGGACTGTCCCCGCTCCTTTTCCCTCTGCCGTCCACAGCAAGTAAGCGGGAGGGAAGGGGCCACACAGAGCCAGAGCGGCTCAAAGGACAAGGCCGCTCAGGAACTCAAGTGGGGATGTGGGACCCACGGCAAGACACCGCATCCGCGCCAAAGCAGACGCGCCAGCCCACCTGCGGTGAGAAGGACCGCGGTGGGGAAGGGGCAGCGGGGTCCCCTGCAGGAGCCCACGGGGCCATAAAGAACACTCAGAAGACCTCAGAAGAACTGGTGAATTAAGGGACACGAGTGAGAAAGAGCCCCAGGCGGTGCCGGCTGGCAGAGACACAGGCCAGCAGACTCCCCCAGAGTCGAGGCACCCAGGATCCCACCAGGGACGGGAAGAAGCCTCAGCGCCAACTGGGCACATGCTCCATGCGCAGGACTTGCCCTGGTCCGCTCCCGCGAGGAGCGGTAAGACCCGGGTTGCTGCCCCGCGTGGCCGGCCTGCCACCAGAGGACTCCGGAAGCGCTCCCACACTTCACCACACCCTCCCCGTGGGGCGGGCAGGAAGCGTTTGTGAGGCTGAGCACAGCGCCTGCGTCCACCCAGCTTGCACCTGCTGGGCCGAAGTCTGAACTCGAGTCCTCAGACCCCAGACCCAAAGCTCCTGCACTCCGGTCACGATGGCGGGAGCTGCGGACCCGGAGAATAAGCAGCCCAATGGCGAGTCGATGGCCCCAGGACTCCCCATCAGCCGCAGGCACGAAAGCCCAGGTCTGCAGACTTGGTATGAACAGAGGCAAAGAACCAAACTACATTCTCAGTCTACTTTCAAGGAAATATGTGCAAGTTTCAGGAGGAAAACACTTACTTTTAAAAACATCTGTCTGAAGTCTAAAATACCAAGAACTAATACGGACAAACTGCATGCCTTTTGGTAAGTGAGGTCTAAATTCTTGCTTTTGAAATTTTTAAACGTGGAAAGAACAAAAATGACGTGGGAGACGTGTGCACAGTAGCGTCCACCAAGGGACACAGACTCCACCAGGAGCTTCCGGACACCGTCTCTGGCTGGTTCCCGCACCTCCCCGTGCTGGGACAGGCAGTCTGACCCCGCTGCCACTTCAGGGGGACGAGCAGGCGTCCAGGACTCCGTGCACACCGCGCTCGGCCCTGCCTCCTGCAGACCTTCCCACCCTGCTGAAAGCCCACAGCACATCGCCCAGGGGACCTGCCTCCCACGCCGTGCGGCGCGTGCCGGGGTCGGGCCTCAGGCGGGAAAGCGACAGGCGGCTCTATGGCTAACACCGCGCTCCGAGAGCGTCACCCACCCGTTCTCTGCCTGCATCAGCTGAAGGGTGCAGTCCTCCTTCAGGCGGAGCGTGGCGAGCTCCCCGCCCCGGTCTGCGGGAGCCCCTCGGCCCCCTGGCTCCCGGCCACACTGCGGACACTGCCCCCCCGTGAGGCCGAGCTCCAGCTGCCGTAGGCGGCCCTGCTGCTCCACCAGGGACCCCTCCAGGTCCCGGATCTGGGCGGCCTGCTGCTCCTGAAGCTGCCTCGTCTCGAGCTCCCGCAGCTCAAACCTGGTCATCAGGCACTGCCTCTCGGCTTCGGCTTGCTCCCGCAGGTGCAGGAGCGCCAGCGCGAGTTCCTCTTCCGCTTTTCTCTTCAGGACTTCGCTGGCCACTTTCCACCCTGCTTCTTTGTCTCTGGACTCCTGCCTCAGCAGCTCCAGTTTCTCCTTCGCTTTCTTCAGCTCCTCCTGGAGATCTTCAACCAAGTCACATTTTGCCTACAGGGAGCAGAATCTCCGGTAAAACAGAAAAAAACTTTTTAAAGGAGAAGATTACTGGCAGCAATGACACCAAAGCCGCTGTCCTTCCCTCTGGAGCCGGCAGGCCTGGACGAAACTGACGGAGGTCAACGCACACACACGTGCACAGCAAACCAAGGCAGCGTCAGAGGCCTTCGTCGTGTGCCAGGACTGGCGGCGGTGGCGGAGGAAGGCACGTCCCAGGGCTTCCTCCTGACCACCCCAGACAGAGCAGAGCCGCCCTCAGCAAAAAGACCAGAAGTCCCCGAGAGGAGCAAATGCTGCAATGAGCTCAAGTGTGTGGCCCTGCCGCATCTGTGTTCCATGATCTCCACAGAACCTGGTCATAAGACTGATGGACTAAAATTTAAACTTTTAGATTTATTTTAATTTAAATTAATTTTAAATTTAAAAAATTTTAACTTAATTTAAATTTTATTTTAATTAAAATTTATCTTAAATTTTTATCTTAAATTTAAAAGTTTAAATTTATTAAAGTATCTTGTGAAAAGGGAGGTGAATCACAAAGCTGACAGTAGGCAAACATTTCCATTTTCAAAAAAGGAAGGAAAGGAGGTCAATGAACGACAAAACATCATCGGAAAGAAACAAAAGTAAAACCGGTATTGAAGACTGACCTCAGCTTCTTATTTAAAAGTTAAGTTATGGGGCGCCTGGGTGGCTCAGTGGGTTGAGCCTCTGCCTTCGGCTCAGGTCACGATCTCAGGGTCCTGGGATTGAGCCCCGCGTTGGGCTCTCTACTCAGCGGGGAGCCTGCTTCCCTCTCTCTCTCTGCCTGCCTCTCTGCCTGCTTGTGATCTGTCTGTATCAAATAAATAGATAAAATCTTTTAAAAATAAATAAGTAAATAAATAAATGTTAAGTTATTAAAGCAGCACCTGGCTGGCTGTTAGTAGAGCATGCAACTCTTGATCTCAGGGTCATGAGTTCAAGCCCCACGCTGGGTATACAGTTTGCTTAAAAAAAAAAGTTAATAAAAGTACGTTTAGGGTCATGCTTCTGGAGATGGCTGAGAAGCTCTAATCAGGCTAACCCTCCCAGAAGGTAACAGCTGTAAAGGCTAGAAAAAAACATAAGAAACTACCCAAAGGCCTGAGAGAGCATCTGTAAGCAGAGAGATTGTGCAGAAGGCTAGACACCCAGAAGAAAGAAATGGCACTGGGCAATTTCCCTGTCCATGCCATGCACACAGACATCCCACAATCCCATTTGTGTGAACAGAGGAGGTAGAAAGTGAGAGGCCAGAGAGACAGACCACTGCAAAATGTCTGCATTAACCCTTGCCTGCATCTCAGGCTGACTCCTGATGCACACACGTGTGGGCAGACGCCAAGAGCAGAGCAACACGGGGAAGACGTGGTGTGGAGTCAGAGTATGCCCAGTCAGCTCCCTGCTAAAATGAAAAACTCACACCCTTCCGCAGTGTGTAACAGAATCCAGAGTCTCCACAATTGTCTCCCTCATGACATCCAGAAAACAATCCAAAATTAGTTGATATACAAATAAGCAGGAAATATGACCCATGCTAAAAAAAAAAAATGCAATCACTGGAGAACCCCAAAATGACACAAATGTTGAATGGCAGACAATGATTTTAAAAGCAGAAATCCTAACTGCATTTATGGGCGTAAGAAAAACATGCTCATGACGAACAAAAGAATAGCAAATCATGGCAAAGAAAAAAGACCCTCTTAAGAAGTGGATGGGGGAAAAAAAAAAAAAAAAACAACCGAACAGAAATCCCAGAACTAGAAAGCATAGTATCTGAAATTTTAAAAATCATTGGATGGACTTAAAAGCATATCAGACGTATCAAGAGACCATGAACTGGAGACCAACAGAATCAAACCAACAGGAAGGGAGCAGACCAGACAGAAATCAAACAAACAGAACCTCAGACACTGAAAGACAGAACATCCACGTGAACGGAGTCCAAGAGAAAGGAGAGAACGGAGCAGAAGTAAGAAACTGAAAATCATACTTGGTAAAAATTTCTCAAATTTGGGAAAACACATAAACATACAGCAGAATACTCTGTAAGTCACTAAAACAGGCCACCTTTTCAGTAGTGCCATTATTAAATATAAGAAAAAATAAGGTCAATTGAGTATAAGGTTTTGTTTTCATTTTTTTAGGTAACTATGTCAGAATCAATTTTATGTACTGATTTTAAGAATTTCATGAGAGGAAAAAACATCCAAGAAAATCACACGTAGGCACACCATGGTAAAATGACGGAGAATAGGGGTGCCTGGGTGGCTCAGTGGGTTAAGCCTCTGCCTTTGGCTCAGGTCATGATCTCAGGGTCCTGGGATCGAGTCCCACATCGGGCTCTCTGCTCAGCGGGGAGCCTGCTTCCTCCTCTCTCTCTGCCTGCCTCTCTGCCTACTCATGATCTCTGTCAAATGAGTAAATAAAATCTTCAAAAAAAAATGAGAATAAAAGATAAAGAGAAAAGCAGTGAAAAGAAAATGACACATGACATTCAGGGTAAGACTGATTTCAGTGATCACAGACTCATCAGAAATAAGGTCATAAGTGAACATCTTTAAATCCTGAACAAAAACCTTGCCTTCTATATGTAGCAAAAAAATTTCTTCACGAAAGACGGCAAAATAGAGACTCTCAGGTCAAAGAAAACTTGCGAAGAAAACAGGCGCAACATGGAAGGCTGAAGGAAAGTGAGGCCAAAGGGAAACTCCTATCTTCCGGAGGAAAGAAAGAGCGCTTTAGTGTTGTGAATCCAAGACCACTTTCCCTTTTAATTAATCAAGGACCCATGATTGTTCAAAGCAAAACTTCTATAGTGGAATCTAACCACAAAGACAGACGTGACACCCGTCAGCGTGGTAGCACAGAAGACAGCAGACGACAGACGCAGTTGGAGCTCACCTTCTAGCCGCACGGCGACCGTGCACCTCTGAGAAGACTGTGAGAATGAGTCTAGCCCCGAAAGCAATCATTAAACACATGACGCAAAGAAATAGGACTTCGAAATCAACAGATACATTAAAATCAATTCTAAAAATTAGTCCAATTAATTAATCCAATCCAATTAATCCAATTAACCAATCCAATTCTAAAAATAATACAAATAAATACAAAATAATCCAAATAATCCAAGTAAATAAATACTCAAACAATCTGAAAGGCCAGAAAGAAGGAACACGGGGAACAGAAAGAAACACGCACACACAGAAGAGAGTAAAACGTAGACACTGCTCCAACCAGGTCAACAACAAAACGAAATGTGACAAACTAAACGCTCCAACTGAAAGGCAGGATTTGTCAAAAAGGATTTTAAAAATATTCCACTGCAGGGGCTCCTGGGTGGCTCCGTCGGTCAACCGTTCGCCTTCAGCTCAGGTCATGGTCTTGGGGTCCTGGGGTCGAGCTGGGGGTGGGCCCCCTGCTCAGCAGGGAGTCTGCTTCTCCCTCTCCCTCTGCTCTTCCTCACCTCCCCGACTTGTGCTCTCTCTCTCTCTCTCAAATAAATAAAATCTTAAAAAAGATATTCAACTATACGTCACGCACACGTGTAATATGTTAAAAAGTATGTGGTCTCTGTCCCTTGTTCCTGACACACAGCTGCTAAAGCCCTTGGAATTTCTGGCACCATAAGTGTCTTTTGTATGCTAATGAGATGACAAGTGGCTGAGGACCTCTGGGTGGCTTCAGGGTGGAAGCTGGTCCCCAGAAAATCAAGGCGAGATCACAGGGTTGGAAATTCCAGCTCCACCGCGGCCTCCGAAGCAGAGAGATGGAGACGGAGTTCAATCACCAACGGCCAGTGATTCAGACATGCCTGTGTTACGGAGCTTCCGTAAAAAGTCCCAAATGGTGGGCCTCGGAGAGCTGCCAGGCGGGTGCACACGCTGGGGGCTGAACGGTGGCAGGACAGGAGTGGGCGTGGAAGCTGCCTACCACGGGCGCCTCGCCCCACGCCTCTCTTCCCTTTGGTCGCTCTCGTTCGCCTCCGTCCTAAGACACTGGTATTAGGACACTGTTTCCCTGAGCTACTGAGCCTGAAAGGGCTGTGATGGGCGGGGGACTATCCAGACCCCGAAGCCGAGTCAGACCGAGATCCGTGGGTAACCTGGGGACCCAGTAACTGCCAACGGCTCCTGACGTGGGGGCCGTGTCCCAGGACTGAGCCCTCAACCCGCAGGCGCCGGCACTAAGTCCAGGTGGTCTCTGGAGACTCCAAGCAAAACGGACAGAAAAGGGTCCGCCGTGCCAACGGAACGTGCGTGAAGGCCGGAACGCGGCACTGGTGAACGGGAAGGCAGGCTGCGGCTCAAACAATGCTACGGAGTGAAGCGTGACGTGGGGGACACTTAGCTCGCCGAACACTCAGGACGCTGGCGAAAAAGACCCGCTCTAACAACTCCAACCCAAAGACGAGCCACTCCCCGCACTGCGTATACAGTGAAACGTGCCAGGAGTCGGGGGAGGCCTACACGCCAGACCTCTGCCCACGGGGGTGGTGCGCAGGCTCTCCTCGCGCCCACAGAACACCCCACAGCCACACAACCGACAGCAGAAGAGCCCAGGAGCCCAATACCACTGGGGACCCCAAGGCGCACGGGGCCGGCCGCGGGCCATGCCAACCAGCCTGCCGCCCGTCTGAGGACGTCCAGCCAGTCCCTGACCCTGGAGGCAGGGGGAAGGAGCAACAAGGAGCCAGACCCTGACTCGGCTCGAGTGGGGCCCTGTCCTGACCCCACTTCTGCACTAGGTCAACCGGGCCGCAGGCAGCAGGGAGACGGAGCGCGGGGACCTGCGGGGCCCTCGCAGGAGTCTGCCGCCAGGGGAGCCAGAACCACACTTACCCTCTCCAAGTCCTCCTTCAGGCTGATCGCGTGCTGCAACTTCTCGTGTAAATTTCTGTTTTCTAGTTTCAAGACATCAATTTCTTCCTTGAGCTCCGTCTGAAGAAGTGAGAGTTTAAGCTTGTGCTCAGTTTCCAAACCCGAGACTCTGGCTGCCACCTCGGTCTCCACCTGCGAGGCCATGTCCTGCACACACGGGAGAGGTGCCCGAGCGAGCTCTGTGAGGGCACAAGAAGCAGGGAGGACAGTCAGGCACGCACCTCGAGGGCACCACACACAGCACGGATGACAACGCCTCGCACGACACAGACACCTGGAGCTCTGCCAAGCCCTGGGGGAGCCCAGGCAGAAGCGCCCTGGGCTGCCCCGTCCTCAGCTGCCCGTGCTCCTTCAGAGCCCACTCCATCCCACCAGCTGGGGTATCAGGGTACTGTTTTCAGCTGTGGGGACTAGGCTGGGGGGACCCCTCCCGGGACGGTCGGCTCAGGACTCATCACCTCCCTGGGCTCAAGAATGAGCTGAGCAGCGGCCAGAAGTGCACCGTGCGCGCCCGTCAGCAGCCAGTGACCACAGCATGTGCAGCGGCTGAGAACAAGCTCCCTCGCTGGGAGGAGAGCAAGAGGCAGAAGCCAAGTCAACGTGACCTTGGCACTCACGAGCCATTGTCCTTCCCTTAGCCCGTCTCAGCAGCTCCAAGGGAGCCCTTGTCCAGAGCAGGAAGTCGTGTCAGAGCCCCCCACCATGGAGCCAGACCCCCACACCCTCGCCCTGGGACCCTCCACCTCGCCACCCCTCCTGGAATCCGTGTCCAGGGCTGGCCTCGCACCGGCTCCCCTCAGCAGTGGGGCCCCTGCCTGTCCCCCTCTGCTGCATCTGCTGGGAGGACCTCCGCCTCTCATCCACCCCCATCTCCTGTGACCCCCCAGTGCTGCACCTGGTCAGGCCTGAGCCCAGCTCTGAACTCTGAGGACACCACCAGGGAGGGTCTGTGGAGTGAGAGGCTGGGATGTCCAGATAACCCACGTGGGAGCCCCCAACCTTCCCACACATCGCTCCCTGCGGGCCGAACCACAGGTTCACACACCTTCGCTGGGCCCTTCTGAGAGCCCCACACGTTGCTCCCCTTCCAACACCGGGGTCCCTTCGAGGCCCACCTCCTGCCGGGCTTCCAGGGAGGACGGGCTCCGGTGGTTTTCTTCTAACTGCGTGTACAAATGCAGGGAAAAATCACACACAGGAAATGTTACAAGGGGTCTCTTTAGCCCGTCACCAATCACTGCCTCCCCCGGAACCCTCGCGGGGCCATGCACGCTCACGCCGTCTCCCCCATCCTCAGCGTGTCACCTCCGGGGATCCAAGCAACTCCGGGAGGCGGCAGACCACAGCCCTGAGGAGACAGGGGCACACCACCGGCTGGAGAGCCCTCCTCACTCCCGTGCTGTCCTCATCGAGGCCAACACGGGGCCCCAGCTGAGGGACGCCAAGCAGGCCGCCGCGAGCCTGACCAGAACATTCACGAACATGAACTGCCGGCAGACCCTGACCACCAGACCCCCTCCTCCCAGGGCCGGGGCCTTGGCCAAACACACCCTGCTCCACTGCGGGGCCCCAGCACACTCACTCCCAAGCCCCCTCACTCCCCACTCCGTGTCTCCCCACGCACTCCCCACTCCGTGCACTTCCCCTTCTGGAGGCAGACATATGCCTGGCCTGCTTGGGACATGGACCTGCCCCCAAGAGGAAGGGGCCCCCAAGGGAAGGGTGTCTGGGCACTGCTGAGAGCACCTGACAACAAGCCCAGTACCCTGAGGGAAGGGAGGCGGGAAACAAGGAAAGGGCTCAGTGCACGTGCTAAACTCTCCTATTCCCCTTAAAATACAGCCAGTAAACCCGTTTTCCTCAAGTACCACGGAGCAGTCACACCGACCTCAACTTCCAGCTCACGATAAGGTCACGTTATCTTTTAAAGCAAGACTCGAATCCCTGCGCTCTTACACAAACGAACCACTTGAGTGACAGGAGGAATCGAGTCCAGAAGCGCACTTGTGCCCCGGGGACAGCTCAGCACACAGGCTGTGTTTTAACAGGTCAGGCCTGAGAGAGTGAGCTGCCGTTCGGAAAGAGGTGACAAGCTCAGAGCCTACCCCTCTGGCTGGACAATGACCAGGCTCCGGGTGGACAACGAAAACTCAAAGACTTTAAAATTAAATTAAAATCAAAAAAGGGGCGTCTGGGTGGCTCTGTGGGTAAAGCGTCTGCCTTCGGCTCAGGTCATGATCCCAGGGGCCTAGGATCGAGTCCCGCGCTGGGCTCTCTGCTCCGCGGGAGCCTGCTTCCCCCTCTCCCCCTGCTTGTGTTCCCTCTCTCTCGCTGCCTCACTCTCTCTCAAATAAAATCTCTAAAAACATGTAAGTGAAAGGAGAGAACGAAGTAAAAGCGTCAGAAGGCAACGCAGGAAATGGTGGGCACTCAAAAAGGAGACAAAGAGCAAAGGGCCAGGGGAGGACCCACAACCGCAGACCCAGGCCCGTGAGCACCAGCACGAAAAGGGCCACAACCAAGTCCAAAGGCGAGCGGGGCAGGCCCTCCAAACCGCAGGGGACGGGGGACAAACGCCAGGAGAGCCACGGTGTGCAGAAAGAGCTTCCAGGGGGACACGGTCAACTTCAAGTGAAAACAGGTTTGACCTCGTTGGAAACCACGGAAACACAAACTGCAAACACACCGGCTGTCCCTCGGCGAGGAGCACACACGGGCGACTTCCAGCGGCGGCGGGGGGCCCTGGGCTCCCACACCCCCTGGGGGAGTTCCACCAGATGCCCGAGGAGGGCACGGCGGCCTGTCAACACTTCACACGCGTGCGCGTGCGTGCAAACAGGTGTGCGCACACACCGGACTTCCCACAAACACACACGTCCCATCACTCTCCTTTCCCTGCCTTCCTGAAACGTCACGAGAGGCAACAGGAAGGGGTTCAAGACACCAAGGCTGGCCAACCTGGGAAGACAAAACTCAGTGCTCACAGCACCGTCTGGGGCTCAGGGGCAGAGGGGCTGCGTGCAGGCAGGACCTGTGGGCCGAGGCTGGCTGTCGGGGGGCCGGGGACCCGGCCATCTAAGGCTGGACCCCAGAGGGAGCTCTGCCACTGGTCTCCCTGACACCAGGGGTGCCTCATGCCGCCTGTGATGACAAGCCCTGGACCAAAAACCAACACAGGGGACCCTGACACCCAAACAGAGGGACAGACGGACGGAAAGCAGGACACACGGGAAGCATGAGAAACCCTTTAGCACCGAGGGCCTCCAGAGAGGTGTGTACGAACACTGCGCCCGTGGCACAGACAAAAGAAGAAAGCAGAACCCCCAGAAATCAGAATCGACAACGGAAAGAGACGTTTGCTACAGAATGAGAACACAGCTCATGAGAGCCACCAGGAGAGCACGCGGGGGGCGCTGAGGATTGCAGACAGGACCGGCCTCCCGGCCGCGGAGGCACAGTCGGACGCAAGGCCCTCCCCCACGGCCAGCGGGAACGGTGGACGCACATGCCGGAGCTGCTCCCTGAAAGCTCCAGGCAGCTCACAGGGGTCCCGGGGCTGGGGGTGGCGTGGCGGCTCACAGGAGGATCAGCGGGATAGAGGGACGGCGGCTCTCCATGGCGCAAGCACGAGAGGACACACAACACGTGCCAGACGTTACACACGCCAAACACACACGAACGAAATAAGCTCTCAGAGGGCTCCCCTCACGCGCCCTTGCGTCTGCACAGGGGGAACAGGTGCAGCCAAGAGCGGGGCCACGTGCAGACACACACCTGCTCCCCAGGCAGCAGGGACCATCCAACCAGAATGCAGAGTGACCCCAGGACGACAGCAGGCGGGGGCCCAGAGGGCAGGACAGGGCCATGGACAAGGACCCGGAGGCTCTGCCGTGGCGGCCACACCACGCCCAGCGGGACACACGAGAAAGGAAGTGGAAGGGAGGGAACCACCGCCACACCGCGCTCCTGTCCCCAGGAAGTCATCGCAGGCAGAGAGACAGTTAACAACGGGAAACCGGAAGCGGCCAGTTGAACAGGATCAACTGTGACCCCAAAATTCACATGTCGAAGTCTGAACCTCCAATGCCTCAGAATGGGGCCATGTGGAGACCGGGACACCGGGACACACCGCCAACCTCCTGACCAGGGAGCCTGAGGGCGGCCGACCGCAAGCCAAGGACACGGGGCTCAAGAGAACAGCCCCGAGCTCCCGCTCCCAGCCTCCAGATGACGCGTCTCTGAGAGGACACATTTCTGCCGTGTAACCGTCCGGTCTGAGGTGCACTCGTGACGGCCGCCCGGGGTGACTGCGAACTACTGATGCGGACGCTTGTCCTCGTGGGGCCTCCATCATCCCACACGCCACCTGCCCGGGGTGACAGCCACGAGACCCGGGTCACCGACACCCACGCATCACCATAAGTAAAGGGACGCTCAGGAGACAGGACACCACATCTCAAGTGCACATAGCCCGGGCGTCCGCGGCCTGACGGTCGGGCCGAGAGGATGCGGCGCACACGACCGAACATTCCTCAGCCACGAAGAACAAGCCATTGGTGACAACGTGGACGCACCCCGAGGGGAGAAGCAGAATAAGTCGGAGAGAAGCACGCCCCACGTGACGTCACTGCCCCGTGCGACGCTAACCGAGCTGACGGATACAGAGTGGAGGCGCCAGAGGCGGGGGCGGGCGTGGGCAGAACGGGAGGGAGGGTCAGAGGCCACGAGCCTCCAGTCACAGAACAGAGTCTGGGGGTGCAGCGCTCGGTGACCAGAGACAGGGCTGTACTGGACACGCGGGAGCGGCTAAGACGGTAGATCCTAAAAGTCCTCGTCACAAGAAGAAGAAAGTCTGGAGCCCTGGGGTTGACAGGCATTAAGGAGACCGAGGGGCAGTCACCGGCAACACCCGCAAATGCCAGCACCTCGTGCTCCTGAAACGAGCGCTCCGCGTCCGCTCCCTCAATGCAGGGAAGAGGGGCCGTCCCCTCCGGCTGAAGGCGGGGTCCCCCGAGGTGCTCTCTCCCTTCTCCAGTCCTCTCTTCTAGAAACACCCCGGGTGCACTAGGAGAGAAGACCCATTTTAAAACCTCCTCGTACGCCCTTTCCCTCCCTGCTCCCTCCACAGCGACCCCCCCCCACCCCAGTCAAGGATGGGAGCCCTGGGCCGAGCAGGCCGTGGCTGTGGGACCGCCTGGCGGGACCCCGTGCTGGAGCAGAGGGGACCCCGGAGCTGCAGGTCCCATGCGGCTCCTCGTCTGAACCTTCTCCTGCTTGAGGCTCAAGCAGCAGCTGTTTCTAAAACACGAGGCTCCCAGTCTCCATGGGCAGGAAACCACAAATAAAACCAGACTCCAATTCAGCTCAAAGGCCCCGTATTTTGAGAACACACCCAAGACAAAAGGCCCCGTGCACCTGACTTGCGCAGACTCAGGAACAGACTCCTCTCGCTGCTGCCGCCACCGCGGGTCCCGCCTCCGGTGCTCCCGCTCCTCCCCGTGAGGCGTGCGGGCAGGGAGCTGGTCGTGGAACGCTTCAAGGGGAAGGAATTCCGCAGTCACTTCCAGGGCAGACACGGAGGACGCATCAGGACACACTGCAGACCTCAGCTCCGGGAAGGCCCCGGTCCCCGTGAAGGCGCAGCGGGACCCTCTGCGGCTCACGCCGGGCGGTATCTCACACGGGGAGCTGGCCGGGGCGACCTCAGCAGAGCCCGTGGGCCCCCGGAAGCAGAGCACTTCTCGGGCTGGCGCTGCGGGCATCACAGAGACCAGAAATGCCAGCGGGTCTCCCCGGGCGGCTGGGGCCGCAGAGCAGGGATGTGGGCGGTCCCCAGGGCCTGAGAGCCCCGGCCGACGGCCAGCAAGGACACAAGACCTCGGCCCCCTACCACAGGGACTCATCCTGCCCCAGCCGCTGTGAGCCACGCCGGGCGCCGCCAGCACCTTGATTCCGGCCGCGGGTGACCCTGGACAGAAAACCCGGTCGCGCCTCCCACCCAGACCAGCGCAGCACCAGCCACTACGGAGAGTGCGGCTCCCAGCCCTGCGTCTGTGGCATTTCGCTAGCAGGAGAACCGGATCGGACGCCGACCGCGAGAAAACGTATCGGCATCGCCGTTTCCAGCACGAGGGTACGTCCAGCCACTTAACAATACCGTGGACGGGAACTGGTCACTACCCGGAAGTTTCAAGACAAACGTCCCAGGAAGGACCCTGGAGGCCAGCGCAAGGCTCCCCACGGGCCGGGGAGAGCCGAGTGCAGGAGCTCATGCGGCAGCGTCCGCAGAGCGGGGAACCGCAGCCCCACCATGGACAGGCTCGAGGCAAAGACCAGGTGTGAGCGGATGGGCATGGCCTCGCCCACCACACGGGCTCTGGCCCTTCCTCCCAGCCCTGCTCTTGGCCCCCAGTGATGTGTGCCCGGCAAGGCTGACCCCCGGACTGCAGAGGCTCCACGTGGAGAGCAGCAGGAGGAACACACGAGTCCGCCTGTCTTGCCCGCGTCCCCCGACATCCCCGCTGGAGGCACGGCCCGCGAGCAGGGACCCCTCTCACAGAGGGTCCACAGGAGGAGCCAGGCGAGCCGCTGGGCCCGGCCGACGTGGGCAACCCCCTCGGGGCCACAGGAGTCCGAGAGCACCTGCCCCAGGCAAGCTCAGGGGTGCAGGGGCGCAGTGGGATGAGGAGCGCTGGCACCCCGCCCATACGGCTTCTCGGTGAGGGCCAGCCGGGCTGTAAGCCTCGCCGGCCCCCCTCTGCAGATGCCTCACGGTAGGTGAGCAACACCGCGACACTGCCGCCCCCGGCTCCCCGGTGAAGCCAAGGCCCTCGGGTTTGCGCCTGAAAACCACATGCCGACCTCCAGCAGCTTGCAAAGCCGCTGTCCATGTTACAACTGTCACGGCCCCGTGGAAACACCGCGTTCGCTTCCGAGGATCTGAGCTCTGAACAGCAAATGCCTCACCGCTCGGGTCCTGACTGTCGGGTCCCGGAGACTCGAGCTGGGACCACAGGCGCCGGATCTCTTCCTGCGACTGGGCCTTCAGCGTGGCGTACGACGCTCGGAGGCTCTCTAACTGCAAGAGGAAGGCTGCGGCGTGAGACGCCGCCCGAGACCAAGCCCAGAAGGTCTGTGCCCAGCTCTGGGGCACGCGGGGTGAGACCCCAGGCCTGCAGCCAAGAGTGAACCAGCCACAGCGGCCGCACACGGCTCATTCCTCACGCGCCTTTCCCCGCTCGCTGCCTGGCCTTGCCCTCGCTGAGTGAGGACAGAAACTTTCTCTGTTGTCCTAGACACACGTCCTTCTAACTTGGGGCAGGGAGGGCCAGGCTCCTGCCCACACTGCTGGTCAGCACCAGCCTCCCGGGAGTCCCTCCATCCTCCTCCTGGGGCACGGTGGGGTGTTCTCTGCATTTTTCGGTTACCCCCCACCCCGGGAAGGGTCTCTTCAGGGGTGAACAGAGCCAGCCAACCCTGCACCCACGGAACTGAGAGCAGCTACCACTGCCTTCACGGGGGGCTTGGGGTCAGGCTGCACGTGGTCCCAAGGCACCAAGTGGGTGGGTACAAGTGCAGGGCTCAGGGCTGAAGGACAAGCCCTGCCAGAGGGGACACAGGACGTGGGAGCTCCGGCCTGCAGTGCCCCTGAGGTTGGCCTGCTGCCTTGCGGGTGGCCCCATGCAGGGACAGGACAGAAGGTGCCCTTCCGCGTTCCTCTTCCATCAGCAAGGGAGAATGAGCATGGGGGTGATGGGGCAAGGAGGCCGGGAGTGGGTGTGGACACCACGGGGACAGAAGCACAAGGTCCTCCTGGGTTCTCTTCTGAAATCCGGGCACAGACCAACACGGACTCCGCCTCTGATTTCTCGGCCTGATGCTGGGGCACTGATGGCCCTTGGGACAGAAGCCCTCGGCTGTCTGGGTAAGATCTGACCACACTGCCCACCGTGGGAATGTGACGTCTCACTGGAAGAGAGTTCTGAACACACGAGCAGCGGAAGTGTTTCCGGCTCAGTCTCTTTGAGACTGCGTGTTTCTTTGGGTCAGTCAGAGAACCTGGCCTTAGACCCGTAATGCCTGGAGTCTGGGTCCCAGGGACCCCGGTAAAGAACACCAACTCTGCGTGTGTACGATGCAGCATAACTCACGCCAGCTCTACACGCTGTCCTCACTTCTCCATCTACTAGAAACCGACGGGCTCTAAATCTACTAAAGTTTGAGCTAAGGCCAGAACGTGAAACGATCCCACCCAGAATCTTCCAAAGCCTCCCCTCCCTGCCGAGCGGCTGACACACACACGCGTCCCTGCCCACCTCGAGCTGCTTGGCCACCTCCTGGTCGCGGAGCCTCTGCTCCAAGTCCCGCACGTGCCGACCGCTCTCGGACTGCAGGTCCTCGCGCAGCTGCCTCAGGGCCGCGTCCTGCTGGGTCTCCAGAGTCCTCAGCGCACCTGGGCACACACCTCCCTGAGCACGTGGCCTTCCCGACCACGTGGGAGCACGGCTCCTTCCAGACCCCACGGTCCCAGCACTCTGCTCTCCTGGGGAGCAACCCAGACAGCCACCACCTCCTCACCATGATGGCACCATGTGATGGGCGACAAGAATAGAACATGAACAACAGCGGCGTTGCTTTCCTAACAACCATCACAGAACGTGGACAAACACCTCTGAAACCAAGGTTTCAGGGGAGGTCAGGGAGCCGGAGAAGCCTGTGCTCACCGAGGGGAGAGCCCAAGGCTGAGCCTGAGCCGCCCAGCGGACCCACTCCTGTCTCCATCGCTGTGGGCGACATGCAGCCGCCGCCCCTCTGGCAAGGAAATGCACATGCTCGTCCCCAGCAAGGGCCTGGCACCGCACGGAACTGTCCTTCTAGCAAAACACACACACACACGTCCCCTCTTCAAACCTGATTGTTTGAACTTAAAACTCACATTCAGCCTGATTTTTGGCTTGAAAAATCTTCTCCAATTCCGCTTTCTGTTCTGCCAGTTTGTTCTCAAACTGGTCTTGCAAATTCTCCACCTCCAACCGATGCTCTGCAGACAATTCTCTGCGTAGGTTTTCTAAGCATAACTCTCTCTCGGCTTCCCATTCTTGCTTCAGGTTCTAATGCAAGTGAGGAAAAAAAAACTATGGGCCAATGGTGGACGATCTGTGGTAAAAAAATTTAAACTGCACTCGAAACCCAGGTGTGGACAGTCACTGCACCCAGACCAGACTGTCACTACAGGAAGCTGGATGGCCCCCACCACCCACAGGGACAGGAGCAGAGACAGCAAGGGACACCTGCCCGGAAACGAAGCGAGGGCAGAGGTCATGCTCAGTAATTCTCACACACACACACACACACGCGTCCTCCACAAAAGACCCAAGATGCTACAGTGATGTCACCTGACCTCTGCCAAGGGCTGACTTTGTCCCAGATGCCCTAAGAAATGAGTCCCTGCTGTCCGGCACAGAGGGGTGGGAGCTGGGGCACAAGCCTCCCGCCTGGGACTAACAGCTGTCCTCCACCAGCTACCTGATCAGAACAGCTAGGACACAAACGCCCATGTGCCCAGTGTCAGACGCGTGTCCCCTAATGTCAAACGTCCCCCAACACCAGCCACTTGCTCTGCGGTCACTGGCACCAACAGCCCTTCCACAAATGCAGCCCCGAGAAAGGGACACATGGCCAGGATGGAACGTTCCAGGGAGGGGCTTCTTCAGAGAGGAGCTAACTCCGTCCCACCCTAACACAGAACTCTTTCTCCAGGAGGGATGTGGGGGAGTCAGCGGGACCACCGCAGAATGCACAGTCAGCACAGCACATGGGTCAGCTGAGGCATCGGCCGCACAGCGGCTCTGCCCCACCCCTCCCCAACACGGTCCCCCGAGGCGCCTGGGACCGGCACCCCACGTTTTAGTCAGTTGCCACAGGGCACCTCCCTGCCCTGGGATGTCCGTCCGACCCGGCGCACAGCGACAGCCAGGCCACAGGGCCCCCTAGGAATCAGAGCTCAGGGTGCAAGCGCTTCCTGTGACAGCAGAAGCACACGTGACCCACACGAGCCGCGCTAACACCCTGTACACAGGAAGGAATGCTCTCCCTCTACAGCAAAAGGCATGTGTTTTCTACCAGCACGTTCAATTAGAGCTTTGACTGCATTCTGTCGGAATCAGGTGGGGGGCTCTCCTATGGGGACTCCGGGCCAGCTGGAGCGATGGAGGGCAAGGGGAACGCCGCACACGCAGAGTGACGTTGCTAACGACGTCTACCTCTAGCATCCGTGCGTTGTTCTCCATTTCTAACTGTAACTTCTCCTTCAGCTCAGCTGCAAGAGAAACATAAAAGCAGGTCAGATCACAGAGTCTCCGAGTTTCCCACACCCCCGCCACTCGCAGGGGAGAGGGCTGCCGGCACCTAAAGGCCACGCCATAGGAACGCTCGCCAACACGGAGAGGACGAGAAGGCACGTCCGTGAGGGAACAAGAATTCCACGTGTGACGTATCGACCAAATTCTATTCCTACCTAAACCAAGGACAGAGCCTTCAGCCAGCCTGACAGCCCCACGCAAGCTGGCACATGAGACCTGGGCGCCCCTTCTGGTCTGTCTGCCCCACACCGGGCCCCCACGCACCCTGGGCCCATCGCCCAGCCTCCCGCTGTGTCAGACTCCAGGCAAGGTATGAAAGACAGACAAAGACCTTCCAGGACCCATCAACTCCCAAGCCCCAAGGGAAGAACCACAAGAGAAGACGTGCAGAGGAGGGATGAGGCTGGACCAGTGGGCATGGCCTGGCAGGGACTGAGAGGTGTGCGCACACCTGGGGATGTGGGCACCAGGAAGAGACACAGGGACCTCAGGAAAGGGTGGAGGGGAGCTGGGGCCAGGCAACAACGGCACATATACAAAGTGAGGGTGGCCTGAGCAAGCCCAGAGCTCAAGCAAAGGCCAGACACCACCTCAGAGGGGAGGTCACAGGTGCCCAGCCCATGGCAGAGCCTCATGGAGCACAGGGCAGGTGTGGACCCCTCTGTGGTCCCATTCCCCAGGGTGAGCAGAGAGAAGACAGCATTGGAAGGAGCCTAAAGGAAAGCATGTTTTGTATTTTTAAAAAATGAGCCAAAATGGGGGGACATAAAACTACTTATGTTTGCTTGACTCTACATAAGGAAACATGGGACGGTATCCCCGGAGCATGAGAAGACTGGCTCCCTCTGAGGGCTAGGGGTGGGACCCAGAAGAGGGCGACTTGCAACACACCCAGGCTGCTGTTTTCAATTTTTCAAGTGAAAAACTCGACCAGCAGGTGAGCAGAGAAATGGGGGTGACCGCGTGGGCACGAGTTTCTAACCTTAGACTATGGGACGTTTGCGTGACTCTGAAATGCACACTTTAAATGGGAAAATTGTATGGTATGTGAATTAGAACACAATCAAGCTGGTGTTCACAAAACTGTTGTCTTCAAAAGTAGTGACTAACAAAGAAATTGGAAAAAACCATTAAAACATAAAATTCGGGGAAAATAACCCATAAAATTCAATCTTAGATGTAGAGAAAGAGCTCAGTCTAGGCCGGAGAATCACCAAAGGAGCAGGTGCCTCAGCTGTCCCCCGGGAGTGACACGGCCCCACCAGGAAGAGGGAGGAGCCGTGGGATGCGGGGTCTGTGTCCAGGAGCATCTGGGGTGGTCAACAGTGCTCGGCCACAGACAGTCCCACCAGAGGCGGACACGGAAGCTTCCGGCACACAAGCAGATCACCTCCCATGACAGGACCCCGCTTCAGAAACGCACACAAGCCCAGGGGAGAAGCGGACAGCGGGCGAGGGGACCGCAGAGCCCCGCCCCCAGCAGGGTGCCCTGCACACTCTCGGGGAGCTCGGGATGGGACACCTGCCCCTGGCCGGGTCACCAGCCTGCCTCCCCAGAGGTAGCCGTGGGCGCCGAGCCCCGGGGCCAGGCCGGGACGGCCGCACCTGTCTCCTGGTGGCAGCGCAGCTCCGTCTCCTCGCGCTCCCGCGCGTGCTGCTCCCGGGCCCGCGCCTGCTGGTGCTGCTGCTGGCTCCGCAGCAGGGCCAGCTCCTGGGCGTGACGGCCGTTGAGCGCGGCCCGCAGCTCAGTCAGCGCGGCCTCCTTCTCCCTCTGCAGGGTGGCCTGCATGCGCTCCAGCTGTGCCGCGTGCATGTTGCTCAGACTCAGGCGCAGCGCCTCCAGCTCCAGCGAGGGCACCGGCTGCGGGACAGGGGCGTTTCAGGGCGCTCCGGCACACGGCCCGCTGGGGCCGGGGTGCCAACTCGCGACAGCAGCAGCCCCCCCCCCGCAGGCTCTCTCCAACCGCGTCCCGGGAGCCTCGCGCTCCAGGGACAGTACCAGCTCAGCGCCCCACAGGACCTCAGGCGGCCGGGCCCAGCCTGGTGGCTCCCCAGCCACCTGAAATGGCCCAACCGGCCGTTCCTGAAGCCGCTCTGGCCCACAGGGCCCTGCCTCCACCCAAATTCTCTCTGCAGACAGTAGGGGCTGCAGTTCCTCCTCGAGGACACAGGCCACACGCAGCCATGCAGGATAGCCCCCAACCTCCTCCAGGCAGACTCCCCAGCCAAGAGGCCCATCCTGGCTGGAGACAGGGGAGCAGTCATTCCAGATGTTGCAAGACCCCCATCAGATGGGGCGCCTGGGGGGCTCCGTGGGTTAAGCCTCTGCCTTCGGCTCAGGTCATGGTCTCAGGGTCCTGGGATCGAGCCCCGCATCGGGCTCTCTGCTCCGTGGGGAGCCTGCTTCCTCCTCTCTCTCTGCCTGCCTCTGCCTACTTGTGATCTCTGTCTGTGAAATGAATAAATAAAATCTTTAAAAAAAAAAAAAAGAAGGCCCCCATCAGAAACATGCGACAATAACCAGAATACAGACAGGAGGCGGCTCTGGACGGTGACTGCCAATGCCGGAACAACGTGAGGCCAAAGAGAGCCCAGCAGTGGCTGAGTGAGTGACACCGTCAGGAATCCCAGGCTCCAGACCAGAGACAAGTGAGCTCTGCACTTCACCGCTCTGGAAGGTGGGCAGAGGGGACAGAGGAGAGGCTTCTGTGCCTAGCTAAGCTAGGGGAAATCTGTTGCCCCTTCCACTGCCTGGGTGAATCTGGAAGGCCAGAGTTCCAGGAAGCATACTTATTCCCAACTAACACTAACAACAGAAAAACACACTTAAGGGACACCCAAAAAGCATAAAAATAAAATGAATAAAGGGGGGTCACCGGGGTGGCTCAGTGGGTTAAGCCTCTGCCTTCGGCTCAGGTCGTGATCTCAGGGTCCTGGGATCGAGCCCCGCATCGGGCTCCCTGCTCAGCGGGGAGCTTGCTTTGCCCCCCTCCCTGCTGCTCTCCCTGCTCATCCTCCTTCTGTCAGTCAAATAAATAATTAAAATCCGTCAAAGTAAATAAATGAAATGGATAAAGGAAAGCAGTAAGCAGAAACCATGGGACAAGAATGTGTCTCCAGAGAGGTCAGCAGGGACCTCCAGCAGGACAGCAAGGCGACAGTGAGGTGGAGGGTCGTGCACCAGCCCTCCTGCCACAAGCACCTCCTGCTTCCCGGAGGCGGCAGCCACCAAGGAAATCAGATGTGCCTGCAGGATGGCCTGGCTCACAGCTCCTCTCCATCGAGGCCCCTCAGGACCACGCACCCCCTGTGTTTAATGAATACGAGCGGCAGCTGATAGGGAAACCGCTGGCTGTGCTATGAGTGGCCCTTGGCCAGACTCACCACCCCCAGGTGTCCTCGCACACCTCTCCACCTGCCCTTTCAAAGCCCCCCCCCCCCCCGCAGCAAGCCTGCAGCACAAACCTGTACTACCTGCAACCTTCCCAGATCCCCAAACCCACTGGCACAAATTACAGGGCGAGTGCGCAGGGACCAGCCACACCCCCAAGCATCCCATCGCCAGGTCTGCAGCTGCACCTGCTGCGTCTCCGTCGGCGGCTGAAGCCCCACGGCCACCTGCTGCTGTGCGCCAACGGCATCCTTCTGTCTTCTCGTCAGTTCCGCAAATTCCAGCTTACGTTCTTGTTCGCATTCCTAAAGAAGGAAAGCGAGGGACGTAAGCCAGAGAATTCACATGAGAAAACAGTCACTACAAACACTCAGGACACACCAGAGGGAACTGAGCCCAGCAGTGTTCACGGCAGCACGACTCACAGCTGCCAGAAGGTGGAAACAACCCAAGCGTCCACACACAGCAAACGCACAAACAGAACGTGGAAAAGCCATCGGGGCTGGGGGGAGCATCACTCTGCTATAAGAAGGAGCTACGACACTGAGAATCTCAAAACGTTAGCCTCCGTGAAAGCAGCCAGACACACACTGTGCGGTTCTGCGAACATGAACTGTCCAGAACAGGCAAATCCACAGGGACAGAATGATGGCCAGTGGGTGCCAGGGGCCGGACGGACAGAGGAATGGGGAATGACTGCTAATGCGTATGAGGCTCCTTTCCGGGTAATGAAAATGTGTTGGGATTACACGGTTGTGATGGTTGCACAACAAAATGTATCAAAAGCCACTGGTATATATACTTTAAAATGATAAGTTTTATATACATGCATCGTATCTCAATAAAAGTAACTATGAAAGAACAATCAGGCTGTTTAAGTGGCTTAGAGTAAAGCAGAAAACCCCAGAGGTGTTGCTAACGGACAGCAGCGTGAGCTCCCCAGGCTATCTGCTCCTCAGTCAGGAGTGACGCTTACGGGCAGGAAGACGTACTTAAGACGCCTGCAACGGGTGGTACCAGTAAGAGCTCAATGAACCTGAAGAGGTAAAACTGAAATATCATTTTATAGCTAGTCAATCAGCAAAAGCTCGTGGTAATATTGATCCTCAGTGTCACCAAAGTCATGGGGAAACAACCAAACACGTCAATAGCAGAGTAAGTTGGTGTAACTTTTTCTTATGAGCAATTCTGACAACATATGTCAAGCGCCATAGAAAACGTTTCCGTCTTAATATTCCCAGGTCTGGGGGCACCTGGGCGGCTCAGGTGGTTAAGCATCCGACTCCTGATCTCAGCCCGTCCTGATCTCAGAGTCGTGAGTTCAAGCCTCACGCTGGGCTGCACGCTGGGCTCCACGCTGGGATCAGAGCCCACTTAAAAAAAATTTCCCAACTCCAGGAACATTTTCAGCATCAGCAATCCAAAGGGAAAAGAAAAGCTACAGGCTTTCTGTGAGCATCCCAGTCTCCCCTACCCTCCCCTGCAACCAGCCCCATGCCAGGCCTAGAGAAGACCTTGCCTGGACCATGCCCAGCCAGGAGCAGGCCCCGCCCCCCCAGAGCAGGCTGCTACAGCCACAGGCCTCCCACCTTCCCCTCCCTGACAGCCCAGACCTTTCTCTGGGGCTTACTGAAAAGGCACCTCAGACTCAAACCAGACTGAATTTTCCTGCCCAAGCCAGGGCTCCTCCAACATTATCCACTTCAGTTAACAGCACCCCCAAACCCTCACAGTCCTATTCCTGCCTCCCATCACAACAACCCCACAGCAGCCCAAGGCCAATCCTGGCCACCCTCCATTCCCATGAGCACAGGTGACTGGCCCCCACGGTCACTCAGCCTAATGTGAGGTCAGTGGCTTGGAGGCCAGATGATACATTCAGAGAACAAATCCAACCTTGTCACCCCCTTGAAAAACTCGGTGCATCTGCTGCTCTTGGGGAAAAATCCCTGAAGGGGGCAGTCCCTCCTGCTGTCCCACTTGGCACTTGCCTCGTGCACCAGGGGGCCCCTGAGCATATGGACCAGCTCTGCCTCCCCTCCTTAAGCTCCTCTGGGACTTCCCAGCCCTGATGCCCACCCCCGCTGCTCCCTGCAAATGTCGGCGATGCCCAGGGGTCTGCCCGATAGCTGTGAGGCACAGCGCGCCTCTACCTGTGTGGCTCACCGCGTGGAAGCAAACCATTCCAAGGGGAGTGTTAGAGCCCATTAAATATCACTATGGGTCCTTCTTCAAATTAAAGGGTTCTTTCCAATGGTAAAAGGTAATATAGGAGTGTCCAGTTTTAAACATAAAAGGCAGAATCTTAAAACATTTTTGCTACAAACATCAGAATTGTGGGATAAAATATAACAAAAATGACTCTAAATGCTCTCCAGGAGGGAACCCACCAGGTGCCAGACAGGAGGGACCCAGAATCTAAAATGATCTAGGGGGACAGGGACACGAGAGGGCAGCACACGCTCCCAGAACTGGCAGCTTTGCCGGGAGGGCAGTTAGAAATGAGATGTCGGACACAAGCAGGTGCCCTGAAGGCCTGTGCGGCAAGACAGGACGCATGTCTTCACTGCCCAAGGGTGGGAAGGCCAGGTGTGGGAGGCCAGGGAGCTGACCCACGTCCAGATGCCGAGGCAAAGGCAGCGAGGTGGGGGCGTCTCCCCTGAAACGTTAAAACCCAGGCCTGCTCATCACATGTTTACAAACGTATACATGCCATGAGATGCAGAAACCCCCACGCCAAGACACTGACGTAAAAACAAGTCCCAGCAAGGGCACACAGGTGGCTCAGTCCATTAAGTGTCTGCCTTCAGCTCAGGTCATGACATCAAGGTCCTGGGATGGAGTCCTGGGTCCAGTCAGGCTCCCTACTCAGCGGGGAGTCTGCTTCTCCCTGCCCCCCGCTTGCTGCTCCCCATTCTTGTGTGCGCTCTCTCTCTCTCAAAATCTTAAAAAGAAAAAAGAAGTCCTAGCAAAGGGCTGTTCCTGGGACACCTATCAGATACAAATCTGGCACCCGTCCGGAGGGGCTCCCACAAGCGAGGGACACAAGATATTCTCATGGGAACCACACAAACACCTCCATAAAAGCGAGCACACACAGGCTACCCCAGGAAGTAACAGGAACCTGCAGGACAAAATATTAAAGAAGACCTTCAGCAGTACCCGCAGGTGGTCCCCACAGAGGTATGCAGCCCCAAACGAGCCCAAGCCCTACAGTAACCTACAGAGAGGGACGGACCACACCTCTAAACACTGGGCAAAATTCAGACCAATTTGCTCATGAAAAGGTACAGCTGCACTTAAAACAAAATCAGCTTCAAAGTATCTCCAGGGAACGTTACATGACACAAAATGATACCGCTGTCTTTAAGGAGTCCAAACAGAATAGGTCCCGAAATACAGAGAGCAGAGCCAAAGTCAACACCTCAAGAGACGGATCTCGGAGCCGATGACACACAGATGAACAGAGTCAGTAAAGAAGAGAGAACCCAGATGAAATCTGTCAGGGTAACCAAAAGAAGGAACGTGCAGAAAAGAAGATGGGACAGGTGCACATGAGAGGAGCTCTGAAAACCGCCACTGGGATTTCGGGCCCCTAGAGAAAAAAGGGCCAGACGCTGTGTGTGGAGATGCCGCCTGGAGATCTTCTAGAAGCAACAGACACAAGAGCCCAGGTCCCAGGTCGCGCTAGTAAAATGAGATGTGCACATCTCGGCCTAGGAAAGTGAGAGTGTGGAAGGCCAAGCAGGAAGTGTGCAAGGCGGCGGCGGTGAAGGGACAAAGGTTCGGTGGGCTGGCTGTGGACACTGAAGCCGGGGCAGAGCCGGGCAAACACCCAGCATGCGACACACCACCACCCATCTCCGAGTCCACGCCGGCAGGGCTATCTTTCAGGAACAAAGGGAAAAAGCCAAAAATATATTCAGGAAAACATCAACTGGGAGCATGGGCGCAAGAAGGGTCTCGCCGCAGGAAATGCTAAAGAGTGTCCTGCAGACAGAAGGGCGAGGCCCGCCGTGCAAGCCTGAGAAAGAGCAAAGGAGGAAGAAAATGGACCTACAGTGCTAACCCTATACAAGAACTGACACTAAAAAATGAATGACTCCTTCCACCATGCGGAAGCAACCAGGTAAGCAGGTCAACGAGCACATCCACGCAGTAAAGCAACCAAAAGAAGGGGGTCCTACTGTAGAATCAGCCAGCACGAACCTTACGTCTGTTGTGCTACAGGATTCAAAAAGTCAGACCCAAAAGGCTACACATTCTAGGATCCCATCTGTACCACAGAAAAGGCAAAGTACAGAACGGACACAGGCAGGCAGTCACTCGGGGCTGGTGAGGGAGGGGAGGCTGACAGCGGGGGTGGGGGGCACAGGGAAACTTGCAGGGGTAGAGCTGTTCCGTGGGGAGCCCCATGGTGCCGGACTGGATCTGGGGCCAGCAGGACGCGCTCAAGCTTCCTTTAACAAGTGTACGTAAGGACAGACAGACACAGAGTTAACCGCAGTTAGTTGATAACCGCACGCGCACGGACTGGTGTGCCCACGCATCCGCTGACTGACCCAGCAGGGACCGCACCCGGCGCCTCAGTCTTGGTTTCTAGTAGCATCAAACGAAAGGAACCAGGGCCCCTCGAAGAAACGTGTGACTCCAGAACTGAGGCAGGGAGCGCAAGACGAGCCTGAAGAAAGCCAGAACGTGCTTCTAAGACAAAGGATGGGGCATGTCACCAGGACGCAGGGGCCGGACTGAAAAAGCTCCAGTGGCCCGAGCCGGAGCACTTAAAGCCACAAAAGAGATACGACGTAGCTTGAGGTTACAACAGAAAGTGTAACATAAATACACGTGAGCCCACGCGGATATCAATATGTGATTAAATTAATCAATGGGGGAGAAGAGGCAACTCTCCCTTACAGAAGCATCACAAACAGAATGTGTGGCTGCCCCTCCCTGTGGGAGGCGGCACGTAATTTCTGTCCCTTGAAGAGTGTGCTGGGCCCAGTGGCTCCCCCCCGAAGAGGAGAGTCTGGAGAAGGGGAAACCCGGCTGACCCGGCCTGGCAGGAGGCGGCTACAAGGGCACGTCGCCTCGGTGGTGAAATCCTTATGACGACAATCATCAGAGAAACCCAGACTGAGGGAGAGTCCCTGAGTAGCCGACCAGTGCTACTCCAGATGGTCACCAGAAACTGAGACACGGTCAGAGGCCTGAGGAGACGAAGGAGAGGCGACTGGGAGTGATGCGGTCCGGGGCAGAGTACCCGACGGAAAACACTCGTAGCTAGAAAACTCCTGGGACCCAAGCGAGTCCGTACGCAGTCGGCAGTGACGCTGCAGAGTTAAGGCCTCAGCTCCGACACGTGTGCCCACGTCCACGATGCCAGCAGGACAAAATGGAGTGAGGGAGTACGGGAATGGCACCCACTCCGCAACTCTGCTGTAAACTTCTAACTCTTCCCAAACTAAAAGCTTATTTAAACCAATGAACGGCTGGATAATAGAAAGCTGAACGAACTGTGGGACCAAAAATTATTTTTAAAAAAGGAAAGCAGGGGCCCCTGGCTGGCAGATTGGTAGAGCGTACAATGCTTGATCTCAGGATCGTGAGTTCAAACCCCACGCTGGGCACAGAGTTTACATAAACAAATAGGAATGTGACACCCATTAGGATGGCTACTATAAAAAAGAGAAAACAGGTGTTGGTGAGTATGTGCACAGCCGGTGGAAATGTAAACTGAGGCAGCCACTGTGGAAAACAGTGTGGAGGTTTCTCGAAAATTAAAATTAGAACTACCATCTGATTTAGCACACTTATTGACATAAACCGCCAAAGACTTGAAAGCACAGTCTCAAAGAGGTATTTGCACACCTTATCCACAGCATTACTCACGATGCCTAAAACGTGGAAGAGACTCAAGCATCCTCCCCCAGATGAATGGATTACCAAAAAGCAGGCTAATCATACTAAGGAATATTAGCCTTAAAAAGGAAGGAAACTTTGTCACAAGCTACAACACATATGAACCTTGAAAATATCATGCTAAGTGAAATAAGCCACTCGCGAAAAAAAAAACCAAACACATAGTCCACTTACGTGTGGTATCTAGAATAGTCAAAATCAGAGACTGAGAAAGTAAAACGGTGGCTGCCATAGGCTTGGGGAGGGGGAATGGGGACGTACTGTTTAAAGGGAACAGAGTTTCAGCTTTACAAGATGACAGAAGCTGTGGAGGTGGACAGTGGTGATGGCCGCATGACATTATTAATGCATTTAAAACAAATGGGCTGTGCACTTAAAAATGGTTAAGGAGCACCTGGCTGACTCATTCGGTTAAGTACCTAATTCTTGGTTTTGGCTCAGGTCATGATCTTGGGGTCTTGAGATCGAGCAACTTGTCAGGCTCTGTGCTCAGTGGGGGGGGGGGGTCTGCTTGAGATTCTCCCCCTCTCCCTCTGTCTCTCCACCCTGCTCTGTGCATGCCCCCCCATCTCTCTGTCTAAAATAAATAAGTCTTTTAAAAAAAAATGGTTAAGATGATAAATTTTATGGTAAGTGTATTTTATAATAAAAAAATAACAAAAACATACACTGAAAGACTTATAAATGGAGTTTAAATATTCTAAGATCCTTATACTTTCAAAAACCAAAGTTACTGATTAAGTTTACACATAGAGAAGTATAAATGTTCTATTTAATAAGCTCACCAGTAAAAGAACAGAAACTGAGTATATTATTACTTCAAAATGGGTGAAGGGAGAATTAAAAAAAAAAAATCCCCTGATAAAAAATAATCCAAAGCCTTGCCCCTGCAAAAGGAGAAAAAAGGAAATAAACAGAAAGCCTAAAAATGAAACATAAGCTCAAACACATCAGTGATTACATTAAATGTAAATGAATTATACTATCCACCAAAAAGACACAGACTATCAGAATAATTTTTAAAAATCAAGCCCCCGGGCGCCTGGGTGGCTCAGTGGGTTAAGCCGCTGCCTTCAGCTCAGGTCATGATCTCAGGGTCCTGGGATCGAGTCCCACATCCGGCTCTCTGCTCAGCAGGAAGCCTGCTTCCCTTCCTCTCTCTCTGCCTGCCTCTCTGCCTACTTGTGATCTCTGTCAAATAAATAAAATCTTTAAAAAAAAAAAAAAAAAAAAAAAATCAAGCCCCCACTGTTAAGCAGGACATAAACTGAAACACAAGGACGCAAAGCTGTTGGAAGGGTAAGGACAGAAACACACCAGTGCCACGTCGGACCCATTTACACAGCGTTCTAAAGCACAACTGCCACGGAAATCAGGGTGCAGCTGACTTTGGGGTCGAGAGAACACAGCAGCAGGCCCAGCACTGTCACGTGTCTTACCTGCGGGAGGATCATGTGGTGTTTATTGCGTACTTGTTTGTTAGGCTGTATGTACATTTTATGCAGTTTCTACTTTTCCACGTACATGCTGTATGTCACAGGGATTATTTTTCATTTTTTGTGTCACAGTTTAAAACAAGTATAAAAACATGTATTTTAGGGTGATCCTTGTGGACCCCACCAGAGACGATTTTTCCAGGCCCTGCCTATGATCCAGATCTCACCTGCAATAATACAGATTAAAAACCAAGCTTGCTCACTGTCTAAAGTAATGTGAACTGAGTCCAGCTAGAATCCAAAACTTAAAATACAGAATTTTGGGGCACCTGGGTGGCTCAGTGGGTTAAGCCTCTGCCTTCAGCTCAGGTCATGATCCCAGGGTCCTGGGATCGAGCCCCGCATCAGGCTCTCTGCTCGGCAGGGAGCCTGCTTCCCGTCCTCTCTCTGCCTGCCTCTCTGCCTACTTGTGATCTCTGTCTGTCAAATAAATAAATAAAATCTTAAAAAAAAAAATTAAAAATAAATAAATAAATAAATAATACAGAATTTTAACACAACACTTTCAAACCAGTCAATTCAGCATCTAATGAATTTTCTTCCAAATGCTAAAACAAAACAAACAATTAATAAATGTAATTAACCCAACATATATGGAATTCATGCCAGGCCCTGTGGCAGAAACAGACCCCACACACACAACTGACTATGGGAGAGATGAAGGCCAGGCCCAAGGAACACGCCACAACATTTGGGCAATGAGAAAATGAGGGAAGTCAGACATGACCACCAGCCTCAGTGCATGAAAGGCAACCTTCTCTCTTCAACATCAGGAAGGAAAGATCAAAGGTCCCAAGGAAGGGAGACGGAGGCTCCATCAGAAGGGTCCCCAGAAAGACCTTCTGTGCAAGGGTGACACCAAGGAAATGAGGCCTGCAGGGGAAGCTCTGTATCCAACTCTCTTTGTTCTGAGCTTCTACTCTTGAAGAGACAGGACCCTTCAGATACTGAGTCCTCTCTCTGGTTTGGATTTCCACCACAAGATGGAGAAATCCTCTGACAAGGAACACACTTTAACAGAGAACCCTGAAGAATACCTTTGTGATATCCTCAGGCTGTTCCAAGTGGTCGCCATCCAGCTTCTGCTGTGGCTGCTCCGAGTGCCCTGTCCTCTCTCCACTGGGGTCCTCCAGCTAAGAAGGAAGGGCCAGAGAAGAGCATTTACAGCAACGTCCAGAGCCGCAACCTCAGGCCTTCCCACCCACACACCCAAATGCCCACACCAATTCCATTCCCACCTGCTCAAAATGCACGTTCCTCCAAAAACAATCCTCAAACCCTAAACATTTTTTATGCAACCATTTCCCTAATGATGTTACTGCCCTTCTATTTTTTAAGATTTGACTTATTTATCTGGGGGTAGGGAAGGGCAGAAGGGAAGGGGAGGAACAAGCAGACTCCATGCTAAGCGCAGAGCCCAACATGGGGCTTGGTCCCAGGATCCTGAGATTATGACCTAAGCCAAAACCAAGAGCTGGATGCTTAACCAACTGAGCCCCCAGGCGCCCTGCTGCTCTTCTATTTAATGAATTCTGCCTCATTTCACTGTGCATGACACTTAAATTACCAAATTTTAGTTTCTCAATAAATTCTAATCCTTCAGACACGTGCATATTTCCTAAGCTCTTTTTATTTAAGTTCAAATATTTCCTCAAGATTTTCCATTTTTAAATAGCTTGTTTTATTATAAGAATACCGTAGGAGCGCCTGTGTGGCTCAGTTGGCTAAGGGTCTGCCTTCAGCTTACATTGTGATCTCAGGGTCCTGGGATCAAGCCCCGCATAGAGCTTCCTGCTCAGCAGGGAAGCTGACTTTCTCCCTCTCCCTCTGTGCCTCCCCCTGACTCATTCTCGGGCTCTTGCTATCTCTCTCTCAAATAAATAAATAAATAAAATCTTTAAGGGAAAAAAAAAATACCGTATATGATACAGAAAACACACAAAATATGTGTTAATCAACTGTTACATCACGTTGCTGGTAAGGCTTCTGGTCAACAGTAGTTATGTTTCGGGAAGTCAAAAGTTATAGGACTATTTTCAACTGCATGGGGGGGGGGGGTCAGTGCCCCAACCCCCTTGCTGTTGAAGGGTCAACTACATATCCAAATATTCTAGTTAGTAAATTTGCTTTACACAGGAGTGAGGATTAGCAATTCTGAAACTAATCTGTGTATATTTTAAGACTGAGGAAGTAAGTGAATTTATTGTAGATAGGACGCCAGGTTTCTCACTATTGGTAAAAGGAATTAAGATAAGGAGAGGGGTGAGAAGCTAGAATGATTCCTATGATGTTGGATGGGAACTGAAGGCACTAGTGTAGACTCATGGTTTTTGTTATACACAGAGACTGACAAAGAAACAGAGACCTAGCTCTCTGTTAAAGCAGCCTGGAACCAAAGACACCCCAATAGCAATGAGCACACCTATCATCTGGATATTGGTTTCTAAATACCATTCTCCACTAAAAGAAACCAGAGCTCCTTGAAGAATTGGCTGATAACAGTCTGAAAAAGACAAAACAAACTTGGGAAATCTCCGTCCCAAAATGCAAAGAACTAAGGTACCAAAAACGAGGACATGTAGGAAAGGCAGATGCCAATTCAAAGGCACACCCAATGGCCAAATCTCTGTATGTCGGCAACGAAATAGACACTGGTGTGGTTGCTGTAGCGGAGCAAAACCTCTAACAGAATAAACGCAGGGCGCCTGGCTGGCTCAGGGGTGAGAGCGTGACTCTTGATCTCGGGGTCAAGTGTGTAAGCCCCATGTTGGGTGTAAAGTTTACTTAAAAAAGGGAAAAAAAAAAAGAGAGAGAGAGAAATCCCTAAATCCACACTAGCATACACAACTGGACACACAAGCAGACTAGAGGGAAACAACAGCTCCTCACAGCAGGACGTCAACACATGGAGACAGAATGACAGACACAGAAATCATCATTTGGCCGACACCACCATAACAACTGCTGCAAGCAACAATCACCAATGGAAGGTAAAATTAGTGGAGGAAAGCAGGAGAAATAGGGCTTTGCAGGGTCTCTCTCTTCCCACAATACACTTACTAACTCCAAAGTTAAAAACAGTGACTTCTCTATCAAGGGACATCTGGCAGGTCCCATAGTAACTCAGTGATCAAAGCTGACCTTACCAGTAGTAGTGAGACTACCACGTATCAATACCACCTGCATGGAGCAGGGAATCCTCACTTCTACCCTGTTCTCACCAAAACTTATAACCTGATTTTAATCAGAAGGAAACATCAAACAATCCCAAACTGACAGGCATTCCACAAAATGACTAGTGAGGGATCGCCCAGGTGGCTCACCAGGTTAAGCTTCTACCGTCAGCTCAGGTCAAGATCCCACGGTCCTGGGACTGAGTACGGCATGGGGCTCCCTGCTCAGTAGGGAGTCTGCTTCTCTCTCCCCCTCTGCCCCTCCCCCTGGCTTGTGGGCGCACGCTCTCTCTTTCTCAAATAAAAATAAAATCTTAAAAAAAAAAATACCTACCAGTGACTCTTCGAAGATGTCCAACTTATAAAAGACAAGGTAAGACTGAGAAAGTGTCTCTGACTGGAGTAGACTAAGATGGCAGGACGCTGAGATGCAGTACACAATCCTGGCCCGGAAAAAGGGCAGCCGTGGGACCAACAGAGAACCCTGAACACGCTCCATCCATTAGCTCACAGTCCTGTTTCAGCGTGAACTGAAACAGATTACGATCATCGTGCGGCAACACAAGACGTTAACACTTCAGGAATCGGAGCGAACGGTGTCTATAAACCCTGGGCTAATTTTTGCAAATTTTTTGTTAAGCTGAACATTATTTCAAAATGAAAAGCTAAAATATATAGAGCACTTAACTTAAAATTAAAAAACTTCTCTGACTTGAAAGCAAAAATAAAACCACCATTAATGGTCATGAGCTCAAAAGTCATGAGCTTTTCTCCTCAAGGAGCCGTGGAGAAAACATGCAGGGAAGAGCCCTGGAAGCCAAGTCTCAGGCCTCTGGGTGTGGCACGTTCACCTGCGCGCGGAGTGATGGAGACGCGGCCGTGAGGGCGGCGACCCCACCCCAGGACAAGCACAGAGGAGGACGGTGACCCCCAGGCCTGCAGTGGGGGATCAAGCTGACCCAAAGGCTGGGCCCCCAGAGTGCGGGCCAGCTGCCCCCACCAACGCGGGAGTACAACAGTGACGTCTTCCAAATTTCTAAAAGTAAAATTCTAGATGTGTAGGTAGAATATCATAAATTTACATGCTGGCAATGATGCCATTTTTCCAGTAAAGCAGGCCAGACGCATCAGGGGTTTTCGTCAAATTCTACCCTCAGCCACCAGTATTCCAGCCGCTCCCAGCAAACACTGACCCTGCCCCTGCTCCGCCGCACACGGCAAGGGCCCTCGGTAAGGTACCCAAGAAGCCACAATGCAAGCCCACCCACAGGCGACCAGGAGGCCAGGTGGGCCCCACACCTGCCCCCGACTGGGCCTCAAGCAGAGAGCAGTGCCTCGTCCAGCAAGTCGCCACTCCCGGAACGCCTCCACCCAGGCCTTCTCCATCCCGACATTCAGAGAGAAAGTGAAGAACAAAGACGGGAGCGGATGAAGGAATATTATGGTTTAAGTGTCCAAAGAAAAGCCTGTTAAAGGGGCTGATACAGCCACACCCAGGGAACACTGATAAAATCTCCATTACCAAAGCAAGAACCAATACCGACGCTTGCCTTCAGTCAATCCAAAATCACAGAAGATAAGACATTACTAGGAGTGAAAACAAAATACATTCCCTTTTTCAATAAAGTGAAACTCTCTTTCCCGACCTCTGACAGGCAAAAACAGACCAAAGTTGCTGGTGCTGTGAAGTTGCACCGTGCTGAAAACACCCACCTGCGCTGCCTGTGCTCCCTCGGGGGTGTCACTGCACGACGAGTCTTCGCAAACGTCCGCTCTTCCCAGGAGTCCACCATCCTTGGTGGCTACCGGGCCCTCCTCCTGGACAGGCGCATCGACAGCCGGGCCCTTCCTCTTCGCCGTCTTTTTCTTCGGATGCGCACAGTCACCTTTTGTTTTTCTCTGTCGGAAGTGAGCAAGCTGCGCAAAAACGTAGAGAAGTAGTAAAGGCAAAGGTAAGTAAGAAAAAAGTAACAGAACCACAAAGCCAGTGAGCTGGTGGGGAACATGAGGCTGTGGGGCTGGCTCAGTGTGCTCGGCCAAACCTCGCCAGACCCACAGATCAACCAGCAGATCCCTGTCCCACAAACCCTGCCTTCATTACTATCTGCAACGCCAGCATTGAAGTTGAGAATTCTACCCGAACAGTCCCAGAAGAAGAACTGCTAATTATGCCTGTACACAGACAAAAGAAAGCAATACGGCCAACGGGCAGAAGAGCTCTTCTAGCCCCTGGCAGTTCACAGAAAAATACAATTGAAAAAAAAAATACATCTATTTAAAAGACTGATAGCTTTATCAAGGCATGCTTAAGGTTTAAAACTATGTAAATGCTAAATCTCTTTTTGCTCCCATTTTCCCCCAATCGAGGAAATACATAGGCGAGCCAAAACTTCTTAGCCACAGATTCTGAGGCAAGATACAGAAATAGCAAAAAATTAATTAAGCCAGGTCAATCTACGATCCTCCTTTATGGAATCAGATGTTCTATTTTCCATGACACAGCTAACAGTGCACCAGGGACCTCCACAGAGTGTCACCCATCAGAAGACACAACCGAGCTCTGCTCAATCCCTCAAACTGGAGGGTTTTAGACTCTGTTCCCACACCATCTCCCGTAAGATCTTACTCGAAGGTAAGAGATCTAACATCAGCTTTTCCCGAGACACTAGCTCCTTCAAATGACAGCTGTACTCATAAAAGCAAATGCATTTAACAAACATTTGTGTCAATGCAGAAGTGCACACTTCCACAGACACAGAAAAATTACATAAGGCCACTTACATGAGAAAAACCGTGTCTGGTCATCACAGCCTGCCTTCCAAACCAGCCCCACATTCCTCCTTTTATGCCCACTCCGTCAATTCTGTCCCCAGGTTCCCTCCCACATCACCATCCTCAAGTCTGGCCTGGGGTCTCCAGCAAGAGGTGCCCTGCTTCTTCCTGCAACGGGGTGAACCTTCCTCATCACCCCCAGCGCTCCATCAAGCATGTTTATGCTCACACACTACGGCAAGCTCGGGGGGAAAAACACGTCAAATACTGAACTCCGGCTCAGTTTTGTCTCCTGGCCCATGTACATGCCAGGCACATGGAAAGGAGAAAATCAGGCCACCACCTCCCTCCTCAAACCTGTCACAAGTTCTGCTTCCCAGGAAGCCTGAATGAGGCCACCCTGTCCTCTCCCTGTCACCCTGCGGTTAGGCGCTGCTACACCAGTCACTACGTGTGTGAACGGCCTCGTTAATGCAGTGGCCCTGGGGTTCCCTCCAAGGGAGATCAGCACTGAGTTATCTCCACGAGCTGGTCCAGATTCAAGTCCCAGTGTCTGGCCTGAGCTCACGCACGCAGCAACATCCTGTGGCTCTACCCGCTCACGGGAGCCACCGCAGGCACTCTCCCTCATCCCTCGGCCAGTAGGTAACTCACTCCCCGGAAGCAGCCAGAAGGGGGGCGGGGGGGAGGGCAGGGAGTCACAGCCTAAGTGCCTGTGTGCTCCCCTCTGCAGCCACGGCCCGGGTCATGCCGGCTCACGGCTCAAGCCCCACAATATGCCCCTGACAGAGAGTACCAGTGTTGACGTGAAAACGCGGGCAGAGGCAGGAAGACCCACGCGCCCTGCAGCCGCCCGACTCTGGAGCACAGAGCTCCCCAGGGCTTTCACAACCTAGCATCCCCGCACTCTGTCCAGCTGTGGGGCGTCCCCAGGAAGCCCGGCGTGAGGGGCTGCCACCAGCAGAGCTCCTCGCCCAGCCCTGAACAGCAACGAGGCCGCAAGAGCTTCTGGACCCTGGGCTGGCAGCGGGCACTCTGCATTGTGGACAGGCCATGCGCTCCTGGCCACCACTCCAAAACTTCTCTCATATTAAAAAAAAGTTGCAGGGGCGCCTGGGTGGCTCAGTGGGTTAAGCCTCTGCCTTCAGCTCAGGTCATGATCTCAGGGTCCTGGGATGGAGCCCCGCATCGGGCTCTCTGCTCGGTGGGGAGCCTGCTTCCTCCTCTCTCTCTGCCTGCCTCTCTGCCTGCTTGTGATCTCTGTCTGTAAAGTGAATAAATAAAATCTTTAAGAAAAAAAAAGCTGCATAATTCCAAGTGAAACGCCAATCTGCACGTGGTTTTAAACGGGCGGGAATGGAGTCGAGCCCTGGAGAGAGGTAAGTCACGGCCCCTACGAGTGGTCCCCGAGCCCCGAGTTCTGGGGGACCGGGCCGCGGCAGGTGCAGGTGCACGGCTGTGCGACGAGCCGGCCGTCCAGGACAACGAGGACGCGCGGGGTGGGGGCGGCGCCGGCCCCTTCACCGCCAGCCCGGGCTCCACTTCCTACTGGGGACCGCGCGTTCCTAGGCCACCCGTGTCCATCAGGGCGCTACTGGCCGAGACGTCCCGGCGCCTCCAGAGGCGGCCGCGCCAGCTTCCCTGGAAACGCGGGAAGGCGCGGGAGAGCGCGGAAAGGCCCCGGGCTGGGGCGGGAGCCCGGCAGGCCGCGCGCGGCCGAGATCTGCCCCCACCCCGCCCGCCGGCACTGCCCCTCCCCGCCGTGCTCTCCCACGGGCGTCCGCCCCGCCCTCCGCGCAGGCGCAGCCCGCAAAACCCCCCGGCACGCCACGCGCCTGGCCTCCTCGCGCCCGCCCTCCCCGCACGTCCTCGACCGGTGATTGGCTGCAGCCGCCGTGAGGGCGGGGCCGGGCAAAGGGCGGCGGATTCAAGATGGCGGCGGCCAGGAGGCGGCTTCCAGCCGAGTCGGCGGGAAGGGCTGGACTGTGGTGGCGGTCCCTTCCTGCCCGCACCCGCTCCTAGCACGAACAGGCGCAGTCACCGGAACCCGCCCTTGGGAACCCACGCTGGGACAGCGGGGGGAGGAGGCGGCGCTGTCGTTTACCTTCGCTCTCCCGGCCTCCACCTTCCTGCGCCGCTGCTCCTGCTCGTCTTCTTCCATGCCCTCCACGGCTTCTCGCGGGGCGCCCGAGAGGTGACGGGGTCGAAGGCCGCCGCCTTCGCTCTATTTACACTCCCTCCCCCTAGTCTGGGCTCGCCCTCCCCCCGCGACAACTGTCACGCAGACGTGAGCCCGGCTCCGCCCTCGGCGTGCGCCCTCCGCCCGCCACCAATCCCGGAGGGGGTGGAGGTCGCGCTCCTGCCCTCGCGCACGCGCGGTCAGGGTGGTGCGACCCGGGTCCCGCCCCTTCCGGCTGCTGGCCTCCCATTGGCGCGATGATGATCCCGCCTCCCAGCAGGACCAATGGTGGAGCGCGGAGGCCTCGGCTGTCTCTGTGATTGGCCGGGTTTAAAGGAGTCCTCCGTGCCGGGTGAGAGAGCGGCGGGCTCGGCGCGGGCGCGCAGGGCGGTTACGTTCGCGTTGCCCCACGGGCCGCACCCGAGCTTCGACCGCCCTTGGAGCGAGCGCGGCCGTGAGCCTTCGTCCGCGGTCCTGTTAGCGGGGAGCGAGGCGTGGCCGCGGCCCGTCCGTGCAGGTGGCAGGCTCAGGGGCGGCGGGAGCCCGCCGGGAAGAGGCCGCAGCGTCGCGGGGCGCAGCCGTCCCGCACCTGCTGTCTGCGCGCGCTTGCTGCGCCGTGCGGGGCCTCGGGCGCGCGCCTGCCTCCCGCCGGCGGCCTGGGCGCTGGGGCGGGCTCCGCGGTCCCGGCCCGCACGTCCGCGCTAGAGCAGCGCCCGGGGACCCCGCGGGAGCCGCCGCACGGGCGAACCGCACGGGCCTGTCCTCGTAGGGGCCGGGGCCGCGGGGCGCCCTGCCGAGCGGCCTTCGGTGCCCTCGAGACGTGGTCGCGGTCAGCCGGCGTCGGCGAAGGTCGCGCCTCCCCTGACGGCGGCGGGACGCGGGCTTGGAGCGGGGCTGCCCACGGGGACCGCGGCCGGAGGGCGGGAGCGGGAGAGCCGCGCTGGCCTTGCCCCAGGCAGTGCTGCCAGAACGCGCCCTGGGCTCTGGGGCTCCTGCTCGCCTGTCCCCGCGCCTCTGCCTCGGCGTGTGCGGGCCGTGCGCGCCCCGCGTGCTCCCTGGTGAGACCCAACGAGGGTCACGGCGGGAGCGCCCGGGGCACCTGCGGGGCTCCGCTGGTTGAGCCTGTGCCTTCGGCTCAGGTCATGATCTCAGGGTCCTGGGATCGAGCCTCGCATCGGGCTCTCTGCTCAGGGGGGAGCCTGCTCCCCCCCACCCGCCTGCTTGTGATCTCTGTCAAATAAATAGATAAAATCTTAAAAATAATAATAATAACAATAGCGCCTCCCGCCAGCCGTGTGCAGTGAGACCACCTTGCGGACCGTTGCGCATCCCTCACGCAGCGAGTCCGTGGTCCACGCAGCCACGACCCCCTCGGACCCCTTGGCGGATGCTGGAAACCAACCCCGGAGAGCGCTCCTGGGTCAGACCACAGCCCTGTGGCAGCTCCCGGTCTCCGCTCGCAGATTATGGTGATTTGAGCCACGCGCTAGGCTCCCAAGACCGGGCCGACCTCCCAGGAGCCGCTGCGGGCCTAGAACCCGACTCGCTGCATCGTCACCCGCTGGGCTCCGTGGGAGGCTCCGCAGGGCACGTGCCCACGGCCTTCCCCCGCGGGCTTGGTCACTGGTCTCCCGCCGTTTCCTAGAACCCCATGGCCGTCTCCATGGTCCTTCTCGACTGTATCGTTGATCTCTCCATTTATTTTTAACAATTAAAATGCCGTCCAAGTAAATTTTTAATGAGATAATGAGATACTCAACCCAAGGAGGAAGCCAAACTCTCACTCCCTGAGTATGAGCTGCACAGGGACTGCCACGCAGGGGGACTCCGGAAAGGGGATTAAAAATAGCAGCCGTGTTGGGGCGCCTGGGTGGCTCAGTGGGTTAAGCCTCTGCCTTCGGCTCAGGTCATGATCTCAGGGTCCTGGGATGGAGCCCTGCATCGGGCTCTCTGCTCAGTGGGGAGCCTGCTTCCCTCTCTCTCTGCCGGCCTCTCTGCCTACTTGTGATCTCTCTCTGTCCAATTAAAAAAAAAAAAAAAAAAAAAAAAAAAGCAGCTGTGGAGTGAAGAAGCACCCCCGCTGGGTGATCGGGGTTGAGGTCAGCAGTGACGAGTCATGGGGGCTGCCCACACAGTGACAACTCTGTTACACCATCTTTCTGATTTTTCTGTAAATACAAACTTTAAATAAATAACTATTTTTTAAAAACCGTCTAACAAACTCACGCGGGGATGTGTGACGTCAGCCACTGGGATTGTCTCCTGGCTACCACAAGTGGCTCAGTGAACTCCTCTCCGTGCACACTCAGACCTCCGGTTTGAATGCTAGGGCTGTGATGCGTATGAAAGCCAGACCACTGAAGTGTATGGGCAATTTAAGGGACTTTTAGCCAAATTTTGGCCTCTGATACAAGTGTCTTGGCTTAGTTGCATGGAGGAGGGGCATGTGTGTGAGCTGATCCCTCCTTCCCACCCCAGCCCAGGACTCCAGGAACCAGACTGCTCCACCCACGTTGTTAGCTGGGCTGATTGATTTGTAAATCTGAAATGTAAAGCCAGCACAAACAGACTGTTTGTGCCCCGTGCTCTGTGTGAAGGATCATTTATAACAGGCTTCTTTTGCTGGGGGCCCCTCCCCGCCCAACCAGTGCTGCAGCGTCTCCAGCCACCAACTCCTGACCTGACCAGGGGTCCTGTCCCGAGGTTGCCCGCCCTCTCTGGGCCAGGATCACCACAGGGCAGCCCCAATCCTGCAATCACAATCCCTCCTGGAGGAGTGTAGCCTCATGTGACCCTGTGTCCTGTGAGGTGGTGCCACCAAGAAGCCCCACGGGAAGCCCCAGAGCATGTCACTGGTCAGCTCCCTGTGCTGCTCCTTCTGCCACCCAGAATTTCCTGAAATCACAGGGACGTGGTGCCCCCACCGTCCTCCTGGTGTCCAGGCTTCACTCCCATCTTGCTCTGAGGGTCCCTAGAGGGGCGGGGGGCCTGCTGGCCCCTTGGAGGTAACAATGACTGAGGAGAGAGGAGGCCCCCACAGTGCATGGTGGTGCACGCAGCTGCCCCCCGCTCCTACCCCATACTCTTCAGGGCCCAGTCTGAAGGTGGGGCAATGCATGGGGAATCAGGACTGTCTCCCCCCACCCCTGCCCCAGGGCCTCACGCTCTCCCCTCTGGCCCCAGCTGCTGCTCATTGCCTGCCCAATAAGCCCCGCCCGGCTACACCTGGAGATGATCAGTGTTTATAGGCAACTCCTGTGCGGGGGACCAGGTGGGGCCTGGGAAGGACTCTCAGTGGAAACCTGGCAACCAGGGGCCTTCCTGTGTCTGCAGCGCCTAGCAACCATCGAGGCCACGTGGTCCTCCAGGGGGACGTGGCCACGCTCCCACACGCTCTCCTGTGGCAGCAGCGGCCAGTCTCCTGGAGGTAAACTCAGCCCAGCTCAGGAATCCTTCAAAGACACCAAGGTTGGGGCTGCTTCTCTCCAGCTGAGCACTTCTTGCTTGCAGATAACCTGAGACCAGGGAGGGACGGTCCTAGGATGCTGGACTCCTCAGTGGCAGATGCAATGACCCGACTCACCCTGAAGCTCTTGGAGAAGGTAAGACTGTGGGGGCAATCATGTTTCCAACAACTTGTCGAAGCAGCACAGATTTAAAAGGTACGTCATGAGACCTGTCAGTATCCTCCTGCTTCCAAGGCAAAACACCGTCTCCTGCTTTTCAGCCTTATGATAGACTGTGGTTTCTCATTTTTTGTTTTTCTCTGCATATGCAGAACCAGCTAGGTTCTTCTGGCAGCTTCTCAGCCAGGAGGCTGGATGCACCCATGACCCAGAGCATTTTGGGGGCCCACAGAACTCCCCCCACAGAGCCTTCCAGCTTCAGTGCTTGGAGAAGAGAGGCCCTGGCTGGTGCGGGATCCACAGCCACATACTCCGGCCTGGGACCCATCCCGACAGCCCTTTTCCTGTCCTCCACGCATCAGCCCGGTGCTTCCTTCTGGGTGGCCCAAGGCCAACGTGGACGGACTGGCAGGGGTCATCCCAGGACAGGTTCAGACTGTGCTGCTCAGCCCAGGGCTCAAGAGGTCAGGGGTGGTCAGGGACATGGGGCTGGCCTGGGTCAGACTCTGCAGAAAGTTGCTTGAAAGGAGCCATTCATATCTGCGCATCTGCCCTAAGATTTCAAGGTGGAACTTGTGTGCCCCCAATGGAAAGTGTGACGCCCACCCTCCCTAAGAGAGTATGGACGACCCTTGCCACCTCCCCCCTCCCCAACTCTATCCCAGTTACCTCATCTGGGACACTGGTCCCTTCAGACCCTTTGGGGCAGGTGCTCCTTCCTTGACCCAGACCCACCCACTCGCACTCTCTGTCCTTCTCGACACAGAAACTGGAGCAAGAGCGTGAGACTGTGGAAGGGGATTCTGAGGACCCCCTGCTCCTAGCGGGTAAGAGTCCAGGCTGCTGGAAGCCACCCGGGCACGAAACCTCCTCCTGGGTCCTTCCCTCCTCCTGATCCCAACAAGACTGTCCTGCTACTCCTCCCTTGTGTGCAGGGTTGAAAGAGCTTGCATCTTCTCACACACACACACACACACACACACACACACACTGTGCTCTGTCAGTCACACCCTCACAAAAACCCGAGAGGGGATACATTCATCGTTCCCGTCCTGCAGTTAAGAGAAGGGGATCCAGAGAGGTCTGATCGTCTGCCCTCAGTTGCCCAGCTCAGAAGTGGGCACTGGATTCGAATCCTGTTCTAGGGTGGTGGGTTCGCGGGGTTCAACCTGTCATGTGGGCACACATGAACTAGAGGAGAGGACTGCTCTCCGGGTGGCAGTGTCCAGGTTCAGGGATGTCCTGATAAGGTGCGAGGCAGGCATAGGAGGACGCTGCCTGTTCCTTATTACGGGGAAGAGCGCCTTTAGCAGTGGGAGCTCCAGGAGACGTGTGAGGGCAGCAGGCAGAGCCCAGGGCTCAAATCCAGACAGGGAACCCCAAATCAGGCCACCGGACCACCAGGTAAGAGCAGAACCACTGAGTGTGGACCCGGGCAGTGGGGACCACCCCCCTCCCAGAGGACAGGCTGCTCTGGGCACCCTCAGGCCTGGGGGTGGGGAATGGGTGTGCTGTGCCAGAGGAGGGAAGGCCAGACCCCGTTTGGAGTCTCCTCTCGAGACGGGACCCCTCACTTGGGAAGCCGCCGAGGGCATACCTGAGGCTCGGGGGACCGGACCAGCCCCCGGGCTGCCTGGGGCCCCCAGATGGCTGCTGGCGGCAAGAGGCCAGGCTCACAGTCCAGTCGTGCTCGGGACCAAGCCCTGTGAGGACCTTGTCCCTCTCTCCAGCATCCAGCGGAGCCGGAGGAAAGGCTTCCTGCTGCAGGGCAGTGCGGTGCTCGGCCCTGCGTGGGAACCCGCCTGATGTGACTGCCAGCCCCTCAGAAATAAGATGATCCTTCCACACAGGAAATGAGGACAGGCCAGACGCGGCCCTGCTAGACGCTCTGAGGAGGAGGCGAGCGCTTCTGCGGAGACTCTGGGTAGGCCGCCTGTCACCCTGCTGTGTGGACGGGATCAAGACCAGGCCAGAGGCACGCGGGAGGGCTTCCTGGACCCAGCATGAGTCCCCTGCCAGCCATGACTGGAGGGCGCTCGGGATGGACAGGAGCAGCTGGGACACCACGCCCCGGGAGAGAAGGTCAAGGCCTGAGTGCAGGTTTTCTGTTGTTCAGGTCCTAGCAGGGGCTGAACTGAAAATCCCTGCTTTGGTTGCACGGTGGTTTCCAAGGGCGAAATGCTGGGCAAAGGGCCCCATTCCTACACGAAGTGGGATTTCAAGGAGGCCAAAGGCTTCGTCCAAACTAAATGCACCAGCAACAGGGAATGACCGCGCGAAGCGGTCAGTCAGGTCCAAATGTGTAGTTACGATCGAGTGCCAGAAAGAGAATGTACGCTGTGGGCTGGACAAAAAGACCAACCAGAAATCAGTCGGTTACTCGGTAAACTTACGAAGTTCTAAGCTCCCTCCCCTCTCCTCCACGTAAGACTAAGGGCTGTTCCTATGCGTGGCCCCCACGAAGAGCCTGGGGCCCGAGTGGGCCAGGAGGACGCCAAGCCTGCAGCCCTGAGGCCCCTCCCGCCTGAGGACCACAGTCCAGGCGTTGGGGCCGCGGTGCAGTGCGGGCGAGCCCTGGGCGGCCGTCCCCGCCCCTCCTGGCTGTGGCTGTCCCTCCCTGGGGGCAGCAGTTCTGCCTTACGGTTGCAGGAACAGCATCTCCTAGAGGAGGCCTCCCAGGCCCAGGCCCGGAGTGGGATGAACAGAGGAGGAGACCGTGGGTCCGCACTGCCTCCAGAGGTGCCCCCCGTGGGCATCTACTCCCTGCCCCCGCCAGCCCTGAAGCCCCCACAGATTATCCAATGCTCAGTAAGTGTTCAAGAGCCAATGGCAGAAGCGATGAGGGAGGGTGTGGTGCCCACAGAGACTGTCATCTAAGCAGAGAGTGGGGGGTCCTCGTGGTCTCAAGGCCCACCTCCACGGCAGCATATGAAGGCGCCCCAAGAGGGTCAGTCCCCTTGGAACCAACAGGGGCTGCATTTCCCACGTCCCGGGCACTGGACAGGGAGCTTGGTGGTTCCTCTCTGTGGTCCTCACAGGTGCCCTGGGAACCGGCTTCCGGGGGAGAGGGTGGTCTTATCCCTCATTACAGAGGAGATCCTGGGGTCCCCATCTGGGCTCCTGACTCTCAGGTCCTAGCCTTTACACGAGAGACAGAAGTATTCAGCATCAGGTGAGCCCTGCATTGGGGGAGGAAGTATGTCAACTCTTTCTCAAAATTTCTTAATAACCAGGGGAACCCTAAGACCCTACTCTTTTTTTTTTTTTTAAGATTTTATTTATTTATTTGACAGAGATCACAAGTAGGCAGAGAGGCAGGCAGAGAGAGAGGAGGAAGCAGGCTCCCCTCTGAGCAGAGAGCCCGATGTGGGGCTCGATCCCAGGACCCTGAGATCACGACCCGAGCCGAAGGCAGAGGCTCAACCCACTGAGCCACCGAGGCGCCCCAAGACCCTACTTTCAAGGGCAGACTTTGAAAAGGTGAAAGAGCTCCAGGTTTGAGAGCCCCACACCTCAAGTCAGCACTCCGGTGGCAAGCCGTGGAATGCAACCCAGACTTTCTTAAGCCGAAGAGAATATATCTGAGGGCAGGCGAGTGCAGGCAGGGACAGAAGCCCAGGTCGGGGCTCATCCAGGCCCTGGGGAGAAGAGAAGGCTGAGGAGGTGGGCAGGACCACGTTGCAAATGTTCTGGACCAGCTGGCTGGGGCGACGGTTAGCGCCGACAGACCGGGCCTGTGACCTGGAGGGTGTTTGTTTTGGAAGAAGAGGTGGCGGCACACGGCACAAAGTGGGAAGGGGCAACACCAGATCGGGGACAGATCAGGGCTAACCGAGCTCCCAGAGCCCCTGTTGCCCCTGGGCTGTGTCCAGGCTCCAGATCTCCCCTTCCCAGCATGCGCCTTTGGATCTTCCAACACTACCTCCTTCTAGGAAGGGTGGGAATGGTGGGGGTTGGGGCACGAGGTCCCCCTCATTCCCAAACAGGTTCACTGAACTCCCAGCAAGCCACGGGGGCCCAGTTCTGCGTGCGTCTTTCCATCCACCCCAGGGACAGCAAAAGAACAAGTAGGGCCTTTGGTTGGTACTGTGAATTTCCTTGATGCTGGACTTGGAGACCCTGAGGCAAGGTGTCCCCCAAGCCAGGGCAGCTGTAGCTTCAGCCGTTTACACAGCGGATAGCAACGTGCGGCCATGGGCCGAAGCTCCCCTGCCCTCTGATGTTGTGCGACATGTACACTGAGGATGGTCTTACGCTTTTACATGTGTGGGCGAGGGGCGCCTGGGTGGCTCTCCCTCTCATTGTGGCTCTCCCTCTGCTCATGCTCTCTCTCTCTCTCAAGTAAGTGAAATCTTCTGAAAAATGGGGGAAAATCAAAAGAAGAAGAATGGTTTATAAAGTATAAAAATGATGTGAAACGTGCATCTCAGTGCCCACAGTGACGTGTCACCAGCCCCGTCCCCCCTGTGGTGGCCACTCTGGAGCCCCACCGGCTGAGAGAAGCCATTGCTGCCCAGGCCAGAGGGCCCACAAAGCCACAACCATTCCCTGCTGGCCCTCTGCAGAGGCTTATGCCATCATTTCTGGGAACTGGGAAAGAAAGGACAAGGTCAGGGCCTTGTTCACCCAGAAGAGGAGTGAGATGGAAAGGCTTCAGCGTCTGACCAACACCTGCTGTGAGTGCTTCTCACTGGAGAGAAGCTAGAGGTTATTTTCACGCCCTGTTCCTGGGATGCCTCCGTTCGAGCAGAATCAATGAAACCAGACATCAGCTTCCTCTCCTAAAGACGGCATGTGGGAAACATTACACATACTGTGCGTTGGGGCGCCTGGGGGCTCAGTTGGTTCAGCACCTGACTCATGATTTTCGGCTCAGGTCATGATCTCGGGGTGGTGGGATCAAGCCCCACATTAGGCGTAGGGTTCTGCACTGGGCGTGGAGTCTGCTTATGACTCTCCCTCTCCCTCTGCCATCCCCCCACCCACCACCACCCATGCGCACGCATGGGCTCTCTCTCTTTCTCTCTTAAAAAAACACACTCTGTGTTAGTGTACTGGGGCTCCCATAAAAAACCACCACAGACTGGGCAGCTTAAGCAACAAATTTATTTTCTCACATTTCTGGAGGTGGAAGCCCAAGACCAGGGTGCCGGCCGATCAGCGTCCGGGTGGGAGTTCTCCTCCCAGCTTGCACACGGATGGCTTCTCCCTGTGCTCACATGGCAGACAGAGAAAGCTCTCCGGCATCTCCCTTTTTATGGGGCCACCAGCCCTATTGGATCAGGATGGCACCCTAATGACCCCACTAAACCTTTGTAAGCTCTTCACAGGCCTGATCTCCAAATACAGTCACACTGGAGGTTAGAGCTTCAACATAAGAATTTTGGGGGTGGACACAGACCTTCATAACATATCATGTCCTAGGTGATACGCAGACTCAAATATCTATCTGTTCAGCAACATGCTCAATGCGTAGGGTTAACTGTTTCAACTTCCTCTCGGATGGATGGAAAGATGGGTGAGTGGGTGGGTGCACACTGTAGGTCACAGTCTCCCGGGGCTCGTTCAGGGAACTAATCATCTGGCTCTTTGTAGGGCCCTCAGCCTCCTGCTACCATCATTCAACAGCTGCCCCAGCAGCCCCTCATCACACAGATCCCCCCTCTCCAGGCCTTCCCCACTCAAAGATCAGGAAGTATTAAGGAAGGTAAGTCTTCCGTATTAATAATGTTATGGGTTTATAAAATTCTGTAAAGAAACAAAAAATATTTTGTAGACAGGATAGTCCTTTAGGGTCGGCATTTGGCTACTCAGTCAAAGCTACATAGTAGCAACATGAAATAATTTTAACTTTAAGAAACCCTTATAGGTATCTTGGAGGGAAGAAAACAAGAACTGGGAATCGAGAGAAGTGGGCCCAGCCCCAACCAGCTGTAAAAACCTTGGCTAAATTGCTTCTCCTTTTCAATGAGTTTTGTTTTGTTTTGTTTTGCTTTGTTGGGGGGCAGAGGGAGAGAGGGAATCTGAAGCGGGAGCGCAGAGCCCAATGCCCACCACCGATGCTGCCATGCGGGGTCGATCACGTGACCCTGAGGTCATGACCGGAGCCACGGAGCCGCCCACGTGCCCCTTCAATGAGCTCTAGAAGCTTGAGATCTAAAACCACCTCACGGAGAGGGCAGGGTAAACTGCACAAATTCGAAGTGCGCAGTTGGACATGAGCTGACGCGTGTGCACGTCCATGGCCCCAACTTGGCAGGCAGTGAGCACGTGTCCCCCCAAGCCCCGCTCCCCAGGACTAATGGCGTTGGGCTCGGGAGCGCAGCGGTGTGTAGACTCCTCGGGTCCGTGTTCTCAGTCCTTTGCTCGCGGCGGCCACCAGCTTCTGTCGTTCCTGTGGGCCCTCGCGCGTGGTCACTCATGCCAGCGTGCGTCCAGGGCCTCCCCGCGGCTCAGCCAGGGCCCCAGCCCCCCGCCTCCCCTGACGCGCTTCAGTGCGGGTCGGTGGTTCTAGATGCCCGAGGGCCTGGACCTGCGCTCTCAGCGGCTGGAGACAGACACCTGAGTGCCTTCGTCGGGGTAGAGGGGGAGGAGATGGAATCAGGGTGAAAAGTGACATCTTCAGTATGTGTCAGTATGTGCCCGCATGTGTCCATCTGTGTCCGCAGGTGTCCGTCTGTGTCCGTACGTGTCCGTCTGTGCCCATACGTGTCCATATGTGTCTGCACATGTCCATATGTGTCACTATGTATCTGTCAGTACATGTCCGTATGTGTCCGTCCGTGTCAGTATGTGTCCGTACGTGTCAGTGTGTCCGTATGTGTCTGTCAGTATGTGTCCATATGTGTCCGTACGTGTCAGTATGTATGTGTCAGTATGTGTCCATATGTGTCTGTTAGTATGTGTCCATATGTGTCCATACGTGTCAGTATGTGCCCATATGTGTCCGTACGTGTTAGTATGTATGTGTCAGTATGTGTCCGTATGTGTCTGTTAGTACATGTCCGTATGTGTCCATATGTGTCAGTATATGCCCATACATGTCAGTATGTCCATATGTGTCTGTACGTGTTAGTATGTATGTGTCAGTATGTGTCCGTACGTGTCGGTCTGTGTCCGTCTGTGTCTGCCTGTGTCCGCACGTGTCCGTACATGTCCATCTGTGTCCGCCTGTGTCCGCACGTGTCCGTACGTGTCCGTCTGTGTCCGCACGTGTCCGTACGTGTCCGTCTGTGTCCGCCTGTGTCTGCACGTGTCTGTACTTGTCTGTACGTGTCCATCTGTGTCTGCCTGTGTCCGCACGTGTCCGTACGTGTCGGTCTGTGTCCGTCTGTGTCCGTCTGTGTCTGCCTGTGTCCGCACGTGTCCGTCTGTGTCCGTCTGTGTCCGCCTGTGTCCGCACGTGTCCGTACATGTCCGTCTGTGTCCACCTGTGTCCTCATGTGTCCGTACGTGTCCATCTGTGTCTGCCTGTGTCTGCCTGTGTCCGCACGTGTCCGTACGTGTCCGTCTGTGTCCGTACGTGTCAGTATGTGTCCGCATGTGTCCGTACGTGTCCATCTGTGTCTGCATGTGTCCGTATGTGTCCATATGTGTCCGTACGTGTCAGTATGTGTCTGTCAGTACGTGTCAGTATATGTCCGTATGTGTCCGTCTGTGTCTTGCTGTTTTAAGTAGCGTCAAGTCCTCACCCCACGCCTTACCCCCGACGAGCTCTGATGGTGGGAGCAGGAGATATGAAGCAGTGGATCCGCCACGGAGCTCGTGTGCACACCCAGCGGTGTCCGAGGCCGCATCCCCTCCGCCGTACCCTCTGCCCCGTGAATCCATCCAGACCCAGCCAACCCGCCGCTCTCTCCTCTCCCCGCTCTCTCTGGACCCCACCCCCCCCAACCACTAGTGGCCATTAGGCTGTTCTCTGTACTTACAGGTCTGACTCTGCTTATCGTTTGTTTGTTCATTTTTCCTGTTCGTTGGGCTTTAACATGAAGATGAATGCGTGGGGTCCGGAGCCCCCTCTCCGCAGTGGTGGGAGGAGCTTGCAACACCCTCGCCCCCCCACCTCCCACCCAGCCACTGCTGCTCTTTGCTTTCATTTGTATTTTCTTTTAAGATTTTATTTATTTGACAGACAGAGATCACAAGTAGGCAGAGAGGCAGGCAGAGAGAGAGGAGGAAGCAGGCTCCCCGCTGAGCAGAGAACCCGATGCGGGGCTCGATCCCAGGACCCCGAGACCATGACCCGAGCTGAAGGCAGAGGCTTTAACCCACTGAGCCACCCAGGTGCTCCTCATTTCTATTTTTTTAAAAGAGTTTATTTATTTATTTGATATAGAGAGAGAGACAGTGAGAGAGGGAACACAACCAGGGGGGTGGGAGAAGCAGGCTCCCCGCTGAGCAGGGAGCCCTGTGAGGGGCTCGATCCCAGGACCCTGGGATCATGACCTGAGCTGAAGGCAGATGCTTAACGACCCCACAGGTACCCCACTTTCTCTCGTTCAGAACAACTTCCCAAACTAGACACCAGAAATCACCCCTGACAACCTACTCACCCTTTTTTGTATTCAGACCACCCTCTGGAATCATCTTCTGTCATCTTGAAATAAATCCTTTCCACGTTCCTTGACAACGGACTCTTGAAGCTCCTCAGTGTTTGTTTTCTAGCAAATGTTTTTATTTCCCCTTTTTCTTAAATACCAGTTTTGCTGGATATTCCGATCTAAACTGATAGTTATTTTCTCTCACCACTTCCTGAGGGCCCTTGTGATTATGTTGGGCCCACCCAGATAATCCAGGATAGTGTCCCCACCTCAGGATTCTTTTTCAAAAATTAATTAATTTTAAAAACTGTGGTGGGGGGGTGCCTGGGTGGCTCAGTGGGTTAAGCCGCTGCCTTCAGCTCGGGTCATGATCTCAGAGTCCTGGGATCGAGTCCCGCATCGGGCTCTCTGCTCAGCAGGGAGCCTGCTTCCTCCTCTCTCTCTGCCTGCCTCTCTGCCTGCTTGTGATCTCTGTCTGTCAAATAAATAAATAAAATCTTTTAAGAAAAATAAATAAATAAATAAATAAAAACTGTGGTGGGGCACCTGGGTGACGCAGTCAGTTAAGCGTCCGACTCCTGGCTTCAGTTCAGGTTGCAACTTCAGGGTCATGAGATCGAGCCCCATGTTGGGTTCTTTGCTCAGTGGGGAGTCTTCTTGGGATTTTCCTTCCCTCTGCCCTTCCCCCGCCCCCAGTGCATGTGTGCTCTCTCCAACCCCCTCAAGTGAATACATAAATCTTTAAAAAATTGTGGTAAAAACACATAAAATTTCCCATCTTAAACACGTTTAAGTAGTGTTAACTGGGTCCCCATGGTTGAGTGATAGATCTTCAGAAATTTCCATCTTGCATCCAGATCCCCCTCCAACCAGCCCCCAGCACCCACTCCTACTCTGTCTTGGAATTGGATGACTCTAAGTACCTCAGAGGAGAGGAATCCTACAATCTTTGTCCCTCTGTTGCTGGCTTATTTCGTGTGGAATAACGAACGTCTTCAAGTTTCATCATGTGGTGCCAGGTGGCAGACTTTCCTGCCTTTTTAAGGCTGAACATTTCTCCATGGTATGCATAGACCATGGTCTTTTATCCCTTCATTTGTTGATGGACACTTGGGTTGTTTGAATCCAAAGTTCTTTTTTTTTTTTTTTAAGATCCTATCTATTTACTTGAGAGAGAGTATGAGTGGGGGGCAGAGGAAGAGGGACAAGCGGGAGCCCGATGCGGGGTTCATTCCCAGGACCCCAGATCATGACCTGAGCTGAAGACAGATGCTTCACTGACTGAGTCCCCCAGGCGCCCCAATCCAAGACTCCTACTCACATCAGCAACATCACTGTCACCACGTAATGAAACTCAGGTCACACGTTCCAGGTATGAGGGTATGTACACGCCAGGGGCCATTGTTCAGCTGACCACGCTCTCCAGTCATGTTTTTTTTTTTTTTTTAAAGATTTTATTTATTTATTTGACAGAGAGAGAGAGAGACCACAAGCAGGCAGAGAGGCAGAGAGAGAGAGAGGGAAGCAGGCTCCCCACTGAGCAGAGAGGCCGATGTGGGGCTCGATCCCAGGACGATGGATGGGTCCTTTATGATACACGGACTGCCAGTTGCTTTCTTTGTGGTGTCTCTGGATGAACACAAGTTCTTAATTTTTTTTTTTAATATTTTATTTATTCATTTGACAGAGATCACAAGTAGGCAGAGAAGCAGGCAGAGAGAGAGGAGGAAGCAGGCTCTCCGCTGAGCAGAGAGCCCGATGTGGTGCTCGATCCCAGGACCCTGGGATCATGACCCGAGCCGAAGGCAGGGGCTTTAACCCACTGAGCCACCCAGGCGCCCCCACAAGTTCTTAATTTTTAATAAGGTTCTGTTCTTTAGGCTTTTTCCTTTGTGGGATTGGGGTCTTTGCTGTACTGTGTAAGAAGCTGTTACCTACTCAAGGTCATGAAGACATTCTACAGTTTGGTTTACTTTTCCCATTGAGGTTTATGAACCACCTGGAATAGATTTTATGAGCTCTGAGTTAGGGACTGGTGTTATCTTTGCCACAGATACCAGATTGGCCAAGTGCCATGTCCTGAAGACTGTGTTTCCCCATGACACCAACGTGTGCCCCTTATCCTGAGGCAGTTACACCGTGTTTGTCCCTGTCTGGACCTTCCTCTCATCCAGTCTTCACAGGCTGGTTCTGCTCAGTGGGAAGCTTGCCGGGGACACATGAGCTGGCCAGGCCCGGCCCCACGTGGGTCTTCTCAAGGGTCTTCACCCAGAACAGGGCTGCCAGACTCAGCCTCTCCACGTTCTCATCCTGCAGGGAGGAGAGTTCCCACCACTGTATGGCTGTGGGAACCTGGCTCCGTGCCCCCACCACCACCCCATTGCTCTCAGGCCTGCGACAAAATCTGTTAATCAAGGGTCTCCGGAGAAACAGAACCAACAGGGCGCGTCTAGAGAGAGAGAGAGAGAGAGACATATTTTAAGGACTTGGCTGGTGTGATTATGGAGGCTCGGCTAGCAGCTGCAGGGAGGGCAGGCTAGAGACAAGGGGCCCACTCCAGTGGGAGGGCTGCTGTGTACCCCGCTCCTGGACACCCCTGAAGGAGTCCTGTCCACACCACCAGCCTCCCCTTTTTTGACTGGGGATGTGAGTGGTTTTAGGGACCTGCCTGCCTCTAGTCTTGGGGGCTGCCTGATTTCCAGGGGCCTCGGTGTTGTGGAAAGAACCCATGTTTACCTCCCACACACACAAAAACATGTTTGCTTCATAGTATCCAGGACTGGTGAAGAGATTTGTTTCCTGGGGCCTCAGGCCTGGGAGCTAAAAACAATAGAGATGTGCTCTCTCCCTGTCTGGAGGCCGGAATTCTGAAATCTGGGTGTCACATGGCCAGGTTCCCTCCAGAGGCTCTTGGATGGGTGGGGAGGTCCTTCCTGCCTCATCCAGCAGCGGCTCCAGGTGGTCCTGGCTTGTGGATGTGTGGGTCCCATCCCCGCCCCGTCTCCATTGTGGCCTCCCCTCTGCTGTGTCAAGCCTCCCTCTGCCTCTGTTATGAAGACACTTGTCTTGGATGTACGGCCTACTTGGATAATGCAGGATGATCTCTTTTCAAGATTCTTGGTCATGTCTGTAAAATTTTCTAAATGAGGTCACATTCAGAGGTCATGGGGGTTAGGATGTGGACACAGCTTTCGGGGGCCACCATGTAGCAGAAGCGGAGCAGCCTCTCGGAGCCCAGCTGGACACCCTCAACAGCCCGTCAGGCACACACACCCTCCAGCCCAGAAACTTCAGAACCTCAGAACCATCCCCGGACGCCTGTGCCTGGAGCACCTCTCGTTGGTGGAGCGCTGAGTGCGTCTCGGCCTCTGCGAAGCCCTAAAGCCTTGTGCTGGGCCAGGCCTGATGATGTGCATGGGGTGTGTGAGTCATGGGGCCCCTCTTGCCTGCCTCTTCTTTCAGACATGGTGGAGATGATGCTGATGCAGAACGCCCAGATGCACCAGGTCCTCATGCAGAACCTGATGCTCCAAGCCCTGCCCTCAGCGTTTCTGCCCTCGCGGGGACCACTGGCAGCGCCCCCGCATCCCACCCCCCAGGTAGGCTCAGCTGGGGCAGGTCTGGAGGTAAAGGAGGCTGCCCGGATCAAAACCAGAGGGCCTGGGTGGCTTTTCTTCTGCAAGTCCATGCATGGGTGTGACTCTGAAAAGCACAGATCTGACTCCTGAGTCTGTGACCTGCTTGTGAAACCCTCTGGCGCTCGCTAGTCCCACCTAGAAGCGGAAGGAGTTCTGCGGTTTGGGGCCCAGGAAGCTGCCTCCCAGAGCCAATGAGCTCTGCTGGAACCTCCCTCCCCCCTTCCCTTCCTTGTTCCCCCCTCCACTTCCTCTCCCTCTCCTCTCCCTCCCCACCCTCCTCTCCTCGCCCCCTCCTTCCCCTCAAAATGGGCTGGTGTGTGTGCTGTGCTGAGGACCTACAGCGGGTCCCCTTGTCCTCCCGCGAGCCTAGAGGCAGAAGCTGCCCTCCGTGCACCACCACCACCACTACGCGCCCCCAGCCCCCCTGCAGGCCATCCCAGCACCGGGCTCCCTGGCTGGGTACTCCACGTGGCCCACGGTGGTCTCGGCCACCACCCTCCCACCTGCCTCCAGCTTCCTGCCAGCCCTCCACCACTTGGCCGGGCCCGCCTCAGCAGCCCTTAGCCCGTAAGTCAAGGCCAGCTTCCTGGCCTGTGGGGTGGGAGTACCCTAGAGCCTGGGTTGCACCTCCTCACCCCTGCTGACAAGCCAGTGGGCCCGTCTTTACCTGGGCCCAGGCCGAAGCAGGGAATTTGGAAAGGCCCTCCCGTCGTCTTGCAGGTGGGTCCTTGCAGCACTGGGCCCTGGAGGTCCCAGTCTGAGAACGGACCCTATGCCACCCTCCAGGGGAAGCTGCTTGTGGCTTGGGGCATCAGTCCAGCCCAGTATGAGCAGGGCTGTGGGGACCCTCCCCTGAGCCCTGGCCGCATGGCTCACCTGTAGTGTGGGGTCTGCGGGCCGGGCCGGGCAGTGACCGCACCCACATGTCCCAGCTTCCCCAGGGTGGCATCTGACGGCGGCCAGCCCACGCCGGCTCCGGGCGTGTGAGCCCCCACATGTGGACTCTGGTGAGCTTCGGGGCCTGGTTCCCCACTGGGTGCGGTCGGGGAGGCCTGGCAGAAGGCTGCAGCCTGGTCCCCGGGGGCAGGGCGGAGAGTCTGGTGGGAGTACAGGGTTCCGTCAGGAGAGACGGCCCAGGAGCCGGGGAGAAAAAAGGCGATGGAGTTAGCTGCTTACATGTTTAAGCCTTCCCGTGGGAGAAACCCCATAAACAGGGTCAAATATGACACTAACTGGGCCCTCTGTCTGCCCCCCTGGGGGAGGGGGGGCTCCTGCTGAGGGGATGGCACAAGGCCACCTGCCCGGGTCTCGCCGGAGGAGAAGTGTCTTCACTGTGTGTCCTTGCTGGCCAGCACCGCCCGGTCTTCTGGAAGGGAGACGCTCGGGGCTGAACGTGGTTCCTTCAGTGGGGCCTGAGGAAAGGGGGCTTTCTCTGCCTGGTTGCTCCTCTGGTTGTCGGGGCTTCTGAATGTCACCGTTACTCTTTCTTCACTTTTCCTGACCTTTGTTTTCTGGGTGGAATCGTGTTCCCTTGTTGTTTTATTTATTTTTAAAGATGTATTTATTGATTTACTTATTTGAGAGTGTGTGCGCACGTGGAGGGACAGAGGAAGCGGGAGAAGCAGGCTCCCCGCTGAGCGGGGACCCAGGACCCTGAGGTCATGACCTGAGCCAAAGGCAGGCGCCCCATCCCTTGCTGTTGTGACATTTTCATGTAAATGTCATTTTTAAGTGCTACGCATGTTCTCATCAGCCTCTTTTGGCATCAACTCTCTTGTGCCCTAAGTTGCAAGGCGTCAAGCGCCCACCATCCTCTACCTCCTCGGACGCTGCAGGCTCGCCGGAACGCTGGCCTGGGAAGCAGATGGAAGCAGGTGGCTGAGGACCTGGCCTGCAGCTCAGCTCCGTCGGGGGGGGTGCTGCCCTCAGGGAGCCTCCCAGGCCAGACAGCGGCAGGTACCCCCACGGTGTGCCCGGCACGAACGTGCTTTGTGAAATGCGTTTAAAGGTCTAACTCAAGGGGCGCCTGGGGGGGCTCAGTCCCTTAAGTGTCTGCCTTTGGCTTAGGTCATGATCCCAGGGTCCTAGGATCGAGCCCTGCACCCCGCATCGGGTTCCCCGCTCAGCGGGAAGCCTGCTTCTCCCACTCCCCCTGCTTGTGTTCCCTCTCTCGCTGTGTCTCTCTCTGTCAAATAAATACAATCTTTAAAAAAAAAAGTCTAACTCAATTTCTTATTTTCACATTGACGTTTTCTAACATGGTTTTTCTATTTGGTTTTATTTCTCAACATAATTAATTCAATACAGGGAAGAAGCTTGGCAGAAGCTGGTTATCTTGGCCTAATAAATTGGAAGAACCGTTTTGTCTGCGTCCAACGGAAAACCCGGTATTTCCCTGTGAACCTCTGTTACTTGCACACAGAACAGACGCTTGTAGTCACGGATTCTGCAGCAGCTGGGGGTTCTGCGGTCCCACTCAGTTCTGACACCATTCACCTGCAGAGGACTCAGTCCCATGAGACTGCCGCGTGCCAGCTGCCAAACTCAGGTTGTCCCCTGTGCTTTCTGACTTACTGGGTCAGGGAGCAGAGGTTCCCATAAACCCCTTTCCGGGTTTGATTAGAGCCGCTCACAGAACTCGGGCAACGCTTACCAACATCGACTAGTCTACTTAAGGGGGTGATAAGGGGTGGAGCGGGTCTGGGACGGTTGTGAGCACCAGAGCTTCTGTCCCGTGGAGTTGGGGTGCGTCACCCTCTCCGTGTGGACGTGGGCCCCCAGGGGGAAGCTCTCTGAACCCCGTCCTGTTGGGATTCATGGGGCTTCCTCATGTAGGCCTAAGGGAAACAACTGCATTTCTGAACACACACAGGAGAGCAGAGGCCAGGAAACCCAATGAATGCCTGGAGCAGGAGGGACCCATCCTGGCAGAGGCTGGGTTTGTGGAAGCTCTGGAACCAGGCCACTACGGCCAGGTCGGGGTGGACAGAAGTGCCACGTGGAATCAGATAGCCAAGGTAGAGCCCCAAGGCTGGGTGGGGCGGCCTTTTCTCAGATTTAGGTCAGATGGACACTGGGTGACATGCTCTGTTGTGTTCAGTGACATATAAAAACCCCTCTGAATCTATAAAAAAGAAAAATCAATAGAAAAATAAGCATTAGGGACAGCTGGGTGGCTCAGTTAAGTGGCCAGCTTTTGACTTTGGTTCAGGTCATGATCTTGGGGTGGTGAGATGGAGCCTTGCATCACCCATCAGGCTCCTTGCTCAGTGGGGAGTCGGCTCAAGATTCTCTTTGTTCCCCCAAAATAAATCTTAAAAAAAAAGAAAAAGAAGAATGAGCACAAGACAAGCAGTTAGTGAAGAGCTCTGGTCACTGGTGACGAGAAAAGCAGGACAGTCTCGGTGTATGCACGACCAAGGGAGGGGTTGGGGTGTGTGGAGGCTGAGGTCTGGACCCCAGAGTCACTGTTATGGCTGCAGGGGGGGCAAGTGACCAGGTCCTTTGGAAGCACTGGGCATTGCCTGATAAAGCTGGCTACCCTGCCCATACTGCCCCCAGCTGTTCTGCTCTGAGGCCCATACCCAGGGGGAACTGTGCTCCCGACTGCCTGGGCCCCCGACATGACCACAGAGGCACGGGGGATGTATGAGATTCCTGCTGACAGGAGTAGTGGGTCTCGGGATCCCTTCATTCTCTTAAAAAGAACTGCAGAGCCTAGAGCTTGTGGGGTCATCTTTGGTCTTTGCTGAGACGTTCTACCGAGAACAAGCTTCACTACAAGCAGGCACACATACCCCACAAGGCTTCAGGGGTGCCACAAGCCCAATTCTGGGTCCTTGAGGGGCTGGGGAAAATCCAGGCTGACAAGATATCCAGTGGGAAATGCATTTTCATGTGGATTCACAGGGAAAACCAGATTCTCAGAATTTAGTAACCCTGGATTAGGGCCAAAAGTCTCTGAGAGGCTGCATTTCGTTGCCGTGACCTCTTCAGAGCTCCTTGGCAGAATTCGTGGTGCTGTTGCCAACACCGGTCCCCGGGAGGCCCAGGCGGTGCAGGCCCAGGCGGTGCAGGCCCAATGTTGGCTCAGCACACCTCTGCGGCCTGCTCCCACGATGCTCTGGGCCCAGGAACAGCTTAGGTAAGGCTCTGTGGTGCCTTCTGGGTTTATTGTACCAAAAGAAAAGACAGGAAACAGTAACAGGGAAGAGGATGGGAAGCAGCAGTCAAGCTCAGGGTGCCTCCCGGAGCTGGGAGACACTCAGCTCCATGTGGACATGGGGATCTGGGGCTCAGAAGCTTTGGCCACAGCGGTGCCACAGGAAAGAGGACGTAGGCTGCGCCCACCTCAGGAGCCAGGATGGGCAGGAGATGTCGGCTGTGGGTCACCTGGCTGAGGTTGTCCAGGGGCTTGCAGCCCCGCTAAGGGTCAGCCTTGTGCCTCCCCTCATAAAGGCACCCAGCGAAGGCTCCAGGTCACAGTGCTCTTAAGGGGTAAGTGGAGACTATAGCCAATGGGTGTCTTGCAGGAAGGAGGGCGAGGGGCACATCCTGGGCTGCCTGTTCCACTCTCCGGAGCAGGCTGTAGAGGCAGGAGAGAGAAATGCCTCTGGCTACAGGCAGAACCTCAGGGGATGAGGGCCCCGTGCTCCAGCTCTGCAGCCTAAGGGCTTAGAACTACTTTATCTGCAACAGCGAAACGACATTTGCTAGGTTCTGAACGAAGTCATGAATGGACACGTCTTTTACACTTTCACAAAACGGTCAGGCTCCACTCGTGCCATTTTGCCCCCAAGTGTGGGTCGCTCTTGAGCCCTACAAGACACCAGGGACCAGCAGGGCCCTCCGTTTGGTGGAGTCCCTGGTCCTGGGGGGCCTGAAAGGGGAGGGTCCATCTGCCATCCACCTGCTGTCTCTGGACTCTACAGAGAATCCGCCGGGTGCCACCCGGGTGCCAGGCCTCCAGCACCCTCAGAAGAGGCCCCTGCTCAGGGGCTGTAGCCTGGTCCCAGTGAGCCGGCTCAGCTCTTCGAGAACCTGCTTCTCCTTCTGGAACATCTGAAACAAAGAAGTGCAAACCAACTTGGAGACCCCCGCCCAGCCTGGCCCGAGGGTCTCCTCTGGGGGAAGCCCTTCCCTAGAGCCCATGTCTACGGCTGTGGCGTGAGGGTCCTCAGCCGCGTGGCCCCCCAGAGCCAAAGCGCAGGACCTGGTTCTGCTCACCTTCACCCAGCATGTGCACACGGAACGTGGACATGCTGCCTGCAGGGTGAAGGGTGGGGCCGGCAGCGGGACTGGGGGCCAGGGGCCCAAGTAGTGGTCTGGGGCAAAAGAAGAGGAGACCCTGTCTGGGGCTGCAGGAGAACAGGCCAGATGGGTCAGCCGGGCCCAGAGTCCACCGGAGAGGGATGTGTGAGGACTGCCCCTCCTGGGGGAAAGAGTGCTCAGTGCCCCGGGAAGCCCTAGGAGGGCTGGGGTCCCTGCTGGAGGTGACATCACGGGCTCTCTCTGAGATGCTGCCAGAGGGGGGCGAGGGGGCCACAGCAGGGCCAGCCTCTCACCTGGAGGGGAAGCAGAGCCACAGTGTCCCTGGTGGGGACCCAGCCTGAGATGGCTGCATGTGCGGACAACTGGATCAGACTTGTTTGTTCATTGAAAAACAATTTTTGTGCCTTCCAGAGAGCCTGATTATTTGATTACAAATATAATTTGAGTTTATTAAATATAATATGGTGCATATACCAACATACACCCTTAAAATGGGGCAAGTATTGTCACTTCTCAGGGAAACAAACAGCTAAATAACTACCCTGTAGGTCTCTCTCAGATGCCTGCATCTTCTGAATCCTGTCCCACCTAATAAATATCACAATTTCTCTTGTAAAGAATTTTTGACTTTTAGCCATTAGAATTTTACAGAATTTATAAAATTCAGTCTCCCCGGCTCAGATCTTCCTTTCAACAGCAAATAAGTAATACAGTTAGTAGCATTCGGAGAGCCCCATATTTTTTACAATGTTAGTCTTTTGTTTTGTTTTGATAAAGTAGGCATTTGTAAAATCCTCAATTTATTGCTTTCCCCCCAGTTTTGGTTTTTGTACTTGACTGCAGGGGCAGCTCAGGCAGCCCTGGTTCCCGGGGCACTTGGCACTCAGGGCACTGCACCCTCTGTATCCTGAGGGACCAGGGGGACAGCTCCTACCTTCTGCCACTCAGCCTCTGTGCTGTGTGTGAAGCCCAGCAGATGACAGAGCCCATGGGTGGCAGTCACCTGTCAGAACAATTAAAAAGCTGTTTTAGGAACTGATCGTGACCAATCCTTGAGCCAAGGGTGGGGGGGGTGGAGGGGAGGAGGGGAGGGAGGGAGAAGTCAGCCCATGCACGGTGGGCGCTTAGGAACCTAGGGGTAGGTGGAGGGTGCCTGGGGCTGAGAAGGTGCCTATGTGCAGCTAGGGGCGAGGAGGAGAGGGTCCCAGGCCTGGTGGGCTGGCCCTCCACTGAAGGGCATGGGATCTCTGGGAGGTGGGGGGCACAACAGCCCTGCAGGGGTGCGCCGCTGGCATGGCGATCGCAGAGCACAAGCCTGTGCTGAGCAACTCTGTCCGTACCAGGGCTCCTGCCACGCCCCCGGCCAGAAAGTCCCATTGCCCGGGGAAGCAGTCTTCTGACCTGTTTCCTGCCCTCTCCCCTCACCCGACACTGCTAGGGAGGCAAGCAGGCCCAAGGCCTAGGCTTGCTCTCTGTGGGATGATGAGAGAGGGTCCTTGCTGCCCCTGCTTGTAGGTCTCCCTCCCCCAATAACCCCTGTCCTTCACATGAGACAGTGTGGAGACGGGTGTCCCATCCATGGCCCTCTTTTCAGGCCCTGTTTATTTCAGCTTCCCACTCACAGTGAGGATATCAAAGTAGTCCTCATCTCCTTTGCACTGCTGGAAGATATACTCCACTCCTAAGAAAATGTCTCCCAAATTGTAGTCATCTGGAGTATCAGGCTGGGGAAGTTCCCCTGCTTTTATATTCTGCAAATGAGGAAATACAGATTTGGAGAATAGGACCTCAGGAACTAACCTGATGACAGGCCTACAGATTTCATTCTGGAAGACCCCTACTCAGTAGTCCCAGGGCAGGTGAGGGGTGGGGGGACTACAGCAGAGTCCCTCTTTACAGGTGACCTAGGACAAACGAGCTGCTTTCCTCTATCTCTTTCACCTTTTTAGCACACAATTACACAGGCCCACACTGGTACAACTGTGTATTTCTGTTCTTTGTTATCTTGTCCGAGACGGTCTTCCACGTTTCCCACAAAAGAAACGACCAGTCCCTCCATCTGAAGGCTGCTCACACTAAGCTAGTCCTGCAGATGGATGTTAAGGGTATTAATATGTTCCCTCCCTGTTAGGAAAAAATACCAAGGGACTATTTAAGAGGTTTATACTGTAACATCTTCCTTAGCGGTGACACTAGCGGATCACACAGTACACGCGTGCTTCCAGCGTTCTCGAGTGTACGAGCAAAGTCCTTCTCGTTTATGCTCTAACAGTGTGGGAAGCCTTGGACGAACCACGTGCATCGGGGGAGGTAGTAGCCTAATCGCTATCTTCTATTTGCTGAAAATATTTTCTCAGTGTTGTTTTTCATTTTCAGTGAAAAGATTCAGTGTTATCCACATTTTTCAACCATACGTTGTTTGTTACTGTATCCCGCTTAAAATTCCCGAAGCAGGGGTGCCCGGCCGGCTCAGCGGGTGGAGCACAGGCCTCCTGACCTCGGGGGTGTGAGTCTGACCTTGGCTGGGGGTGCAGAGGACTTAGAACCAACAGCAACAACAACAACAACGAAAAGTCTTTAAAAACACCGCAGAGGCTCTCGACTCCTCTCCGGACTCCCCGACAGCGTCAGGACACGGTTCGCCCCGGGCCAGCGGTGTTGCCCACAGGGGTGGCCCCGCCGGGCCCTGCTCACGGGTGTTCGAGGTTTTCGGAAACTCAGGACCAGAGCATCCGCCGCGGAAGCCGGACGCGGGAACCACCTCACCTCGTGGAACGGGAAGGACAGCACGTCGGTCGGGGCGTCCCGGGCTCTGTAGACGCCGTTGATGCGCCGAATGGTCCTGTTGTCCACGCAGACGACCGCCAGGTCGAAGCGCTGCACCCCGAGGGCCGCCCTGAGCAGCTGCAGCCGGCGGCGGAGCGGCGCCCTCCGGACGGGGACCGCGCGCTGCAGGTTGCGGAGCAGCAGAGCCATGTCGGGGCCGCGGCCGCGCGCGCCTTCGGGATGCCCCGAGGTCGCGGCCCCGAGCGGACGCCGGCCGGGGAAGCGCCGAGAGTCCTGCCGACGCTCACGCCAGCCAGTCCCGGCCGGGAAATTCGCAGGGAATCGGTGTTTCCCCCCGAGACGACGCGGTGGCGCGGGGACGGGGACGGGCGGCCGCGGGCTCGCGTACCGGGGCCGAAGCCAGCGGCGCACGCCGGGACCGCGCGCGCCGGAAGCCCTACGGCGCCAGAACGGAACCCGAGCGCAGCGGGGCCGGGGGAGGGGGGCCGAGCCGCGCGGACGGACCGGAAGTCGGTCCGCGGCGTTTTCTGTCCCCGGCGCGCCGCGAAGGGTAGGCTCCGGCGGCCGCGATCCGGGCCTGCGCCTCCAGCCGGGCGCCGAGGGGGCCCCGGGGCGGCGGCGGGCGGCGGGCCTGCGAGTCGCTGAGCCGGACGGTGAGCGCGGCGCAGGGTCCGGCCTGGGCGGAGGCCGCCTCCTCGTCCTGCGGCCTCCCCGGCCCCGCCGCCCGGTGTCGTCCGCAGAGCTGGCCTGGGGCGCGGGGCCGCGGGCGATTGTCGGGGAGCGCGGCCTCCGCTGCCCCGCCCTGCCCCGGTCCGGGGGCGGCCGCTCTGCAGGGGCGCTCGGTCCTCTGAGCCGGGTCGGGGGTCTCCGCAGGTACAGCCGCGCCGTTGATGTATCCGGTTTCTGGTTTTGGGGAGAAAATCGGGAGGAGACGCTGCGGGGCGCCTGGCGGGCTCCGCCGGCGGAGCCGGGACTCGCGATCTCGGGCCGAATTCGAGTCCCCGGCGGGTGTAGCCATTACTGGACGCGGCGAACTTTGCGAGCAGGAAACGGGGGAAACTGCAACACTGACGCGCCCCACGGCGCAACATTGTAGCTCTCGGGCCGCGGGGGCGGGAGGACCCGCTCGGACTGCGCGGCCGCGCTCGCTTTCTCGTCGCGGTTTGGGGTTCTCGCGCCACTCGCCCACTCAGTAAAATAATTTCAACTTTTTTCTCAGTCTAAAGGAGGACGCGCTAAGCCTCCGGTAACAAAGTAATCAGCTCTTCACCCGCTGCTCCAGGCGCGCCCCGCCCCCCAGGCCCCCCGCTGGCTCTCAGGAAGGAATTCTTAGCCCTTTGATTTGCCTGATTTTGAATTATCCTTACAGTGTGATTACAAATTCTGCTCAGTGTTCCAGCGGGACCTGACTGATGATGTGGATTTTTGTCTTGCAGCGCACTGTGAGGATGAGGGAGGGCTCCGTCCCCGAGCGGGCTGTTTAAGAAGAGAACTGTTCGTGCGCACACGGTGTTCACTACCTTGCCTGGGAAGATGAACCCAACTAATCCTTTCAGCGGGCAGCAGCCTGGGGTTTTCCCAGCATCTACCAGTAGTTCCATAGGCACGTTTCAGGCTAAGCCACCCTTCCGATTCGGTCAGCCTTCTCCTTTTGGACAGAATAATACGCTATCTGGGAAAACCTCAGGATTTTCACAGGTATCCAGCTTTCCGACGTCTTCTGGAGTAAGTCATTCTTCTTCAACACAAACATTAGGGTTCTCCCAAACCTCAAACGTTGGACTCTTTTCTGGACTTGAACAAACTCCAGCTTTTGTAGCTGCCTCTGGGTCTTCAAGTTCATGTGTGTCTGCAAACCCAGGATTTAGTTTTAAGTCATCCAATTTTGGGGCTTTCCCGGGTACGTCTACATTTGGACCGGAAAGTGGGGAAATAGCAAGCTCTGGTTTTGGGAAAACAGAGTTTAGCTTTAAGCCTCTGGAAAATTCCGTGTTTAGACCAATATTTGGGGCTGAATCTGAGCCAGAGAAAACTCAGAACTCAATTACTTCTGGATTTTTTACATTTTCTCACCCAATTAGTAGCGGTCCTGGGGGGCTGGCTCCATTTTCTTTTCCTCAGGTGACAAGCAGCTCAGCTGCCACTTCAAACTTTACCTTTTCAAAACCAGTCAATAGTAATAATTCATCATCTGCCTTTACCTCTGCTTTGTCAAACCAAAATGTAGAGGAAGAGAAGAGGGCCTCTAAGTCACTATTTGGAAGTTCTAATAGTAGCTTCACTAACTTCCCCGTATCATCAGGACCTCTGGGTGAACCATTCCCAGTTAGCAAAACAGGTGTAAGACAAGGATGTGAAGAACGTGTTTCCCAGATGGAGCCACTTCCCAGCCTCATGAAAGGACTGAAAAGGAAGGAGGACCAGGATCGGTCCCCAAGGAGACATGGGCATGATGCAGCAGAAGACTTGGATGCTCTGTCGAGGGGAGATCACCCTCCAGATAAGCGACCTGTCCGCCTGAATCGACCCCGGGGAGGCACCTTGTTTGGTCGAACGATACAAGATGTCTTCAAAAGCAATAAAGAAGTAAGTCGTCTGGGCAATAAGGAATCTAAAAAGGATATTGGCTGTGCTGAATCTGGGGAGAACGACCACGCGGCCATCCCAGGAGGAAGTCAGTCTGTCTTGGCACCTTCCCGGCTCCCAGGTGTGAATAAAGAGGAAGAAACTGAAAGTAGAGATAAAAAAGAAGGTGAGATCTAAATACATGTGCTGTCCAGTAAATGTTGCTGGCAGGTTTTTGGTATATTTCCCTGGGTCTTAGTTTGATGGGTCTGGTGAATTTTCTGTAAACCCTAGGAATTCTAACATACCAAGAGCATGTCTTACGTGAACATTTCCTTTGCTCTTACATAGGTGCTGCCTCTTGTGTGAAGTGTTACATCTCAGGGGCACCTGGCTGGCTCAGTCGGAAGAGCATGTGGCTCTTGGTCTCGGGGTCATGAGTGGGAGCCCCACACTGGATGTGGAGATTACTTAGCAATACAGAAATCAATAGATAGACTTTGAAATGTTATGTCTGATACATTTTTTTAAAAGATTGATTTATTTTCCGGAGCACACAAGTAGACGGAGGGGCGGAAGGAGAGGGAGAGAATCTCAAGCAGGCTGTGACTCCCCGCTGAGCTCCATGCCTGATACGGGGCTCCATCTCGCCACCCTGAGATCATGACCGGACCTGAAATCGAGAGTCAGCTGCTTAACTGACTGAGCCACCTAGGCGCCCCGTCTGATCCGTCTTGGTGCCTGTTCTCTGATCCCTAGATTCTCTAAGAGGAACGCCCGGACGTCAAAGTAAAAGAAGCGAGAGCACAGACAGTCTTGGGGGCTTGTCTCCCACTGAAATCACAGCAATCCAGTGTAAGAACATCCCCGACTCTCTCAATGACAGGACCATTCTGGAGAAGCACTTTGGTAAAATTGCTAAAGTGCAGCGTATCTATATCAGGCGCAGCAAAAAGCTTGCAGTGGTGCATTTTTTTGATCATGTGAGTATTTCCAAGAAATTTAATGTGGAAAAAATTTTGAACTTTTTCACTTTAAAACCTATTTTTTAATCTACCAGTTGTTTGCTAGAATTTGGGCAAGTACTCGAATATCTTATTTTTAACCTGGAGAGGCCGGTGTAGCACTGTTTATTTCATAACTTGGAGTTACTCATGGAAAGCTTGCAGTCCCTACTGAATGAGTGTTCTAGAAATACTGGGAGAGTGATTCCATGAATCCAGTTCCTCTGAAATGAATGGGAGTATCTCTGTAATCACACAGCACTTTTTTTGAAATTGAGTTTTTTTGTTTATTTGGTCACAGTACATGATCACTAAACATTCCAACAGTCCAGAAACAGTGGACTCCCCTTGTCGTCCCATTCTCCAGAGATAACTGCTGTTGCTTGTTTGGGTTATACCTTGACTATAAATCTGTGTATAAGCACACGTGCGTAATGTGTTGGTGTGGGTGTGTACATACAGTACTGTTCACATTATGTGGCTTTATATCTTTATTGTTTTTTCTGAATTTTCTTGGGAGAGATAAATTTTTATAGAATTTATAAAGTAGAAAGCATGTCTTTATACTTTTTAAAAATGATAATATAGGAGGAAAAAAACCGAATCTATGGGAGGGGGCACAAAACTCTATTTTCTAAGATAACTCTATTTTCTAAGATACCAATTAAGAATATTTTGGTTAATATCTTGGCAAGTCTGTAGTCATGTTGGTTTTGCACGAATGGGATCACACTGCATATGCTGTCTGGTAACCTTTCCAGGCCTGAAATCAGTAAATAGCTTGCATTAGAATAGGATTGTTATGTGCTACGTGGCCTTCTCTCGTGGTTACCTACTTGGCCAGTTTTCTATTTGTGGACATTTTATGTATGTGTTTCTGATTGGCTTATATCCTTTGTTTAAATTCCTGAGAGCAGAAGTTCTGTGCCAAAATACATGCACAGCTTTGGGGCTTTTGATGTTTATTCTATTCTGTTGATTTTTTTTTCAATGGTGGCATTAATTATCTTCACAATGTTGTACAGCCATCACCACTGTCCCTTTCCAGAACTTTTTCATCATCCCAAACAGAAACTGTAACCACTAAGCAATAACTCCCCATTTTCTCCTTCCCTCAGCCTTTGGTGACCTCTAATCTGTTTTGTGTCTCTATCAGTTTGCCTGTTTTAGAAATTACTTTTAAGTGGGATTGTATAATATTTGTCCTGCTTGTTTTGGTTAGTGTCATGTTTTCAAAGTTTGTCCATGAGGTTGTATTTCATTCCTTTTATGGTTGAATAATAGTACATTGTATAGAATAATATTCCAATATATTACATTTTGTTTATTAATCTGTCGATGGACAGAGGTTGTTTCTACTTTTTGGCTATTTTGAATAATGCTGCCATGAAGACAGTGTGCAAATATCTCAAGACCCTTCTTTTAATTCTACTGGGTATGTGCTTAGGAGTGGAATTGCTGGGTCATATGTGTTGTTTTCTTAAGTTTTTTGACTATTGAATTGTTCTTGCGCTTCTAGCTGAACCCTAAAAAATATTAATGTAATGAATATGTAAATTGTCATTGTAAGCAGTTCACTGATACATATAATGCCGAGGTCCCCTGATTACCCTCATCTCTCCTGTTACCCAGGAGCAAACACCATTACCTAGTATGATGTATTTTTCTAGATGTTTTTGTTGGTATGTCTATAGGTACACTA